AGAAGCTGCTGGGAGTTTAATGATAAAAATGTGTGAACATCCTGTAAGACTTTCTGTGGACACCCTCCCTGACCCCCCACTCCCCTTCACCTCCAGCCACCCCTCTTCTCTAGCAGGCAAGAGAGCAAAGTCATCTGCATAGAAAGAGTGGGAACAGGCTGCACCCTGGAGCTCTGCAGGGTCCTGCCACCTGCAGGTAAACCACTTCCGGTCCACACCTAGGAGGCAGATGGAGATGTTAACTAAGGCACCGGCAGGTCCATCTCCAGTGCCAGGGGACAGGGAAGGGTCACATCAATACCTGGGTACCTGAGACCGGAAGCCCCTACAGTACAAAACTCCATCTGCTACCACAGAGCCTCCCACGTGTTTCTGGAAGTCCCTGGTTTCATAGGTGCACAGGAGGAGGCAAGAGGCTGTCTGTCTCCCAAGGGCACCCCCACCAGATAGTTTGAAGAAGCGTCCAGCCATCGGTCGCCTTCCATGACCGTGCTCTTCCCTGAGGCTGGGAGGCACTCCAGCAGGGTCCCTTCTGGGTTCTTAGTGGCAGGAGGGTGCCATCCCCAAATAGGCACGTCCACTGTCCTCCTGTGGAGCCCACTTCCTGACCCCACCTCCACCCCGCAGGCAGGAGCCAGCATCCTCTCCACCCTCCAGCACCCTCACCACCACCCCCAACCCGCATTTGCAGCCCCACCCCCGTATAACTAAGGACCGAAACCCGACTTATCAGTTTCTGCCAGCGGTGCATCTGTGCGCACATTGGGGAACCCTCCACACCCCAAATCCTTGGGGTGCAGCAGAAATGGGAGAACATATAGGTCCTTGGTTCTTTCTCTGAACCCTTGGGACCAGGTGTGTCTCCAAATTCAGGACTTTTCTGAACAGAGGAAGGTGCCAGGGCCTGGGCTTCAGATGAGCCCTGGTCTAGCAGGGTCTTGGGGCTGGGAGGCACTCCAGTGGAACGGCGAGCAGGACCATCTCCCACCAGCTCCGTTCAGACTGATACCCAACACCGGCCTCAGTTTCCCTCAGCCAATAAAAGGAAACAGAGTTTGAGCAAAAGGAATGTGGTTTAATCTGTCGACAGCTGAGGAGGGCAGCAGACCCATGTCTGAAAGACAACCATCCTGCTCTTTGGCAGGGTCCAGGGGTATTTATGCAAAGGGAAAAAAAAAGGGGAGATGGGCAAGGGTCTGCAAAAGGGAGGGGGATGGGAGACAGGTGGGCGCCAGCTCGCTTTTTTAATTGCTGTCCTTGGAATGCGAGAAGACAAACCTGTCTACAAGGGGGGAACTGCAAGAAATAGGGGAAAGACGGAACTTGTTAATGCTTATCTGAGAGACGTCATGAAGAAGGCAAACTTGTCAAATAAGGGGGAACTTGCAAGAGACGGGGGAAGACAGACTTATTAGTGCTTATCTGAGAGACCGGTCATTTTTAACTGCATCATAATCTCCATTCCCTGGAACTTTTAGTCCACACTGAGGCCTTGTCCCAACATAACTTCAGCTAATTAACAGGTCAGCTTCACATTTTTCACTGCAAGACATTGTAAGAGCTCTTATGCTATTATTCCTTAAAAAAAAAAAAGATTTATTTATTTATGGATACAAGAACTGGACAGAGGTGTGAAAGGTGAGAGGATTCACCAGAGACAGAGTGGGGAGCAGAACAGGCAGACTGACTGAAATACACTGCTGAGGGGAGCAGTGGGCGAGACAGGAGAGGTCTGCTGAGCCATGTGGGTAGCTCCCTGGCCAGGGATCGAACTCGTGCTGCAGTGGCTGCAGATAGGTTGCATCTTAACCCCTTGCGCCATCAAGGAGGCCCTGCTATTATTCCTTTGTACTAGATAACTCATACATAAACACATTTTATTTATTTATTTTTTAGGTGATGATGACAATAAAGTTTAGTTTTCCTACAATAAGAAGCAAAAAATAAACCAAAAGTTCGTTAAGTAGTCAACAAATTTTCATTATTAAACTTAGCAGATCCTTAGTTTTATAGGAGAAATATACCACCATTTAAATAATGATAAAAAGAGCAGATTTAAGATAGAGATACTAAATGTAGCTTTAGTTTTTCTTAGTATATATAGGAAGTTCAAATTGCAGAGTTACAAATGAAATAATTTCATATACCAGAGGTTTTTTTCTTTTTCTTTCTTTTTTTTCCTTCTTTTTTTTTTTTTTTTTGGCTATGACAAGGGAAGGAAAAATCAATTAATGTGCTTACCTGGGGAACAATAGTACTTCTTTTAAGGGGAAGAAATAAGGGTTAGTCTTTTCAGAAAAGAATTTTATCAAAAGAAGTGCAGGTATAAACAAAACCACATTTATCTCTGTTAACATAGACCAGGTCAGTAACTCTTTTTAACTTCTCCAAGCTCCTTTTTTCCCCTCCAAATTAAACACATTTAAACATACAATAAAACTATTAACTCCCAACATTATGAATTTAAGGCATATATGCTTTAATTAAACCATTACATTTTGAACTAGCTTTTGTTTACCAAAAATTTTAGATCACGATCTCAAAACTTGGGTTCTTTTCTATTAGAATTTATATAGGCACCATTTATAATAATTTTTAACCCTCCAGACACAAAGGCAAAGACACAGACACAGAGATCTCTTTCATTTAGAATTTTGTCCATTTGCATTAATTTTTTAGAGATAGTTATTTTACCAATATTTCTGACAACAATTATTAATTTACTTTTGAATATTCCTTTTTAACCAACTCCTTCAGATAAGAAAACATTTCTCGAGTTATATTTGTAAGATTGCCCCTTAGGTTCTAAAGAAAGTGGGGCAGAAAATTCCCTATCAGTTTTCTAAGGCCACATTTTTTCCTTAAATTCCTACAAGAGATTTTGGATGGGTAGAGAGTTTCACCAAAACTATATCCCTTTTCAAGACAAAGATAGACTAATTCCTAAAACAACTTAAGTTTTCCAAGTTAAGTTTGATAGACCCATTTAAGTTTATTTTTCTAATCAAGGTTTCCAATATGAGATGGAAACTAAAGTCCTTACATGTTAGAATAAGCATCCCATTTATTTTACTTTATTTTATTTTAAAGATTTATTTATTTTTATGCAAGAGCTGGGGTACAGGCCGAGGCTTAGGAGGGTGAGGGGATTCATCAGAGACAGAGTAGGGAAAAGAACAGGCAGACTGACTGAAATACACTGCTAAGGGGAGCAGCGGGTAATACGGGAGAGGTCTGCTGTGCCATGTGGGTATCCCCCTGGCCGGCCAGGAATCGAACCAGTGCTGCAGAGGCTGCAGACAGCTTCACAGAGCGGCGCTCAACCTGCTGCGCCACCAGGGAGGCCAGCATCCCATTTTAATCAATTTAAAACCTCTAGAGCCCGAGATTGGAATCATTTTAAAGACAAGCATAGAAAATTCAAATTGCTTTACAAAATCCTGGTTTCTGTTTGACCTCACAGATGAGGCCTGATGCTAGGAAAGATAAAAGATACCTAATACATGGGCTGTGAGGAGGACAGGAGAAGAGGTAGATTAAGATCTTACTTTGCAGTTTGTCTGTTCTTAGACTCTTACCAGAAATTTGATAAGGAATATTATTTACAGAAACCTACTGTGTAGTTTTTGATTACTAAATTGATTATTTTAAATAAGAAACTTCGATTTTTAAAGAAACCTGTAATTTTTAATGGCCAATAAGAAGTTTAGAAATCTTCCAACCAACTAGTAAGCTTCCTTTATAGCTGACTAGAAAGTCCAAAGTAATTCTGACAAAACCAACTGAACCTGATCCCAGAAGTCTCAGCGTATGATGAGAAGAGGCCTGCAAATTTAGAGGAAGAAAAGGCGACCTTCAAGTGGAGAACACTCTCTTCAGCTTACTTTACATCCATTTTCTACAGTGACTGGTAGATACTGAATTAGTTGTCTGACTAAACACATAAAAAACTGAAAAATACCAAATTTTTAAATTATCAAGACCTGATTTCAGATACTTGCTTGAATTATTTACACAGACACAAAGATCAGATTCACAAAGCTCTTTGCACAAAGCTATTTCTAAGGCAAGTAGAAGCCCTGGTCCAGGCCCACAGCTCTCGTGGGAACAATCCAGCCCTTCCAGCCATCTAGCCAATGTCCTAGAAGAGCTGGGATTATTCTAGGTTGCCTATAGCCAAAGCAGCTGAACTTACACTGGATTTCAGGGTAAGATTTTAGAAGAGCATGAAAAAGGATAAAAGGAACCCATGCATGAGCGAGCCAGTGTGGACAAGGAGAGCGTATTGCCTGGCTTTTGTGTTAGAAAAAATCATTAGTCTGTTCCCCACTGTCAGTTGTTCCTGGGCTCCTGCAGGGAGCTGCTTCTTAGACACAGGTTTGTAGCTCCAGGTCCACCACTCAGTTAATACTTTCCACAAGGGGCTTTCAGCTGAAACAAATATGGCGACTCTCATAATTTTAACCAAATCCCTGGCTTCCAAAAAAAACAAACAGGAAACTCCAAACACCAGATACCAAATAGACATCAAATAAAAATACTAAGTATTTCCCAGTTCCCACTCAACTGGGCCTAGCACAACAAAGGCGCCCCAAATTGAGGGAGACTCATAGACTCCCTCCCTAACTGAGGGGAACTGGACTCCCTCTGGGAAGGGGACACAGATTCCTCCCAAATGTGTGAAGGCCAGGGTCTCGGCGTGCAGGCCAGGGGGGACTTACACCAAATGCCAAACGCCAGGGGACCGCAGTTTTCCATCCAGCTTCCATCTCCTCAAAGGTGAATCCAGGAGGCAGAGAAGAGCTGTGCCTCTCCCGAGGAGGACTTGGAAAGTTCCCCGGAGGAAAAACTCCGGCAGCTGCTGGGACTCTCCCTCATCCTCCCGGAGAGAGGGCGCTCCCTCTCAGCAAGGTCAGCGTGCCACCCCGGATGCCCAGGCCCTCTCTGACAGCGAGGACGGGTAAGCCCTGGCGCGCTGGCGCGGCCAACTGCTCCATCCGTTGGAAGTCAGAGTTGGGGTTGGGAGAGCCGAAGTGGCATCCAGCTTCAGGTGGCTCGCCAAATTGATACCTGACACCGGCCTCAGTTTCCCTCAGCCAATAAAAGGAAATAGAGCTTGAGAAAAAGGAACATGGTTTAATTTGTGGACAAATGAGGAGGGCAGCAGACCACGTCCGAAAGACAACCGTCCTGCTCTTTGGCAGAGTCCAGGGGTATTTATACAAAGGAAAAAAAGGGGGGCCATGGGGGAGGGTCCGTAAAGGGGAGGAGAAGGGAGACAGGTGGGCGCCAGCTCGCTTTTTTAATTGCTGTCCTTGGAATGCAAGAAGACAAACCTGTCAAACAAGGGGGGAACTGCAAGAAATAGGGGAAAGACGAACTTGTTAATGCTTATCTGAGAGACGGCAAGAAGAAGGCAAACTTGCCAAATAAGGGGGAAATTGCAAGAGGTGGGGGAAGACAGACTTGTTAGTGCTTATCTGAGAGACCGGCCATTCGTAACTGCATCCAGAAGGCTTTGTCCCTAAACCTGTCCGAAGCAAACTCAGGACAAATGTTTTGGTTTCCAGAGCTCTTTGGAGTTTAGAGTTGTGGCTAAAGGACTGGAGAGCTGCCTTGTCCTCCTGCTGAGCGTCCCTTCCAGAAAGCAGAGGGGGAGGCCAGCATGCGCTGTGCCCCCACGTGTCCCGGGCACACAGCTGGCTCTCCCGTCTGTCACCCATTAAGGGGCTGGGTGCTGGCGGGGGCGGGCCCGGGCCTCCCATTCAGGGGAAAGGCCAGCTCAGCCTGACCTGGAAGCAGAAAGCAGCCCAGTTCTCTCCCCGCTAATGTGTTTACCCAGCGCGGGAGCAGGTGGGAGTCCATCTGCTAAGCTCTCTCAGCTGCCTCTCCAGGCCAGCGTCCTGAAAGGGCAGGGGTCTCCGGAGAGGCTGGGGTGGGGCCCAGGGAGAGGAGCCCTTCAGGGTCCTGATGAGGGAGGCCCTCTCCTTCCTCTGCTGGTGGACCAGGAGGCCTTGCTCCAAGGGCCTGGAGGGTGCGGCTGGGCCCCTCCCTTCCCCCTCTCCCGGCTCTTGAGCTGAGAGGCCATTTCCTTTCTCTTCAGGAGCAACAATGAAAACTGCAGTCCCTGGTGCATCCAGGCCCTGAATATGTCCTGGCTCCAGGGCAGGGAGTTAAGGGGACTCAGAAGGGGATTCTAGAAACCCCACAGGTGTCACCTGGGGCAGGGGTATCCAATCTGCTTTAAGGACCCCTCACTTCCTTTCCCAAGCAGTCCTCCGGGTCTCTCAGCCAGCTCACTGGATCTCCCACCCCGGGGAATCTTTCTACCCTAGAAGCCAGAGAAGTGATTAACTCAGGAATGAACCTCAGAAAGGAGGAGGCTGGAATCCATTCAAATAAATCCATCATCCATCCATACATCCATCCATCCACCCACCCAAGCGCCAACATTAACTTGGCCTTCATGAGATGCATATTATAAATACAAACATGCCAGGTTTGAAGGGATGCCCTTGGCAACTGACATGGTTAGCTGTGCCAGGCAGACCCCTTTCCTGGTCCCAGGGAGTGAGGGTGGCTGGTGAAACTAGTGGGGGAGATGGCTAAATTGTCCTCCTATTAGGAGGAAAAGGATGTCCTAAAGCTATAACACTCCCCTCCATCTAGGGCACCACCCCCAGGAAGGGGCCTCTCCAGACGCCAAAGTCGGGTATTGATAGTTCAGGGGGCACAACCACAAAAGCCCCCAGTAGGTATGGCCCTGAGCCAACCCAAGGTCCCTGGCTGGCGCCTCCCCTACAATTCTGCCCCTTCGGGGAGTCCTGGAGGCTTCAGGGCTGGCTCCTCTGGCCGTGACCCCAGGGCGCAGGGCAGGTGGACCTCGTGGACAATATCTCGGACAGTGGCCCGGAAAGTCTTGCTGACCAGACAGTAGAGGACAAAGTTGACTGTGGTGTTGAGCATGGCCGCCATGTTGGCCACATCCAAGGCCAGGTGGACCCTCCAGTCCCTGTGGACGGGTGCCACATATAGGTGGTAGAGCATGACGCAAATTCGGGGTGCCCAAAGCAGGGCGAAGAGCGTGGCGACGCCCAGGAGGATGGCCGTGCTCTTGCCCACCCGTGGCTGCAGCGCCCCCCGGCCACGTCTGCGCAGCCGGCAGATGATGGCCGAGTTGGCAGTCAGGAAAATGCCGCAAGGGACGAAGTAGATGATGAGGCAGTGGGCCCACTTGAGGACCTCGTCCAGCGTGCTGGGGGGGTCCACGTCCCTCCACACGTCCAGCCACCAATAGAAGGGGATACCGGTCAGCAGGGCGGTGGCCAGGACGGCGGCGATGGCCCTGCGGGTGCGGCCAGGGGACGAGGCGGCCCGGTGGCGCAGGGGGCGGCACAGGGCGCGGTACCGGTCCAGCGTGAACAGCACGGCCACCCACACGGAGGCGTGGTTGGCGGCGAACTCCAGGATGTTGGCCACGCGCACCACGGCCTGGGGCACCCGGCGGGCCAGCACGGCCCCCTGCAGCAGGAAGCCCACGAACACGATGACCACCTGGGTGACGATGTCCGAGGCCGTGAGCGCCAGCAGGTAGTGGTAGGAGGGCTTCCGCGTCCTGGCGGCCAGGCGGCCCAGCGCCACGGCGGTCAGGAGGTTGACTGCGGCGGCCAAGGTAAGAAGGGGACATGTCAGAGCGGCCAACTCAGAGCTGGCCGGCCAGGCCTTAGGTCTCCTCCCACCCCACCTGCTAGTGCCGAGGCCGTGCTGGCTCCCTCCTCCTCCTCCAGACCCTCCTCTAAGCCCACCTGGTCAGGAGATTAGCCCTGCCCTGTCCACCCACTCCACGTGGTCACTGACTTCAGCTGGGGCGGGGACTCTGCCTGGCACACAGGGAGCTCTTTTGCCGGGCAACAGGTGTCCGCAGAAGCCTCCTGTGCCTGCGGCATTCCCCCTAGACACGTCTCGGGTGCTCCGAGTCCTCTTTCCCAGGGGCTTCCATGGTGACAAGGTCGAGACCACCTGTCCTTTCCTGCATTCCCCCTGCACCACCCCCTCCAGCAACCCCAGCTCTGCTGAGGATGGTCCTAGGGGACTGTCCACTCCGGGGGAGAGGGGGGCAGTCTGCTCTGGTGAGGCCTCAGGTATAGCTATAAAGCACCCCCAAACCCTCACTTTTAATCCTATGCTTTGCTCCCCTGTGACTCAGATCACCCCATAAAAGCAAGGGGAGTCCTGGAGTCTGTGATCCAGGGTCTCAGGGGTCAGCACAGAGTGTTGGCACCCAAGGGGGAGGACCCCTGTTTCCAGCCACGCCCATGCCTCACCCCGGCTCCCCTCTCACCAGGCAGCCCCAGGCCCAGCAGGATGCTGTAGTAGATGACAGGGGCGACGCCAGCCACACACGGGGACCGCTCTGGGATCTCGGGCCAGTAGCCTTCGAACTCCTGGCTCGGCTCACTGCCACTGCCGTTGGGCGCGGGTGGCAGGGCCTCTCCTGGCTGGGCAGCTGGGGAGGGTGCAGGGTAAGAGTTCTGGTCTCTTTGCAACCCAGCGGCCCCGTCTTCACCCTGAGGTCTGTGTTCACCCTGCTCTGTGCAGACCCCCGCATCCCCAGTGCCCTGGCTCCCCTGGAAAGGAGCCCCCTGTGTGTTTCCTGTAGCTTTGGAGACTGTTTCTCCATGACGACGTCAGCCTCAAAAGCAGGGCTTCCAAACGGGGTACAGGTGCTGCCAGGCCGAGCCAGAGGGTCTGCTGTGGGGCTCAGGCCCCTCTGCTCTCAGGAAGTGTGCTGGGCGAGCCCCACCCTCGGCGAGAGCCGGCAGCTGCCCTGCTCTGCTCAACAGCCGCCCCCTTGAGGAGCCATGACTGGGCGCCCCTCCTTACTGAGTTAAAGACAATCCGTCTTCACCGGCTAACACTATTGGAGTTGAAACCGCCCTGGTTTCCCAGTAGGGAAACTGAGTCCAGAGGGCATCAAGTCCCCTGCCCACAACCACAGCTGACTTACGTCTGGGCTGGGGAGAGGACGAGCCACCTGCTCTGGTCCCTGCGCCCTCAGCCACACTTTAGGTCTCTTGAGAATCACCTTCCAGCTGGGCCTTGTGCTGAGCCCCCCCCCCCCCAGCCCCCGCTAGACCTGCCTGTGTCCGCCTCGCCCTTGCCTCCCACCGCAGTTCCAGACACCTTACCTGCCTCTCCTCCATCAAGCCTCATGCTTCTGGGTCCTGAGCCCCCTCGTGGCTTTTTCTGAGGGTCCTGCAGCATCACCAGGGGCCCGGCATCGCGGGCGCCGGCCCCACCCGGCCTGCCTCGAGCTGTTGTTCGCCCCACGGTTCCTTCAGCAGAACTGAGCCAATCTGCTCAGGTCACTCAGAGAGGTGGGTGTGGGGAGGCGGGTGGAGGGAGGAGGAGGAAGGAAAGGGTGGGGCCCAGACTCGGGGGAGTGAGCCCAGACTGTAGATGTGGCCTGCAGCAAACTGGGATTCCCAAGGGTGCTCAGGCCACTAGAGTCAGGTGGGAAGGGGCCCTGGGGGGTGCAGGATGGGGCATCCTGGGACCTGACCTGGGCTCAGTCACGGTGGGGATACTCTACGGGGAGGGCTTTGGGGAGAAGCAGGAGAATCGGGGAGCTACTCTACCTGCCTCAAAATGAGGAGGGCCTGTCTGCAAGAGGGCAGGTTAGTGCCCTGGGAAGAGGTGGTCCAGGCACGGCCCAGCTCTGGAGGGACCTGGGGCCAGTGAGGGAGTCAGTTCTGCCACAGCTGCTGGTGGAGGGACAGACACAGAGGAGGGTCCTGCCCGAAGGGCCGCTGGCCAGGAGGGACGGCAGGGGGCTATGCGTAGGGGGCCAGGACCATGGGGAGAAGCAGGTGTGCCAGCAGCCGGGGAACCCAAGAGCGGGTGGCCCCCGCAAGCTGTTGTTTTCCCAGCCCTGGTGAAATGGACCATCCTCCACAGAGTATCAGTCACTGGCAAACAAACACCAGCCGGCGAGGCGCGCGGCCGGAGAGTGGGAGTGGTGCCTGGCCCCTTGGGAGGGTGACTGGTGCCTTCCGCGGTGGGCAGGGCTGGCTTCCCCCATCTGCCCTCTGGGAATAGAGAAATGCTGGCTTCTGGGCTCCCTAAGTTAGATCCCACTTCTGGTGGGAGGTGGGGAGAAGCTACCTGTACCCCCAGCCCGCCCCACCCCCAGTTACACCTGGACTCTCACAGACGAGACCTTGCTGCCCCCTGGTGGCTGCCTCTAGACCCTGCAGGCCCTGAGAGCCACTCCAGCTGGGCAGGGTCCCCTGGGTGGCCAAGCTGGAGCAGAGGCAGCCCCCTCCCTCCCCCAGCTCAGGCCCCAGATAGGTGTCCGGCACCCAGCCCCAGAGAGGGCAGGTAGCACAGATGAGTCCCCTGGCTGCCACTTCCCTGCGCCCTGAGGCTCTGGACGAGCAAGGAGCTGCTTCCAGAAGAGCTGAGAGGCCAGCACACTCCAGGGGCCCCACAGATACCCCCCGATGTTCCCCCCTTCCCTGCTGTGACACCCCCTACAGCCCCACAAGCCGGCTGGCGCCCCCACTCCACACTGACACTGAAACTCAGAGAAGGGCAGCAACCTGGCCAAGGCCACACAGCCGGAGCAGGCGGCTGGAGTGGGAGCTGACGCGGCCCCTGGCCCGAGACTGTCTGGCCCTCACCCTCCTCACGCCGTGGCCTCTCCTCCCGCACGGGCAGGGCAGGGCGAGCCCACTGGACCCCTGTGAGCTCCAGCCTCTTGTGGGAGGGAGACACCAGGTGAGCTCGGGCCTTACGAGGAGGGGGAGGTGCGCGGATGGAGGGATGAGCACTGAGACAGGCAGGGGGAGCGGAGGGGGGGGCGGGGGGGCTGGGAGCACTGTCCCATCGGGGACAGCAGGTTGGAGGCCCGAGCAGGACGCGGCCCGGCTCCAGGGAAAGCTTGTAATAGCGTGTGAGTTGTTCAGGGAAGGATCCTTTCCTGTTTATTATTATTTGTTGGTTTTTTTCCATGATGAGAATCTATATTTAGAAGGAGCCAGCTGGACGCGGGGGGCGGGCCCTGTCTTGCTGCAGGGTCCAAGGCACCTGGCAGGAGCCCCCGGGTGCACCTCCCGCCCCCAGGGCCTGGGCCAGTGCTGGCCTTGCCCCGTCAGTCCCCGGCTTCTCAGGCGTGGGGTCTGGGGCTGCGGCCCTGGTGCCACGGTGAGCTTCTGTCCAGTTCCAGGGAGACTCTGTGGTGGGGGGAGCCATGACGGCTGGTCAGGCTTGTTCCTCCGGGGCGCCCCTCTGAGGGTAGAGGCCCCCTGCAGACCCGGTGACTTGGGTGCGGGAAGGTCGTGGATGCAGCTCGAATCTTCTGCGGCTGGGGACGCCTCCCGCCCGGCACTGCCTTCCCGGCCTTCCAAGCCCAGGGGTGGGGTGGGGGGCCAGGGGCTTCCTTCTTCACTTTTGACGCCATCTTCCTCCTTCCTGCTTGAGATTTGGGCGCCGTCCCTGCCCCCAGGACACAGGCCCAGAACCAAACTCATGACTCCCAGTCTGCGTGTCAGAGGGAACCCCGCGGGGAAGGGAGCCCATACAGATGCCCCTGGAGGGGAGGGGCTGGCCAGGACCGGCCCGGGGCCCACCCTCCGCCTTCCTCGCCCACTCCACAGCAAGTCTGGGTCCTGCCCGAGCTTGCAAGAGCTCCCAGCTGCTTTCAACTGAGATCCCGCGCCCGCTGGGGAGCTTGCTGTGGAGGAAATGGCAGCTGGGCCCAGGAGAGACGGCAGGGGGTGTGGGGAGAGAAGCAGCAAAGCAGCATTTGAATCCCGGCCCCCGCCTGTTCCTGGCCTTGAGAGCTCCGCAGCCCTCAGGGCACGAACGCCTCAGTCTTGGGCAGGAAGGAACCATCCTCTCTGGGGCTGTTCTTGTTATGAGTCCCCAGCCCAGCTCTCGGGGTCACGCGCCTCCAGAGGCTGCGCCCTTCCAGAAGGTTTCCAGGGGCAAATGCCTCCTTCCTCTCTCCCGATCCAAGACTCAGGCTCACTGTACACAGCACCCACACACCAGCCCCACACACCACACAAACACAAACGCATCACACGCGTGTGGAAAGTGGACATCTGAGAAACCAGACGGGCAGGAGCTGGAGGGTCTGCACAAGGGGAGGCAGGCGTGACGGGCAGGGCAGCTGGGCGGGGTTTCCCCTGGGCGGGCATCTCTGCCAGACCTAATTCCTGCCTTCTGTTTCTCCGGAGAAGGGGCGGAGCTGTGCCCCTTCTTGCTGCCAGCCAGGGCTGTATGGAGCTGGTCTCTGGGTCCAGGAGCTGCCCCAGAGGAGCCCAGAGCCGGACCTGTCAGCTGTCGCTGCTTCAGTTCCTCAACCTCCAGGGAGCCCCTCCCACGAGGAGCTGCGCCAGGGCCCCCTGCTCTCCGCAAGGGCCAGGCCTCCGGCACCCACCCCCCACCCCCGGGGCCCCCTCGAGACCCTTTCCTCTGTGCCTTTGTGCTTAGACCATCTCCAGGGCCCGGACCGGGGGGTCACATCCCCGAGGGGCCCAAGAAGCCCATCGCCCACCCCCTGGAGCATGCCACGAACAGTCTCCAACCTGAAAGGATGCCCGGGGTGCCTACTGAGCCCCTTGCCCTCCTCGCTGGAGAGCTTGCCCACCCCAAACGGCAGAGGGGGCGGGGTGGGAGTCTGAGCCACCCCTTCCCGCGCCCCTTCCAGGCCTTTCCTTTGCAGCCAGCTCGCAGGGCCCTCCAGCCAACTGCTGCCAGCGTGTGCTGTGCCAGGGCGGGGGTGTCCTTGGGGCCTGGGGGATGGGGGTACCCTCTGGGTCAGGGACTGCCAGTGGTGCTGAGCTCCTGCCTGCCCTTCAAGGGCCTAAACCTTCCCAGGAGAGGCCCAGCTCGCTGTGTGGGGTGGCAGCGCAGAGGGGGTGCCGGATCTGTCCCCTCAGGGGCCCACCGGCAGCACAATAGCCCCTGGGGCTGCCACTCTCTGGCTCAAGTGGTTGCCTGGGCAACAGCTGGGGCCACTTTCCACCAATCCGTGGCAGAGGCTGGGTGGGGGAGGGTGGCGGCCCAGGAAGGGGGGCTGGTGCCAGCCCCTTGTGCAGATCCTATATAAGGAGGAGGGGTACACGCGGTGTGGCCAGCTTCCCTGTCCCTCCAGTGCACCGGGGGCGGGGCACAGAGATGCTCAAGCTGGGCTTCGCCAGGCCTGGGTCCTGGGGCAGCTTCTGGGCCGTCCTGACCTTGGTGGGCCTGGCCACTCGTGCAGGTACGTGCACAGCGGGTAAGGTGGGGGCAGGGAGAAGGGCCCCCCTAACTTCCAACACTGGGTGGAGGTGGTGCCCGGCTGGCCAGGGTGCCCCCAGTCACAGGATCACACAGATCCGGGGGGAGGGCAGCCTGCTTCGGGGGGAGGACAGCTGGCCCGGAGGAGGGGTCTTAGCCACGAAAGAGCCTCTCACTGTCCATTGTACCCGCGCAGCTGGGCCCGCGCAGAGGTGAGCGGGACGCCATCAGCATGGGGGTCCTTTCAAGGGAGAGCTGGGGGCATGGGGCTGAGAAGTGAGCCCCTCCTTCTTTCTTCCTCCCTCTGTCTCGCTCCCTTTCCCACACAGATGCTCTACCGTCGAGTGAGTGAGCCTTCCTGCCATTACCCCATATGAGCAGGGGCCAGGGTGTGTGTGTGTGTGTGTGTGTGTGTGTGTGTGTGTGTGTGTGTGTGTGTGTTGGGGCTGGGGCTGGGACCCATCTGCTGCTGTCAGGCACCCTCCCTGCCCCCTCTGGGAGGCTCCTCACGTTCGGCCTTGGGAAAGCTGCTGGCAGCAACTTCTGCAGCTGAGTTTTCTGAAACCAAGTGCATGTCCCCATCTGACCCTCATGGCGCCCCTGGAAACGAGAGAAACGCTTAGAGGGGCCAGGATGGATGGCGGGGTGCCGGCCCTGACACCCAGTTCCTGTGAGAGCCCTCCCAGCTCTGCACGCACCCTCTGCCCTCTCTGCCTCCTCCACAGGCCACCCGCTGAGGGTGGACTTCTTTTTTTGCTGTTGCTGAAGATTTATTTATTTATGCAAACAAGAACTGGGGTGCAGGCCAGAAGTGTGGGGTGGTGGTGAGAAGATTCACAGAGACAGAGTGGGGAGCAGAACAGGTGGATCTACTGAAATACACTGCTGAGGGGAGCAGCGGGGAGACAGGAGAGGTCTGCTGCGCCCTGTGGGTCACCTCCCTGGCTGGGGATCGAACTCATGTTGCAGTGGCTGGTGACAGCTTGATAGTGCTGTGTCTTTAACCCTGGGCCACCAGAGAGGCCCTGAGGGTGGACTTCTGTCTCACACACAGGGCCCAAGAAGGCAGCTGGGCCTGGGCACAGCTTGCCCTCTGCACCTGGGCTCTGTAGTTGGGCTCCACCCCTCCCCCTCCCACCCAGCTCCCACCTGGCTCCCAGCAAACAAGCCCACCCTCTGCAAGGGCCTTCGCATAGCTGCTTCTCGGCCTGGGTGCCCTTCCTCTGGTGCCTCCTGACCCTCCCTCTGGGAGCCCATCCCTTCTCCCTGTACCTAACGTAGGCCCCACCCATTTCTTTCACCACCCCCCCCCATTTATCACAGTCTACAGCTGCTGTATTCCGAGCTGCTGGCAAAGAGTAGGTGTCCAGAAAGTATGTTCGAGAATGTACCACCTCTGACAAACCCTCCCAGGCTAAGCGGACAATTCTGGGTTGAGGTGGGGGTGGGGGGACCCCCAGACTCATCATCCCTGCCCGAGCCTCTGCAATCCTGGAGACCAGCTCTGGGCATTTTGTCCCACTCTGGTTCATGGTATCTACCTGCCAGGGACCCACCTCCCTTCCAAGAGCAGCCGCTCAGGGCTTGCTCAGGGTCAGGTTCGCCACCTTCCCCACCCTGGATGTGTGTGTGTGCACCAGTGCATGCAAGCACCTGAAGGACAGCACACAGCCTGGGCTGGCCCATCCTCTGCCCACACCCACACCATGTGTGTCTCCAGCCGGCCCCTCGGCCCCTCTAGACGCGGCCCCGGGCCCAGGCTGTGCTGTGCTCCCTCCCGTTGCAGCCCAGAGGGCCGACATCACTGGGGAGGCAGCGGGCACCTCCATCAACCACTCCCAGATGCTGCTGCAGCGCCTGCAAGAGCTGCTGCGCCAAGGCAACGCCAGCGACGTGGTTCTGCGCGTGCAGGCGGCAGGCACCGATGAAGTCCGAGTCTTCCACGCCCACCGCCTGCTGCTCGGCCTGCACAGTGAGCTGTTCCAGCAGCTGCTGAGCAACCAGAGCGAGGTGGTGCTGCAGGAGCCCAAGGATGGCGCCGCCGTCTTTGACAAGTTCATCAGGTAGGGACAGAGGAGGCTGGGGTGCAGATGTCATCCCTCCCCAAGCCCCCGGCTCTTCTGCTGTGGGTCACGGAGCTGTGGCTCCTTAGAGGTCATGATGACCACTCCCCAGGTGTCATTAGGACGACGATGCAAACAGCTCCTCCATCCCGTCTCCCACGGCTCTCTTGCAAAATGCAGTGCGACTCCCCTGCCTTTCCTGGTTTGATGTCACTTATCAAATAGTCTCAGAGCTGTTTCCAAACCTGGCCGGGAGATCTCTGAGAAGTTACAGAGCTCTGAGCTCCACCTGGAGGGTCTGCTTCAAATCTGGGTTTAGCTCCTGCCATCGTTTTTATTTTATTATTATTTTTAATATTTATTTATGCATACAAGAACTGGGGTACAGGCCAGAGATGCAGGGGAGGGAATGAGAGGATTCACCAGAGACAGAGTGGGGAGCAGAATAGGCAGACTGACCGAAATACACTGCTGAGGGGAGCAGCGAGGAGACAGGAGAGGTCTGCTGCGCCATGTGGGTAGCTCCCTGGCTGGCTGGAGATCGAATTCATGCTGCAGAGGCTGCAGATTGCTTCATAGTGCTGAGACTTAACCCCTTGCGCCATCAGGGAGGCCCCATCATTCTTATTTTAAAGTCTGCATGTGGACTTGGTGTCTGGACAGCTTTGAAACCATGGGGCTAGGGAGCTGGAAAAGTTAGCCAGTGCCACCCCCCATCTCCTGCTCCCTGCCACGGCACAGCACGGGGCGCCATTCACACTGCAAGGAGTCACACAAACTGGCTGCAGAGCTCCAGACATCACTTCCAAGTTCCAGGCAACAGGAAGAGGGACAACACAGAAGGTCAAAAGGGGCTTCCCCCACTTAGTTTCACTTAACCAGCCGTCCCCAAGATTCCATCCTGTGCCTGCAATTCTAGCCAATTCTGATTGGCTAGAATTTAGCCACACGGCCTTTCTAAGGGAACCTGGGGCACAAGTTCTGTTCCCCGAGGCATGGGCGTGGCTGACATGAGACATGGTGCAGGGGCAGCTGCAGGCACTACCGCCACACCCCCTGGAGCCAGTGCCAGCGGGACAGGCAGGAAGGCTGCTCAGAGGGACCCTTTGCCAGCCGTATACAGAGAGCGAGTGAGCAAGAGCAATACTGGGGAACAACAGGGGAGAGACAAAGCTAGAAAATCACACAGCAAGGAAAAAAATAGGGGGGGGCAGGATGTGTGCCCCTGTGTGCCCCGCCAGGCTGTAGCAATTGTCACAGTAACAGCTGATTTCTCCTTTCCCTGGAGAATCACCACAAGGGGCAGCCAGGTTAAGCGACCTCCCACTCATAGCAAAGAGGAGGTGGGATGCGGATCCCAGCCCAGATTGTCAGCCCCCCAGTGCCAGGACCCATGCGTCTCTTCTAGCAGAAAGCTCCACCCAGCAGACATGACCAAACGCAGGCCGCGCTGCTGTCCCGAGACAAAGAGAAGAGGCGGTGAAGGAGGCTGGGCACGGGACGATCCTTGGGAGGAAAAGGCAGGAAACCTCCACGCCCACTCTGCTGTGCGCGCCCCTGACCGCGAAGCTTTCCACCCAAGGCCCGGGCCCTTCTGGACCCAGAAAGTGGCACCGGGTGTGGGCGCAGTGCTGTCCACCCCAGCCTGACGCCGCCGCGCCCTGTGCTTCTCCCGCAGGTATCTCTACTGCGGGGAGCTGACGGTGCTGCTGGGCCAGGCCATCCCCCTGCACAGGCTGGCCACCAAGTACGGGGTGGCCTCCCTGCAGCGCGGCGTGGCCGACTACATGCGCGCGCACCTGGCGGGCGGCGCGGGCCCGGCCGTGGGCTGGTACCACTACGCGGTCAGCACCGGGGACGAGGCGCTCCGGGAGAGCTGCCTGCGCTTCCTGGCCTGGAACCTGTCGGCCGTGGCGGGGAGCGCCGAGTGGGGCGCCGTGAGCCCGAGCTGCTGGCTCAGCTCCTGCCGCGCTCGGACCTGGTGCTGCAGGACGAGCTGGAGCTGTTCCACGCGCTGGAGGCCTGGCTGGGCCGGGTGCGGCCGCCGCCCCCCGTGGCCGAGCGGGCGCTGCGCGCCATCCGCTACCCCATGATCCCGCCGGCGCAGCTGTTCCAGCTGCAGGCGCGCTCGGCCGCCCTGGCGCGCCACGGGGACGCGGTGGCCGACCTGCTGCTCCAGGCCTACCAGTTCCACGCCGCCTCCCCGCTGCACTACGCCAAGTTCTTCGACGTGAACGGCAGCGCCTTCCTGCCCCGCAACTACCTCGCGTCGGCCTGGGGCGCCCCTTGGGTCATCAACAACCCAGCGCGCGACGACCGCAGCACCAGCTTCCAGACGCAGCTGGGCCCCAGCGGCCACGACTCGGGGCGCCGGGTCACCTGGAACGTGCTCTTCTCCCCGCGCTGGCTGCCCGTCAGCCTGCGCCCCGTCTACGCCGACGCCGCCGGCACCGCCCTGCCCGCCGCGCGCCCCGAGGACGGCCGGCCGCGCCTGGTGGTCACCCCGGCCAGCAGCGGCGCCGACGCGGCGGGCGTGAGCTTCCAGAAGACCGTGCTGGTGGGCGCGCGCCAGCACGGCCGCCTGCTGGTCCGCCACGCCTACAGCTTCCACCAGAGCAGCGAGGAGGCCGGCGACTTCCTGGCGCACGCGGACCTGCAGCGGCGCAACTCCGAGTACCTGGTGGAGAACGCCCTGCACCTGCACCTCATCGTCAAGCCCGTCTACCACACCCTCATCCGGAGCCCCTAGTGGCCCAGCCGTGCCGGGAGGTGGGGGGGCGGGGGGCTGGCCTCTGGGGACATCTCTGATGGGGCGCGAGGCCTGGGAGGAACCCCGGCATGGAGGTGCCTGACACCGGCCCCCTGGGTGGCCCGGCCCTGGCAGTGCAGAGATGGTGGCGGCCAGGTGAGGGCTGGTAGACCAGATGCCTGGTTTCAGCAGGTGTTTTCACAACCGACTTGGAGGCAACTGTCTTGGTTGAATAAACAGATGCTCAGAGGACGGGAGGTGACTGAATCACCTGTGCAGGAGTCAGAACAGCCCAAGGAAGGTTCCTCAAGTCGCAGGGTCCCCAGCTGCTTCCACCTCTCCTGCACAGACCAGGCCCGTGGGAACATCCAGGTGGCCAGGGCAGCCCGCCAGCGACCAGCCCGGGAAGCCCCGGGCAGTTTTCTGGCTTTGAACCCGAGGGGCTTAGGTGGGCAGTTTCCGAGCCCAGACTTCAGGGTAACCACCTCACTTGGGTTATAAGGATTTCTGAGGTCTGGACCACCCCGAATGTGGCCTATCTCCCTGGAGGGGCCCTGGGCAGGTGTGACTGACAGGAATCAGCTTGCTAGCCCCACCCTTCTCAGGGCGGGGCCTTAAGGTCTGAGGAATACCACCCCCCCACCCCCCCCACCCCGTGCCGTGACCAGCCAGAGCTTTGGGGGGAGGGAGAAGAGAGTTGGGGTGAATCTTGACCAAGTATGGCCACCCCACCTTCTAGACAAGGTGGAGCTTCCAACATACCGTCAAGACCCAAATGGGATTTTATTGTCAAAAAGGAGGGGGGAAAGACACTACCAGTAACAAAATCCGATCCCTCCCCCACCCAACCACAGTACGAGAAGAGCTTGCCAGCCTCTCCCCAACCATCCAGGTGCCCCCAACCATCCAGGTGTGGGCCCAGGAGCCTCTCCCACTAACAGCCCCATCCCCCGTTTCCGAGGCTGGGTCTGGCCACAGGTCTCTGCAGGATTTTGGCAACAGAGTTCTGTCTGGGAGGCCAGGAAGCCCTGTCATCCTGGCCTGCTTCTGGGCTCACGTCCCTTCCCCGGTGGCACTGAGAGCATGGAGGGTTAAGCAGGTGCATCGCAGTTCCTGGGGCTCAGGAGCCCCAACCTTCTGAGGTCCTGGGCTCCTGCTTCCAGGTCACCCCCGTCTGCCCTGCCTCCATCTCCCATTTCCTGCCACACCCCGTTCAGGCTCGGGGCCAGGAGGGTGGGTTCCAGGCAGGGGTCCTCAGTTACGCCGGAAGCGTCCGTCTTTGCCATGGGTGCTTGCGCCATGGGGCAGGCGGGGCCCACGGCTCGCCCGCCGGGAAACAGCAGCTGGGTTGGAGGGCGCAGCGAGCGGTGAGGTGTCCCCAGGGCCTGCAGCAGGAAATGGCCAGGACCAGGGATTTAGGGATGTCCCCTCTCCCCCGCCTGATCACTAATATCTTGCACTCCTTAGGGGCGCAACCCCAAGCAGCTAGTCCCACGAGTGTCCCGCAAGAACCCTGTTTCCAGCGGGAGGCAGCCATAGGGGCAGGGAGCGCAACGGCCCCTCCCTGGGCCGGTCAAGGCCTCCCGGTCCCCAGTCCCTCCAGGGGTGTTACTGACCCATGTTCTGGCTTGGAGGGAGTTTGACTTTGGCCAAAGGCAGCGTGACCTTTCCCAGGTGCCGGCTGCCAGGGTTGGGGTGCCGGCGCACTGGCATCCTGTGGTCGGAGCTGCTCTCCAGGGGGCGGGATCCCGGGAGGTGTGACTTGGGGCAGGAGAGCTGCACGGTTGGAGCACAGTGAGGTGAGGCGACCGACACGGGGATCTGCCGTGGGGACCAGCCACAAGGCCAACCGTGGGGACAGGAATGGAGTGGGCTGGGGGGTGGGGGTGGGCGGGTGTAGCTACCCTGGGGTCCCCTAAGAAATCCAGCCCTCACACCCTCACCCACAACAAAGGGGTCCTGCCCCCATGTCTCACCCCTTGCCCTGTGACCTCAAAGGACCGGGACCTCCGCTTCCTCTTCTTGGCCTCCAGCGACTCCTCCCGCCTCTTGCCCAGGATTTTCTTCTGGCCCCGCAGCCAGGGCCCAGGACCATCACCATGATGCCCGACCGCCCGGGACGGCGCTTCTCCCGTGCTGCTGGACAGGTTGTCCTCGCTGGCAGCGTGCTGCAGCATGGGGCTGGACGGCCGCTTGCAGGCCAGGGGGCCCGGTGGGCCCAAATCTTCAGCTTCGCTCAGCGAGTGCAAGGACAGGCTGCTGCGCTCCATGGCGGGTGCCAGCAGGTGGCGCCCCTCGGCGCCCAGGGCCCGCGAGCGCCTCCGCGCAGCCTTCACCGAGATGCACTTGGTGCCCGTCAGGATCTCCTTCCTCTCTGCAGCGGGACAGAGGATCCCAAGCCCGGATCAAGGCCACACATCCCTCCCCTCCTGCACCACCTCGACAGCCCTCCAATGCACAAATGAGCAGAATCCAGAATGTTCGCAGCTCCATCCTAGCACCCCCACTAGCTGGCTATTTAAAAAACTGGGGGCACGTTCCTGAGCTGACTTTCATCTATAAACTGGGGGTGGTAAAATAACCCCCATAGGGTTTTGTAAAGATTCACTGAGCTAACGGCTTAGCCTAGGGCGAGGGGGGGATTTGGTCTGTGTTTGCCATTACAATTATGACTGAGTGGAGGGAGGGCTCCATCTAGTGCCGTGGGCTCCCCGTTCTCATTTCCGGCGGTGCGCCCCGCCGTCCCGCAGCAGCCGCTCGCCCGCTCTGGCCTCGGTGCCTCTCGCCATAGGAAGGGCGCACCCGTGCACGGGAGCATGCAGCAGCGCAGCAGGCAGGAAAGGGCTAGGGCTGGGTGATCCTGACAGGGTGGGCAGGGGCACACCTTTGCGGGACATGGGGACCTCTGACAGATTCTCGCTGCTTTCGGGGGAAGAGTTGATCCGGCTGCTCGGGCTGACCAGGCTGTCCTGAGTCCAGGGCTGCGGGCAAGGAGGTTGGGGAGAGAAAGGCAGTGAACACAGCGGGGACCCAGGAGCTACTCAGTGGGATGGGGGTAGGGATGGGGCTCCAGGGTGGGGGTGCTTTGGGAGAGGCTCCATGCCCACCACGGGCTGCCCCCTGTGCTTCCGCCTCCAGCGGTGGGGCCCGCGGGCGGGCGGGTGCTCAGTGACTCACCTCCTGAGTCACCAGGCTGCCCATCTGGATGGGGGGTGGGGTGGGCACAGAGGAGCTCTTCACCTGCCAGGCCCGGGGACTGGCCTTGAACATGCGGTTGGCTTCGCTGAGGCTGGCAGAGAAGGACAGGTGGCTGTGACCAGGCCGGTCCCACGGAGGTCCCACCCCCACCCCGGGGGGACAGCTGTTTGCACAAAGGGAGAGACAGCCCACAAGTCCAGGCTCCAGATCCGCGCCAGCTTCCCTTCCACCACTCTCCACCTTCCCCAGGTGGCTGCCATCCGCTTCGGCCCCCAGGGCCCGGCCCGGCCTGTGGTGGTGCCGGCAGAGGGGCTGGAAGGAAGCGGCCTCTGGCCTCACCTCTCCAAGCCGAGGGGAGGGAGCATGCTGCTCTGCAGGCGCTGGGCTTCAGAGTCCAGCATCTTCACGCTCTCAGGGTCAGACTCGGGGGTCAGCGTGGCTCCTGCTGTGGTAATTTTGGGCAAAGAGCTGTCCTGGGGTGGAGAGAGGCAGGAGGGCACAGTCAGAGGCTTGGTCCTGGAGCCGTAACAACGTGGGGCGACGGAGGCGCACACAGGGTGACCAGGGCTGCAACATGGGCTGGGAGTCCTGCAGGCAGTGAGTGTTCTGAGTCCCCAGGGCTGAGCTGGTCAGGCAGGCATCCTGAGTGGCACTGCCTGATGCCCTGGCCTCCTGGGAGGGCATCAGGGGCCATCTGTGACATCTCAGACCCTGCGTGGGAACAAGTGCCAAAGAAGAATGGCCAAAATGAAGCCCTGACTCAGGGCTGGCAAGGCCTGGGTGGGTAAGAGGGAAAGGAAGCAGCCCCCTGGGGGGCCAGCCCGTGGCCATCCCAGCTACCTGCAGGCATTGCTTGGGCATCAGCCTGCTCTCTGCACCTGTGCGTGCATACTCCCAGGACCTGGTGCCCACCTGCAGGGCCCTAGAGGCCACCCGGTCCATGATGGTGGCCCGCTCCAGGCTGCCCTCCTCCAGCTCCCGCAGGTAGGCGTCATACAGCTCCTCCAGGTGCTGGGGGACCGCCAGGTTGTAGTCTGCAGGGAGGGAGCAGGCTCAGCGCAGGCTCTCCGGGTGGGCCCGAGGCTGCTGGGCTGCTGGGCAGTGCCCGGGCAGGTCCTACCGTCAATGAGCTGCCGCTGGCCCTGGATGATCTCGTCGCAGAGGCTGCGGTGCTGCTCCAGGCGGCGCACGGCCTCGCGGCGGTGGCGGAGGGCGCCGTCGCGGAGCAGCGCGTGGGACTGCATCTCCGCGTTCTCCACCTCCAGCTCGTGCACGCGGCACAGCAGGCTGAGCACCTCGCGCTGCTCCTCCGAGCCGATGCGGCGCGGCAGGGTCTCCTCCAGGCGGCGGCCCCGCGCGCGGAGCTCCCGACAGCGCTGCTCCAGGGCCAGCTGGGGTGGGCGGGAGGGGTCAGGCGGGGAGTCTGCCCCCCTCCCTCCAACCCCTCAACTCTGCGTGGGCAAAGGTGCTCTATGAGGGGCCTTGCAACCAGAGGCTGCGGCGAAGGGACCCCTCCCTGCGCAATTTGAGGCACAGCCCACACAGCCCACCGCTGGAGCCAGTTGGGTGCATATGTGCTCAAGCCTCGCCCAGCTGAGCCCTCTGGTTCCGTACCCTGGCACCTCCTGGTTTGGGTAAGCTGCGGCGCAGAAGGCAATGATCTAAATCTTAAAAACCCTGCTTGTAATATCAGGTGCCACTGTTAGGGTCCTTAGCATGGAAAAGGCATTTATTTCATCTCTCCTGCCCCCAACCGGGGCTGCACCATGATTATTCCCCTTTTGCAGACGGGAACGCGAGGTACGAGACGCTAAGGGGCTTAGAAAAGTCAGCCAGGGCTTGTGGCCGCGTCTCACTCCCCTCCAGCCCCACTCCCAGCCCCTCCGGCCTTGGCCTCTCAAACCCACTTTCCTGCCCCCACCCTCCCCGCACCTTCTGCTTGCGCAGCTTCTTCTGCTCACCCACCAGGGTGGCGATGCTCTCCCGGGCTGAGGCCACCTCTGGCGGCTCCAGGATGTCTGGCTGGTCATCGCCGGTGTCCGAGTCTTTCTCGCTGTCCTCCTTGGTGTAGGACTCCTTTCTCTGCTCCTCCCGCCATTTGAGGGCCCTCCGCGACTTCTCGTGCTCCCAGCTGTCACAGCCCCACCCCAGGAAGACACAGCGTTCAGGCCGCGGGGACACAGCGTGCCATCAGTTCGTGGCCTCTCCATCCCAGGCCCAGGGCTGGGACCTGGGGGTGCTTACCCGGCGATGGTGAGCAGGTGGCGGGAGGTGTCGATCTGGACCTCCATGGCATGGTTCTCCAGCTCCAGCAGGCGTCTCCGCACATCCATCTGCTCTTGGAACGCACTGATGAGCTGCTCTCGCAGCTGCCCCATCTCAGCCTGCTCGCCCTGCCCGTTGTGCAGTTGGACCTCGGCTGCCCAGAGGATAGGGGTGCAGGCGGTCAGTGGAAGAGGAAGGCTGAGGCCAGGAAAATCGCAAACCACTTCCTGTTCAATCACCTCCTCCAGAAAGTCCTCCTAGATTCCTACCTCCTCCCACACCTCACTTCCACGCTGAGATTTCAGGCTGAGGCCCAGAGGGGACTCCAGCGCCTCTGTATGAACTGGGCTGCTGCTGGCCCTCACAGCATCTTTGTGTGAGAGATTTTAAAAATGCCCTTTAGATACTTTCCTGCCATCTGTATGAAAACCATCAAATACACAAGTCTAGAAGACAATGGCGTTCTTGCTGATGCTGGGCATGGTCTCACAGCCCTACCCTCGCCACAGCCAAACGCTCACTCCTGTGATCCCAACTCGTCTCCACGCCGACTCTCTGAAGCAGAGATTACAATTCCGTTTTCTAGTCGGAGAACAGAAGGCTCAGAGCCTCAGAGTCTGCCAGAAACAGCCTGAGTTTGGATATGAACCCAGAGCAGTTTGGGATGGCCTGGGAGGGTTCCAGAGCCGGACCCCAGCACACACCTTGGATCTGGCGGATATCGCCCCGCTCCAGCCGGCCTCTGGCCTGGCCCCGCCCGCCCTGCTCATCGATCTTGCACTTGAGCCTTTGGATCTCGCCTCGCAGGTCGGCGATGATGCTGGTGTACTGGGCGATGTGGTAGGAGACATTGAGCAGGTTCTGCTTCACCTGTGGAGGGCGTGGCATGGGGGCACGTCAGGTAGTCACCCCCTGTGCTGAGGCCTTTCTCGGGGGTTCTTCCTTTTTGTCTTCCCCATCTTTCTAGGTGACAGCAATGGCCTCCTTGCCTCCAACCCCACAACCTTGCACACCTGTAACCAAGCTTAGATGGTTAAATGACGCTCAGACACTACAGCACAAAAGGAAAACAACTATCGAACTTTCCCTTTGAGGTTTGCTTTTAGAGACACACCAGAGCCCAAATCTTACTTAAAAATTCAGAGGAGGGGGAGCTACCCAGAGGCAAGGGACCCACCAACAGAAATTCAAAGCTCCAGTTACCTGGAGAAGAGGCTCTTTGATTTCTTCACACCAGCCACATGTCTGAATTTGAGCCACATCCACATTTCTTTGCCTATAGCTCGCTCCTTGGCCAATAAACTTGAACTCCTTTGTTCTCAATCTTGGTCCCCAAAACCTATATAACCTTATTCCCTTTCTTAATCAGGGAGCAGATGAGTTTTTCCCCTGCCTCCTTGTCAAATGATTTGCAATAAAAGCCTTTCTTTTCTCACAATCTGTTACAGTAATTGGTTTTATGCGCACGAGGCAGCGAGTCCACGGCCTGGCAATATACCCACACGCCTCTGCCAGATCCGTCCCTGACAGTGCTGCTTCCCTGGGCATCCACCTCAGGGGGTCCCTCCTGCTTAGAGGAGTGTCCTAATTCTTTCACCTGGTGCAGAAGGCCCACCCCTATCTCTCTGGATTTTTTTTTTTTTAAACTCTCTGCTCCATTATGCATATCTGTGCTCTAGCCAAGGAACTACCCTGTTCTCCCACCCCCACCACAGACACCCTGTCCTCCCGGCCTTTGCACCACCACCTTTACGCTCTCCCTTCTGAAGGGTCCTCCCCACCCCCACTCAGCCCCCAAAGAGCTACATGGGATCCTGTCAGCCCCCCTTTCCTGTCCCCTGACCTATCCCAGCACCCACAGTTGCATCATTTACCCACTATTAATAATATTCTGTTCCAAAGACATGTCTCTTCTCCGCCATTAAGTTCCTTGAAGGTTGGAATAAAACTGGAGCACCCAGGAGAGCATCTGATCACTAATGCTCTCGTCCCTTTCTCCAGTCCTGCCCCCAAACACGCGGGTGGCAATGGACTTCCTAACAGATACGGGGGCTCTAACACCTCTCTCAGAGGCTGAGAACAGGGCTGGGAACCCAGGCAGACCCAGGTCCAGTCTCGGCACCATCACTGACCCCCTGGGAAGTCACTTAGCTTCCTTCAGCTTCATTTTCCTAAACTGTGAAGTGGGAACACTAATAACTTCTGTCTCCTCTGAGGAGCAAATGAGAGGACGGGCCAAAGGCTCGAGGAAATGCCCAGGAACGGCCACTAGCTCTGGCCACTAGGATTTGGGACTTTGAACATATAAATGCTGAATGAGCATCTCAAGTGAAAAGGAGCAGGTGGAAAGGAATGGGGTGGGGGGCACAGACCTTGAGCAAGAAGAAGGGGAGCCTCGGGAGCCGGGGGCTTCCTGGCTGGCCAGCAGGTGTGGGAGGTACAGGGGTGGGCAGGGAAGTGACATTTGACTGGGGAGTGAGGCAGAGAGATGGGGAGGGAGGCAGGGCCTGGGACCCGTCTGAGGGCTTGTGTCTTGGTCCAGGAAGGAGTGTTCTGCGGGGAGAGACCAAGGGCCCTCACCCTGGTCTTGATGTTCTTGGCCCGGCCGGCGTAGGTCAGGGTGTTCCGGGACTCCTCAAAGGCGCTGCTCGCCGGGCTGATGTGGGCGATCATCACTGTGCGGCTGTTCCCCCCCAGGGAGTCCTGGGCAGGGAGGAGGGTGGGCCGGGGTCAGTGGTCCTGCCCCCTTGGCCCCTGCTCCTGCCAGGCCCTTCACCATACCCTCCCTGCCATGCCCTCCATGGTGTGGGTTCGCCTACTCTCTCCCGCTCTTCTCCCATCCCCCACCCCCCTCTCTCTCTTTCTCACACGCGCACACACTGACCGGTGCTGCTGATGACATCACTTGGATGCTCCTGAGTCTATTTCCCCTCCCCCCTCCAATCCCCCTTCCCATTTCCAGCCCGCAGCCTCTGCAGCGTGGGTTTGATTCCCGGCTGGCCAGGGAGATACCCACATGGCGCAGCAGACCTCTCCTGTCTCGCCCGCTGCTCCCCTCAGCAGTGTATTTTGTCAGTCTGCCTGTTCTGTTCCCCGCTCTGTCTCTGGTGAATCCTCTCACCCTCCCGTGCCTCTGACTGTACCCCAGTTCTTGTATAAATAAATTAATCTTAAAAAAAAAGTTCATATCGGCTTTGGGACCGTCCTTTTCCCCCTACTGCCCACTCTTCAGTTAGGGTCAGCAGATGACAAAGGACACCAGTCAAGTCTGAATTTCAGACAAATAGTAAAAGATTTTTTTTTTTTTTTTAGTATAAGTATATCCCAAATTTTGCTTGGGTCATACTTATCCCAAAACAAATGCTGTATATCTAGAATTCAGATTTAGCGGGGCGTCCAGTATTTTTGGCTACATCTGGCAGCGCTGCCCTCGGCGTCCGTGCCAGGCCGGCCGTAGCGGGTACCTTCAGGAGCCGCGTGAGCTTGCTGTCCCGGTAATTAATGTACTTGTTGCTGCTCTTGTCGCTCAGCGCGTTGATGCAGTTGCCCAGGGCCAGCAGGGAGCGGTTGATGTGGGCCCCCTCCTTCATGCGCTGCCCGCGGTTCTGCGTCTGGGGGGCAGGCAGTGGGCATGAGGGTGGCCTCATGGGGCAGGGGACTGGCTTCACTGCCAACCCCCTGGCTGAGCCCCTCTCCCTCGGGGCTCTGAGATGTGACCATGACTGAGAGGGCCTCATCCTCTCGGCCATCAGGAAGGCCTCTGAACAGAGCCTCCCAGCATGGCAGAGAGAGCCTGGGCACCAGAGTGGGCACCAGGCCTGGCTTAGCACAGGCGGAGGATGAAGTGCAGGGAGGGTGTGGCCACAACCACAGGCACCAGGGTTTAGAGGGCGCCCTGGTTGTTAGGGAGGAGGAAAGAGTGTGTGTGTGTGTGTGTGTGTGTGTGTGTGTGTGTGTGTGTGTGTGTGTGTCCTTTCCTGGCCTGCGGGATGGTGCCAGGCTGAGGAGGCTCTGCCCACAGCTGCCCAGCCCAGCACCTCTGCCCAGCCCTCCCAAGCTGGCTCCTCCCTTGCTGCCCTCCAGGAAGCCCTCAGGCCTTACTGGAAAAAGTGTTTCTCAAACCCCACCTACCCACCCAACCCCCCATGTTGATTCTCCCACCTCCTTCCTGTCCTTTGCATTTGCATCAGAGCTTACAGGGCGTCACTCAGCCTCATCCTCCAGGTGACCCTTAACCCCCCAAGCTTGCCTGCAGGAGGGTGGGGAACCCCCACGGGGTGGTGCTGTGGCCCAGAGCCAGAGGGCTGCTTAGTGATGGTAGGGGAGGCAGCTGAGAGAGATGGGTGACAGGTCTCTCCTCCCGGGGCGTGGCTGCCAGCGCCCTCTCCTGCCCTTCATCTCCTGCCCATGGCCCTTCTCTGGGGCCAGTCTCCTTCCCTGGAGGAGCCCCACCCCCACACTCCTTCCCACAAATAGCCCCTAAGTGCTTCTCTGGGAAACCCCACTTCACCCTGCCCTCCTCCTCTGGGACATTCCTCTGTCCCCTGGGATGGTGTCCCCCACACTCCCTGGGGAGCTGGAGGCTGGCTCCTCCCCTCCTCCAAACCTTTCTCCCCAGTTACCTGGGAGGCATTGCTCCCCCACCCCAACACCCCTACTCCTAACCCCAAGGGGGAGCTGGCTTCACCTGGGAGATGGCCCTCCCACCCCAGCCCGTGCACAGGCCTCACCTGGGAGGCCCGCTCCGAGCCGGCCAGGTCAATCATGAACAGGCGGCCCTGCCGCACCTCCTGCAGGATGTTCTTGACCCGGCTGCGCTGGCGCACGGCCACCTGCAGCACGGCGTGCGAGCGGGAGGACGTCTGGTTGGCCGCTGTGGGCTCCTGCGTCCTCTGCCGGTTCCCCTTCATCAGCAGCTGCATGATCTGGGTGGGCAGGTGGGGGGCTCTCTTAGGGACCTTGGGATGTCCCACACCCACCTGTGAGAGGCTGGGAAGGGGTGGGCGGGGTGGGCAGGTGGCCCGGAGTGCTGAGGCGTCTGGGTGCCTGGCTGGTCCCCCAGGGGGTGGAGGCAGGTGTGAGAATGCCCCCGCTGGCCGTCATGCAGCTGCCTCTCTGCCTGCTCCAGTGCCAGCAGAGTGGGCAGCTGCGCCCTTGGGGGGAGGGTCCCTTTCCACCCCCGCTGGCTGCGCAAGACTCACCTCTTTGGCATTGATGGTGGAGACCTCGGTGATTCCGGCCACCTGGATCACCCCTTTGGAGTCCTCCCTCAGCTCCAGGTACCCCAGTGTGGGGTTCAGCAGGTCTCGGATCATCTCATTGTAGATCTGACGGGCGGGTGGGCATGGGCATTGCATAAGGGCAGGATGTCCGGCCCAGGGCTGGGAGGTCCCGGGTCCCTTCTTATCCATGTGGTTGCTGCAGCCTCACAGGGAGGCATCTGCTGCCACAGTCGAGGGCCTGAGGCACCAGGACCAAGCTGGACTCCCTTTGCAGGTGGCTGGGCCCTGAGCAGAGGATGGACCTGACCCATGACCAGGCTGGCTTGCTGCTAGGCAACCCCCACGCTGCTTCTCTCCCCCTCTCCCTCCCAACAAGGTGCGTCTTGCTGGCTGGAGCCGCTGCTGGTGGCAATGCCTCGCTGCCCTCTGAGAGCTGTCACCCAGGAGATTATCAGGAGGGAGCAGAGGGAGAGCCAGGAGCCAGATGGAGTCCAGCCCACTGGCCATCCGCCTCCTCTGGCCTCCGTGCTCCTGCCCCTGCTGTGCCACGGCTGCCTGGCGGCAGTGCTCCCACAGGTGGGCGCGCGGCAGTGGCAGGTAGCGAGGGGGCAGGTTCATGCCCGTCCATGTGTGTGCAGTTCCCACCAGCACCCATACACCTGGAGGGAGCAGCAGGGCTGACGATGCTTTCAGGGCCGGGAGGATGGCAAGGTGAGGCTGGAGCCGTCTGGGAAGGCGGCTGAGGCTGGGGACTACTCTGGAGTGGGGCGCAATGGCAGGGCTTGGATTTGGAAGAAAATGGGTCCTGAGTTTGAACGCCGGCTCCCTCACTGTGTGCCACAGATGGACCTGTCGAAGCCCTCTGGGCCTCAGATGCTTATAGAACAGGTTGACAGTTATTTGTGTGAGGGATGAGCACCCCAGTGTCTGTTCCCAGGGCGGTGGCCCGGCCCATCCCATGGGCCTCTCTTCCAGGCCTGGGGCTCACCTCCAGGTAGGACATGGACACCTCATATTCCATGTCGTTGCTGGTCTCCTCAATGGTGCGGAAGAGGTCGTTGAGGGTTCGAACGTAGATGCCCGGCTCGTGGTCTGTGCCCAGCATGGTGTAGGTTTTCCCACAGCCTGGGCAGAGCGGGTGGCAGTGAGCAGGGTGGGGGCCATGGCCTTGGAGGGCAGGGGCTCCCGCAAGCCGGGGTCTGTCCTCCAGGCGAGGCCTGCCCCCCTGGCTGGGGTGGGGGGAGGGAAGAGGGGAGGATGACGTCCCTGGCTGGGGAGGGGCCTCTGGCGAGAGCAGGGGGTGGGGGGGGGGCTGGGTCAGCTGCATCCTTGATTCCTGCCAGCTGGGATCAGACCAGCTCCGTGATGGAGAAGGAGGGGGCCAGGGCCAGAGTCCTCTCCCCGTCTAGGCCCCTCACCTGTGGGGCCGTAGGCGAAGACGGTGGCATTGTAGCCGGAGACGACGCCTTCGATGAGGCTCTTGGTGGTGGCCTGATACACCATCTCCTGCGGGCCAGAGGGAGCTAGTCGGGGCCTGCCCGCAGCAGGCGGGGCCCACGGGCACGGCCCAGCCCTCGTGGGAGCTGTCTCTGTCCCTGGAGCCCTCAGCCCCAGAGCAGCGGTGGTGGGGAGGGGTGTGCAGTCTCTGCTTTCAGCCCATGGCGGACACCAGCCCGGGAGAGCGCTCAGGACACCCGAGACGCTGCCCTCCAGAGCTGGCTCTTGGCCCCTGGATCCAAGGGTGTATTTCATCTGCTATTAGGAGCACCCGCAGATGGGCCGACAGGGGTCCCCGGGAGGGTGTCAGCTTCCCTGTGACTCCCCCTGGCACCAGATGGGTTTCAGGGCCTTCCTGCAGCTCCCCAGGGGCCAATGGCAGGTGTGCTGGTGGGTTCGGGGTCGGGTGGTGTCTGCATGGCCACCAGGTGCGTCTAGGCGGCGAGTAAGCCCCGTGGCGCCTGCACCCGTGTGCACGTGATGTGGTGGGGTGAGAGCTGGGGAGCCTGTTGGGGGGAGTCCAAAGAGGCTGTCGCAGGGTCCCCCAGGGCTCCCTCCCTCCCTCCCTCCCTCGTGTCCCGGGCCAGGCCCTCCCTCACCTGGGTGGCAGTGAAGTCAAAGGCCACGTCGAACAGGTAGGACTTCTCCCGGGAGCGGTGCGCCCGCAGGATGTCGTCTGGGTCCTCCATGGGGTCCATGAGAACCACCATCTGCAAGGTCCGGGAGGGAGGCTGGGGTCGCCTGGGGCACCTGACATCAAGCTGACCTCAGTCCACCTCACTCTGCTGTGTGAGGGGCCAGAAGCCAGGGTGCCCAGCCAGGCCCCCCGGGAGGTCCTGGTTGGGCAGCCCTGGCCAGCCCTGTCCCCAGCACCTCTGTCCCATCTGGGCACCCCCTGAGGCCCAAAGGGGAGCCTCTGGGAAAAATGATGCCTCGAAGGAGAGCCCCGTGGTGCTGGGCACACCTCTGCCCAGCAGGGGGGCAGTGCGCAGCCCCCACTTGTTCAGCACTGATTTCGTGCCACAGGCTGCTCGCCCTCGAGGTCCTGGGGCTGGCTCAGGCCCCCGTGCGAGGCCAGGTGGCCGACCCACCACCGTTCCCGCCTCTCGGAGGAGGAAAACGAGGCCCAAAGATGTGACTCGCCTGAGCTCAACACTAGCAAGAGGGGCCGGGGGCTCCCACCCCAGGGGCAGCTGGGCCCAAGGGTGCTGACCTGGCCCCCTCGCGCAGGGCGGGGTGATGGGCAGGAGTGCAGGTCAGGGGCAGGGTCTCAATACCCATCCTCCCTCCCAAGTGGGGTCCCCGTTCCCAGGAGGTGCCCGGGGGCAGGGCCACACTGCGGAGCCTAGCTCAGGCGCAGCAGGTAAGGTGGAGCCCTCGCCGGAGGGGCGGTGGGCACTAGGGGGCTGCAGGGGTGGTCTCGGCCGGTGGGGGAGCTCGCCGGCCCCCTCCCCTCCCAGCTGCTCCTCCGGGTCCATAGCGACAGTCGTCCCCTAAGGCAGCCCTTGGCCGTGAATTCATGATCCTCATGCTCAGGGGGCACCTCGCAGCGAGGGGGCGCAGCTAGGACACGCGGGGCCAGACGGGCGCTGGCTGTGGCTCTCGGCTGGCGCTCTGCCCACCCTCCAGAACCCACTCCCTCCTGACCCCCCAGCCCGGGGAGCTGGCAGGAGAGGCCCTGACCCTCGGCAGTTGCCCCACCCCAGCCAGGGCCCAGCACCCGCTGTACACACGGGCCCGACCTAATTTTTCCTGGGAGATGTGCCCAAGGAGGGAAAGAGAGCCCGAGGGGGCCAGGCTAGGTGAGCGGGTGCCACCGGGGACGCCGAGGCAGACCCTCCCCGGGTCAGCAGGGAGCCAAGGTCAGGGGTAGTCCCCAAAAGGGCTGGACAACAGATGAGGATGAGGGGCAGCTGCTCCGAGGGACAGAGGGGCTGAGGGAGAGGACACGGGCCTGGGGTTTAGGAGGTGAGGTCCCGGGGGGTCAGCCTGGGGACTCCTGCAGACCTCCTCAGCCTTACTCAGACGTCCATTCAACCAGTGGGGTCCCTGCTAAGGCAGTTAGGGGGAGCACTGCCGACACGCTGGGCTGGGGCTTCCAGGTGAGCCCCCTCACAGCTGGTCAATGGCTGGGTGGCCACGGTGGTCTGAGAGCAGGGCCTGGGGGGTCCAACCCCTCAGGGCTTCAGCCCCAATACCCGCTAAGCCTCTTTCAGGCTCCAGCCTCTGCCGCAGGTCCGGAAGGCCGGATCAAGTTTCAGATCCAACTGAGAGTAACCAGACAGAAGGTCCCTGGCTCTGAACAAGAAAAGAAGGAAATCTGACCAGCTGGACCAGCTCCCGGGACAGGGCAGGGCCTGAGCCCCAGGGGCACCCTCTGGCGGCCTGAGGGGCAGGAGAAGGTGAGCAGCATGCGCTGAGGCCCCTCACCCACTGATGACCTTCCAGTGACCTCTGGGCACTGCCAAGTTCATGACACCCTGGGTATTTCATTCCTTTGCTCTCCAGGCTCCTGAATCAGCTCATTGTGAGCAGGGCAGCCGTGATCCCCTCTTAAAGAGGGCTTTGTCTGGGTCTCCATCTGTCTGGGCCCTGGCCCACACCCCACCCTCCCAAGCAGTCCCCCTCAATCCCCGTCCACTCTGCATACAATGGAGCCCTTGTGCCCCTCAGCCAGGTGAACTGGAGCTGAGCCACGGAGCAGAGGGGTGCCCTGGACCGAGGCCTGGTCAGTCGACACAGTGCGAGCACCCCTTGTGTGCCCCACATTCAGCAGGAACAGAGAGAAAGAGAGCTGCGCTTGCTGCCCGTGACATTCAGAGTGGAGAATAGATATTTTAGTAACAGGAGCCAGGCTCCAGCAGGCCACCGAGGAGTGGCACCTGATCCAGCCGTACCACCCCAGGAAGGCTTCCTGGAAGCAGTGGCACAGCCTTGAGTCTTAAAGGAGGAGCGGAGATGGGAAGAGATGGAGCATTCGTGGCAGTGGCCACGGGCATCGGTTCTCAGCTGACCACACCAGGGTGCCCGGGACAGAGGCAGAGCTGGGATGCTCAGAATTTCCCCTCTGTCACTGGTACAGAGACCAGACGCCAGGCCCCTCTGGACCACATGATGTCCCCCCCCCCACCCTGCCCCGGGGCCTCCTGCACATCCTCCAAGTCTCCTAAATGTCCCCTGACTGCCCCCAGCCACACCCAGGGAGCGTTTGCTGGATAAAGCCGCCTTTATGGGGAGCTCAGTGCCAGGCTGGCACTCAAGCGTTTTCTCATTTTCTCTGACACCTGGGAGCAGGCACTGTTACCACAGGATGTGGTGAGGATCAGATCGGTTACGTGAGGTGCCCAGCGCCCCACTGCCGAGCATAGATGAGTCAACTGTGAGGTTTCAGAAGCCAGGCCGTTCACCCCCGGCCACCACCTCTGCCCTGAGAGAGCCGGCAGGCCCACACGGCCTGGAAGGGTTGGGCTGGATTCTCCCAAGGTTCGTACGTGGAAGGCTTGGCCTCCAGGCCCTCAGAACGTGACCGCAGATGTAATTAGTTAAGATGGCGTGCTGCAGGGTGGCCCCTAATCTGGTATGGCTGGGGTCCATAACGAGTGCGGGCATGTGGACACAGACATGCCTGGCGGGAGGACAACGTGAGGACGCACGAGGCTGTGGCAGGTTCTCCTGAGCCCCTGAAAGAACCAGCCCTGGGGAGAATGCTCTGCGGCCCCGCCCAGTCCAGGTGCTCCATGATGGCTGCCTTGGTGCTGCTCCGGCAAGGAGGTGGACACAGCCCTGAGCTGGGGCCCTGGCCAGCCCCCCTGGCAGCCTGAAGGCAGGATTAGCGAGTTAGGCCGGCACCCCTCCCTTTCAGTGAGGATGCTGCTCACACAGGACACCGAGAGGCCCCCCCTGCGTGGACAAGAGGTGGGAGATAGGCCCCAGACCAGGGGAGGTGGGCAGGGAGGTGGGCAGGTGTCTCCACAGTCCAGCTCTTCCCACTCGGCGGGGCCCCAGCTCGACCTCTCCCCACCCCACTGCCTCCATCCTGACTGTCCTGATTCAATGTCAGCTGAGCTCGGACTTAGGGGCTGGAAACCCAATTTCTAGCGGGGGCTTGGACTAGAGGGGTGGTGTCTAGTCTGGGAACTGTCCCCTGCAAGACCCGGCTCCTCCCCAGCATCTCCTAGGTGAGAAACACCGGGAGCAAAGCCTGCTGGGAGCTCGTCCTCCTGCACACCACACAGCTGTGGGGCTCTCTGGTCAGCTGCACCTTTCACCGGCTCCCTGAGGCCTCCAGCAGCTAAACCAACATTGGCGTTTCTCAATCTCTGCACTGTTGACACTCTGGGTTGGGCCATTGTTAGTGGGACAGGTCTGTGCACTGCAGGGTGTTGAGCAGCACCCTGGCCTCTCCCTGCAAAATGTCAAATGTCCCCCGAGGGGCAAAATTGCCCCCCATTGAGGACCTCTGCCCTAGACTGTTCCTCCTCAAACCTCCAAGAATAGCAGCGAAAATCTAAGGGTGGGGGGTGCCAACAGTGGGGTCTGGATGAACACTGCTGTGTGACCTTGAGGCAACTACGTCACCTCTCTGAGTCCCAAGTTGAAAGTCAGGGAGGGAGGACCAGCAAAGTCACAGCCAAGAGTGAGGCATTATTCCAACTCCCCCAGTCTACTGGGGAAACCTCAACAAAGAATCTGAATTGGGGAAGACCCCGCCTAGGAGACTTCCTTTCCAGACCATGGAGCCAGACCTACCCCCAGCCCCTTTATTCATGGGGTATAAATAACAGCAATACAAAGCCTGGTTCCAGACCCCATAAGACTGCTCTTGGGTTTTTGTTTGTTTTTTTTCTTTAAGGAGAACACAGTCCCTGTGAGGACATCCAGGCAGGTGTCCCTGCGCCCTGTCAGCTCTCAGGTACATAGTTAAGGTCAGGTCGAGCCTGCTGAGCTCATAAAGCCACCAAAGCCTGGCTGGCTACTTAGGACTGAGCCACACCTGGTGGATGTCCTGCTCAGGCCCCACCTGCCAATAGGACCCTGAGGCCCCAGAGGCCCAGGATTCGGGTAGTGTGGTCTGAAAGAGAGCGGAGGGCTGCATCTCTTATGGGTCTGCAGACAACTTCATCAGAGTCCTGTTCCCACCCCCCCAGCGGAGCTTGTAAAATGCAGATTCCTAGTAGATTCCTGACTGTCCAGATTCACAGCATCCGACTCTAGGGGAAGTGGGCCCACAAATCTGTTCTTTAAATGAGCAGTCAGGGTATGGACCCCTCCAGACGCCAAGTGTAAGAAGCCTTGAGTCTTTGCAACATTATTCACAATCACCAAATGGTAGGAAGCAACCCCAAGCCCCACCAGCTGATGAGAGGATAATACCACGTGGGTTATCTCTACCAGGTGACATTATCCAGCCACAAAAAGGAGCAGGGCCTGACACCAGGGACAACGTGGATGAGCCTCGAAGACATTATACTCTTTGCCCCTGAGCAACGAGGGGGTTGGGGCACTGACCCTGTACGCGGGGAAAGTTCTGCAGATAGTTTACGACTCCTCCAAAACTTAACCAGTGACCTGCTGTCGTCTTATCCTACTATAAACCCCGGAGGAGCACCGGTGTTGGACGTTACATGTATTAGATACTGTATTCTCACAACAAAGGGAGCCAGAGGAACGCAGCGTTGTCAGGAACATCTCCAGTGGCGCCTCGGTGCGGAGCAGGTGGAGAAGCGGAAGGAGGAGGGAGCACCCAGATGGTGGGTGTATGGGGAGCCCCTCCCCAGGCAGGCGAGTGGGCCACGGCAGCTGCCCCACAGCACTCCTGTCTCTGACGCTGAGCATCTGTCACCTTATCCTTTATTTATCTTTCACAACAGCCTGGCATTTGTGCGGCCAGCCTCCCCCCAGGATCCCGGAATCCTCCGCAGCCCTCGGGCCGGTGGAGCTGGCTGGAGGAGGCCAGGCTGGGAGGAAGCCGGGGTCTGTTCTTGGGCCCACAGCCTTCCAGTCTGCTCTGTCGGAAGTGTGGGGCCTGGGGACGCCACCCTTCTCCAACCTGCCCCCCACTTCTCCATGTCCACCTCATTCTTCCCCTTTTGTCCCTCGCTGTGCCCACCTCACTCTCGCAGTGGGGCTTTGCTGGCTCTCAGACAGACCCCCAGGAGGGCACAAGTGGGTGACGCTGGGCATTGGGCAGATAAAGGCTAATTACGGGATTGTGTATAGTGTCAGGTGACTTAAATCCGGTGGATAAACAGTCTGGAGGGCAGCGAGGAGGCTCAGCAGGCTTTGGGGGTGGGGGCATGGGAGGGAGAAGGTGACTGCTGGTTCTGGTTTCGTCCCCCTCCCCCACCCCGTGCCTACCCCCTGTGGTCGTGGATGGCATCCCTGGGGGCCCTGGGGCTGGGGTCTAGAGCTGCCCCAGAGAGCTCCTGCCACAAGCACGTGTGGAGGGGCCTGCTGAGGACCACCAGAGTAAGTGCTCTGAGCAGGAGGCGGGCTGGATTTCTCTTGCCTCTGGGGGCCCCAAACCATCCTATATTTCAGCTCTGAAGATAAGCCAATGTCTGTAAAGGCCCTACTCTGTGCCAGGCTGGGGTTAGCAGTGTGCACGCCGCCTCTAGCAACAGCCACATGGTCATGTCTGAACTGACCGGTCTCGGGGGCCCCGCCCTGAACCTGCCCTGCACAAGCCCCACCCCCAGCTCCAGCCTCCCAGCTCCAGTTCAGCGGCCTCGTCTCTCCACAGTCATGTCACCTGTGGAAAAGCCACCCCAGCAAAGCCTCAAGTAGCTATGACCTCTGTATCCCCCAGAGAAGAAAGTCAGCCTTGAGGAAGCTGCCCCAGAAGCCCTCAGGGTGGGCCCTGCGGACCTCCAAGGGGCCGGGCCCTCAACAGTGACCTTGGGCCGTGCTGCTCAGCAGTTCCAACCTTCAGGCTAGAAACAGGAACAGCAGAGGTGGGCCATGAGGGCCACAGCCTAGGGAGCAGGCAAAGCAGGGAAAGAGAAATTCTGCATCCCAGGGGCTTCTTTAGATGCGGCGGGGGGCGGGGAGGGGGAGCTGGGCCCAGCAGCACCTCTGCCGGGAGACACTCCATGGCCATGTGGTCCTGGGGACACTCCTAAACTCACCTCACTGGGCTCCAGGCCTCAGAAGGAGCAGCAAAGCGACCACTGACCAGCTGGCCCATCAGGGAGGCTGCCTCACTGACCACCAGCCCCCCAGGGGGCCAGCATGCAAGCCTTAGGGGCCAGGGCCATGGCCAAGCCGAGCTGCCCACGGAGAGGGACAGGCGCAGGGACTGGTCAGGCAGGAGGAAGGGATGATGGTTGTCAATTTTGCTTCTTGGCCTCCTGCGTCCCTGCTTCCTATGTGGCAGGGCCTCATCTGTCAGAGGGACAGAGCAACTCGGGGGCAGCTGGCTTTTAGGAGGGCCCCAAGCTGGCCTTTGCTGTGGCTCCCCCAAACTGCAGGCAGGGCAAGCGCATCTTTGAACCCAGAGGGGACAGCAGGAGCTCGGGGCCAGAAGCCGAGGGCTCTCCCTGCAGGGAGCCCATGTTGTGCAGGTCCCCTTCCTGCCGCTCCAGGCTGACAACGCAGCACCTTGTGGGGACCGGCTGGGACCTTCTCGGGGGCGGAGATGTGAGCTGCGCCAGGCAGGAACCCCCGCTCCGCTTGCAGGAACAGAAAGGAGTCAGTGTTTGCCGTGTGGGCACCCGCACAGCGGGCTGCCAGCCTTGTCATCAGCATCAGTTAATACCCACCAGCCCCCACTCCGGCTGGGAGCCAGAGCGGCAGAGGGCGGGCCAGCAAGCACCGTCATTGTCCTAACCCCGAGGCCTGATATCCTTGGGGACAAGGTGGACAAACAGACAGTGGCCTTGTCTGGAAGATTCTCCTCGAGCTCTTTGGCTCTGCAGGGCTGGACGCTCTCATTAGCCAATCCAGCAGCCCTGGGGGATTTCGGTGGCTAATGACTGACAGGACACTGGGAATTCACAGCTCTTAGCCCCCTACTGCGTGCCAGGCTCTGGAAGCACTCCGGGCCCAGTCTGATGAGACCCCCACCCCAGGCCCAGGGCTGGCAGGAGGCGGCCTACCCAACACTATGTTAGTGGCCCCCTGCTCTGGAGGGCCTGATCAGTTGCGATGGGGCCTTCCCAATCACCCCCACTTTCCCCCAGGTCTTTGAGAACAGCTACCCTTTCCCAAGAGGGAATAAGGAAGAGGAATCAGGAGGCTGGAACCAACCAGCTCCCGCTCTGTTGTGCCTACAACGCCATGGGGTTGAAGGAAGCGCTAGATGGGCACCTGCCCCCAGGGGAGCCCAGAAGTGGGCAGGCTGTGCCACCACCTGTAGCTGGTTCACAAGTCTAGCTTGCCAGGCCCAGGCCAGGCCCAGAAGATGCTCCCTGGGCCTCTCTCTGGATGGCACAGTACCCCCTTGGCTCCTCGAACCCCCAGCACATCCCATCACTTCGGTGAACCCTGGCCCTTAGCAACAGCCTCCTGAGTAGAGGCAAGTGGTGGCTGTCAGATGCCCATGGGCCATACCTCTGTGATGCCCCCTGTCTGGGCACCCAGCCTGCTCTGTCCACCACCATGCCCATGCCCCACTGCCCATGCAAACATCTGATCATGGTGAGATCTGGACACACACACACGCCCCTTACCCCTTCTCTTTTTCCCTTGAGCCACACTGGCCTTTTCTGTTACCCACTGCCATGAACCCCTCTCACCACAGGGCCTTTGCACATGCCAGTCCTCTGCTTGAAATGTCTCCCTTCATGCTCCCCTTCTCCCTCCTGTGAACACTTCTCAGGGACCCCCCCAACCCAGATCTGGGACTAGGTCAAGCCTCCTCTTACTCTCATAGCTTTACAGTGTCTTTGCAGCCCCCTGGTTAGGTCTCGTCTCCCCACAGTCACAGAGGGAGGACAGGGCCTTTTCTGTTCACTGTATATCCCAGCTCCTGACTGTCCTAGCTCCAGTGCGTCCTGCCCAATTGTCACCTTCCGTGTAAAGGGAGGTAGGGCCTGCCCTGCTACCTCCTCATGGTGACAAAGGACAAGAGTTAGCAGGCATCGAAGGACTTTGCAAAGCCCGAGCACTCTGGAGGAGAGCTTTTTCTCTCCTTCCTATAAATACATGCTCTACGGAGAGCAGACATGGTATGCAGGAAAGTCACCTCAGGGGCACGTGGAAGGTGTGGAAGCTTTCAGCTTTTGTGGGTCAATCTAGGAAGGCTGCCTGGAAGAAGAACCCTGGCTATGGACACAGCCAACAGTTCAGTGGGTAGTGGAAAGGTGGCTGCAAGCTCCAGAAGCCCTCCCCGCCCCAGCAGATGAGCAGATGCCCACGCCCAGCCCTGTTCTGCCCGGCGGCTCCTGCATGCAGCCCCATGTACCTGCTCGTCTACTTTATGGGCGATGAGAGTGGCTCCTTCCTCCAGCTCTGCCACACTGATGGGCCGGACCCGGAGTGCCACCTGGGAGGGAAGATCAGACACTTGGGGTTAGGTGGAGAGAGCTGCGGGGGGCCACAGAGAGGAGGAAGAGCAGACCCCAGGACTCCTCCATGGTTCTTCCCTGCCCAGCCACCCCAGGCCTCTGTGGTCTTAAGGAAACGCAGTGGGACAAGCCACTGCCATGGTGCAGGCAGCACGTCCACTTAATGTGGGCCCAGCCTGAGTCTGTGAATTCCCAAGGAGGAGCCGGCGCCACAGGGACAGCCCCAGGGGAGCGCTGTCTGCACCTCCTGCTGCATCCCTCACACACCCAAATTAAGGGCCCACGGCTCTCCTGGGCTTTGAACTTGGAGCCCTGGGCACGGGAGCAGTGTCTGGGAGTCGTGAGCGACACGCTGCACTAGAAGTGCCACACGGAGGGTGAGGGAGGTGTGTGTGCGGCTGGGGTTCCGGGAACTTCCCTACGCCATCCTAACAGCCTGTGCCTACATTCACCCCGGGACTGGCCATCACCACTCACGCTCTGCCTCTACCCTGCAGCCAGTGAGAGATGGGGGTCTTCATTCTTGCACGGGTCTCTGAACAGTGGTCCTGGGAGTGCATCTGAGGGGATGCATTTTTTCTACTGATTGAGGGGGTGCTTGCTGGATTTGTGGGTATAACTAGCAGTTCTGCACCCAATAAGGACATCTCAGAGCGATCTCCGCTGTCAGGCAGGTCACCTGCCCGCCTCACCAGCCACAGGTGGAGGGAAGGACCCTCCATGTTGCCCGGGGGACACATGTGATGCCAAGACCTTTTCAGAGACACCTAAACTGCCCCAGAGCATGTTTCAGGAGCTCCTTGGGCCAAAGCTTGTCTTTGGAGTGTCTTGCTCGCCTTACAGAGGTGGGGTATCTCTGGGGGCCACATTATCCTCAGTTACATCATCACCCACCTGCTGGAGACCGTGCCTGGATCTCAGAAGTGAGGGAGAGGGGAGGGAGCGGGGAGGGCCTTGGGTTTCCTGGGTCTCCCCCTGCACATTTCAAATCAGGAATCTGTCTTCAGCCCTCTGTGCTCCCTGTACCCCGCCCGCCCCCCCAACTCTCTTCCTCTGCCTGAGGCCTGGCTCCCCGGCCACCTCTGTCACTGTTCACTCTCCTCAGAAATATTTAGAGTCGGGGCTGGGCAGTGTGTGCGCTGCAAGCCAGTACAGCCAGATGCCACTCTGACTCCTGGGGACCACCCTCTGCCCAGCTGTGACCCCCCCATCCCTTTAAACACCTGACACCGCAGGGCTGGGGAGCTCTGGGTCGCCAGGAAGCTCCCACCTTCCTCCTCCAGGCAGGGAGGAGAGGACGCTCTGCCCGGCAGGAGACCAGCTGCGGGACCCAGCTCGGGGCCTGGGAGGCATGGGGGGACGCTGCTAAGATGGGGGACAGTGGGAGGGGGTCAGTGGAAGTTGGGGTAACTTCTCAGGCCCCAGAAAGATGGCCATGCTGCTGCTGGTCGGGGCACCCCGGACCCGGGAAAGTTGGTCAAGCCTCCTGAGAGTCCTCTTGGGGGCCGGGGGCGAGGGTGGGCGGAACTGCTCTCCGGGACGCCCCGCTCGAGGTTCCAGGGCGACGCATGGGGCCGGGGCGGCGGGAAGGGTCTCACCATGAGCTGCTGGTCCTTGGAGTCCCCGCTGTCCTTCATGCTCGCGGCGGGTGTTGGGGTCTGGCGGCGACGGCGGGCACGCCCGGGCCGCACCCCCTGCGCCGCGGGCCCCCCGCAGCCTCGCCCGCGCTGCCTGACAACCCGAAACCAACGACGCGCCGCGGCCCAGGGCGCCGACCGGGAGGCGGGGCCGGGACAGCCCCGCGGCGCCTCCCTCTGCGCCCCCGCCCCCCGCCCCCTGCGCCCCCGCCCCCCGCGCCGGGCCGGGAGCTGCCGCCTCCTCCGAGGGGGGCCCCCCCGAGACTGCGCCCCCTTCCTGCGAGCGCCCGCCGGTGCGCCCCTCCGCGGCCCTGCGTCCCCCGGCGCCCGGCGTCCGTTTGGCAGCTCCGGCGCCTCCCCGCGACCCCCGCTCGCGCCCCGGCGCCCCTCCCGCTGGCCGCGGGGGGCGACCGGCCTGGCCCGGCTTCTGGCCGCGCGCCCCGGCCGCCCCTTTGCCCTTCGGCGTCGCCAGGCGGCTGCGGGCCGCCCCCGCTGTTTCCAGGGGCGCAGGGCAGCGCCCGGCCTCGCTGGGGGCGTCTCCTCACCCGCTGGCCGTGTCGGGGCACAGAGCTGTGCTGTGGCCCGGGCCCGCCCGCCTCACTTGCAGCACCCCAGAGGGGCGCCCTGGGTGAACCCAGACTCCGGGGCCAGGCTGCGGCCTGTGCGCCCCTCCGGCCCCGCCGGCAGAAGAGCCACCCCCCTGGGCAAGGAGCAGAGGTCGGAGCTGCCGGCTCCTGCCTGGTGATGGCTGGGAGCGCACCGGGAGGTGTCCCCGGAGGCCCCAGGAAAACAGGATTCTGGTCCCAGCGCAGCATCCAACTTGCTGAGCCACCTGTTGCCGGTTTTTCCTGCCCCGCCCCCCATGGACCTTAGTTTCTGGGTGATGGTGGAGTTCCTGCAGCTCCTGCGTGTAGGGGGAGGGCACGCGTGCACACACACACACACACACACACACACACACACACCCCGGAGTCAGCAGGGCCCAGGAAGCGCCCGGGAGCCAGCAGCCCGGTGGGAAGCTGCTGTGCAAGGAGCTGGTAAGGAAGAGCGAGCATCCCCTGGGCCGTCTCAGACAGCCTGGCACGCGTCCACGGCGCAGCGTGGTACCAGCCTGTGCCCTGGGACTGGCTTCCCCGCTGCCCCAGGAGCTTGCCCTGGGTGTGGCTATTAATAGAGGAGGAAGCCGCCCTGGCCTTGGATTTGATAAATAGATAAGCCGAGAGCAGTGCGGTGGAGTCAGCACTCCTGCAGGGGGTCCCAAGGTTGCCCTTGAGGCTGCACCCCACGGCTGGCCTGTCTGCACATGGGCCTCCCTCTGCCAAAAGCAGCAGGTAGGTGTGCAGATGGACTTTCTGACCAAAAAAAAAAAAGTGTCCCTGCATCGAATCTGGGGGAACCGGCCACAGGAGGCCCCTGGTCAACTGGACTCTAGTTATTTTTCTTTCTTGACTGTTCCTCTAAATGCAAAATCCCTCAAAGCAAAGCCCGCCATGGCAGAATGAGAGAACTTTCTAAGCAGGAGGTCGCGGCCCATCTCCCTTGGCGACTCATCCCAGAGTCACCTCGATTTTCTCAACCTGATTCCTGTTTGTGGTATTTTGCCAACCACACCACCCGCCACGGCCTCAGGCCTCAGTTTTCACTGCCTCTTCCCCCCATCATGCACATGCAGCTCTGGGAGATTCTATTTCTGCAAATGTTTCTCCGTCCCGTGGCCTCCTGGCCATGCCCCCACCTCAGCTCACTTGAGACCCCGGCCTGCCCCCACAGCTTGTGAGGGAGCTGGAGCCCCCGCCCTTCCTGCCACACCTTAGGCACCCCCCCCCCCCGCCTGCCTGCTCTGGGCTCTGGGCTCTGGCGGTGCCACCGCGTGTTCTGGGCCACGCGGCCATGTTCAATTGCCCCTGGGCCTTGTTCCTGCCTCTCTGAGCAGGAGAGACGCTGCCCCCACCTCTCCCACCTGCTGTCTGTCTCCTGCTTCCCGTTTCTCTTCTCTGTCACAGCCCACTTCTCTGAGCTCATTGAGATCTTCATTCATTTACCTGAAGCGAGAGCCGACAGCTCCCTCGCTAAACAAGACGACTGCTGCTGCCCCGCTGCCTCGCTGAGGGGTGACTCGCCAGTGGCCGTTAGTCCTGACTCGGGAGACCCATGACGTCCTCCCTGCTCGCTCCCTGGGAGCGGAGGTCGGTCCTCCTACCAGCCCCGTCAGGACGCCCCGTGCTTCCCCTGTACATGTGGCAGGGTTGGGGGTCCTGCCTGGAGCCTGGCCCGGGCCCGCCGCCACACAGAGAGGATGTGGGACGCAGCTTTCCCCGGCCCCCAGAGCCGTCGTGCCACAGGCGGCCACACCCTCAGGTCTGGGGCTCTGTGTCCATCAGCGCAGTGGAGTGGAGCCGGCCTGGGAGCAGGTGCGCCTGCACAGGAGCAGGTGCGCCGGCCTGAGCCTGCAGTGGACACTTGGGGCTCATCATTGCTCCCACCACGTCCCCCCCTGCTTGGACGTGACCCCGCGCCAGGCCCCAGGGCCCCACCCACACCCATAGGGCTGGTGTATCCGTGGCCTCTGGCTCCCGTGACACGGAGCACCTGGGGCCAGGTGAGGCTGGGATGAGGACGTGAAGGTCATGGCCATGAGAATGGGCATTTATAGGGCTCATGCGCCCTTCACCCCGCCATGTCCGGAGGCTCTCCTCTCCCATGCCCGTGTGCCAGCGCCATCAGGCACTGGGCTCTGTACCTGTGTGAAGATCAACAGGCCTGGCAGGCGGTTGCCTTCCAAGCACAGAGGTGCCAGGTTGACACAATGGGGACCTGTGCTTTCTCCTGGGACGTGTCATTTGGGTGGGTTTTCTAAGTGGGGGTTTCGACCTCAGCACCAGCCGCATTTGGTCCGAGTCATTCTTTGTGGTGCGGGCCTGGCCTCCACCCACTGGGTGCCAGGAGCAGCTCTAACCAGTTCACTCAATCTAGAATGTCCCCCAGTGTTGCTGGGGGAGACACAGTCACCCCCAGTTGAAGCCTCTGCTGCATGGGCAGCTCGGGCTCTGATTCCCTTACACAGGGTGGGGCCAATCCCAGGACAGTGGGGTGTGTGAGGTGTGGGGGTACCCTCCGCCTAGATGGCAGGGCTGGGCAGGCCCAGGTTGCTCCGGGGAGGCGGCAGCCTGCAGTGTGCATGGGCGGGGCCAGCGCTGCCACCTGCTCCCTCCTGTGTGTCCCCTTGGGGACTGACGACGGTGACGTCACTCCTTCGGGGCTATCGCAAGATCAGCACTCAAGAAATGTGACCCTCGATGATGATGACGTTTCATCAAGGTCTGGCCACCGGGGCAACTCGATCCCTCACTCCCCTGAGCACAGAGAACAGCTGGCCAGCCCCCCCCCCCCCAGATGCCTGACGCAGGCATTTTTAAAATAAAGGGCAGTTGATCCCCCATCCAGAGACAGACGAGGTGGGGCTTCTCATGGTGCAAAGCTGACTCAGAACCACCCCCTGCCCCATGATGTTTCTGGCAACATCACTGGGTGAGCCGCGAGGCTGGCTCCAGGCCGCTGCCCTCCTGGCCCCGTGGGCCGCCCTGCACTGGCTCCGCAGCTGACCGCAGCCAGGGTCAGGAGAGAGTGGCCGGGCACCGGTCCCCCCCTCGCCAACTCCGTGACGCAGGCCAGCGCCCACACCTCTCCGGAGCCTGCCCCCTCCTCCTTGGGGTGGGGTAACCAGAGGACAAACCTTCCAGGGGCTTTTTAAAAGAATCACCTGCGGTTACACGGAAACTCTTAGCGCAGCTCTGTGATAAGCGCGAACTGTCTGCACATTATTATTAATTTCATGTTACAAGAGTTGAGATAATAGGAAACCCCCCCACCCCCGGCAGTGGATCCCCCCTCATTTCATCCCCCTACTCTCACCCTGTGGAGGCAAACATGGTCCTGGGGGCTGCTTGCAAGGACATTTGAAAATGGACAGACTTTCTTTTCCTGAGCTGGGCCACAGGGGAAGTTCTATAAGGAGAAAGGGAAGCCCCTTTCCTGCACCCCCGGGTCTTCCTGAGGCTTGTCAAGGTGAATGACTGTCGGGAAGGTGTGGAGAAGCCAGACCTGAGGGGACACGCAGGGTCAGGCTGGCAGGCCCTGGGGGCCCTGAGGTGGGGTCACCGGGACATGTTCTGGGTGTGTGAGACCAGGGCCCCCCTCGGGTATGAGCGGGGTGCCTGCCCTCCCGCCAAGGGGCTAGCGATTTGTGTGGGGTGGGGGCAGGGGCAGGCCCCTTTGCTCCCCCAGTGCTTCTCACTCTTGGACAACCTGATTGGCACCAGAGGTGGGGCGGGAGGGCTGGTGGGGCGGGCGCCTCCTAGGCGGGCCTTCTAGGCGGACGTTTCCTCTCGACTGTCCGTGTTCCCTTCATCATCTTCCTCCACTTCTTCTGTGTCCAGATGCTGCTGCAACTGCCGAGAAAAGACAGTGGTGGGGGGCAGGCCTCCCCCGCACCCAGTGTTAACGCCGAGGCCTGCGTTGGCTGGCGCCCAGGAGACCGAGGCGGCAGCCCCGCGCCACCAGGGCCCTGTGAGTGCCCAGGGCGGTGGGCCCCAGACCGACAGGTTAGGCCCAGCTGGTGAGGCTGCTCACTCAGGTCCCGGGGTGGGTCAGCCAGCAGGCCGTGGCTCCCCCCAGCCCCCCGTCCCTGCCAGCTCAGGGTCCCTACGATCTTATTCTTCAAGGCCTCGGTCTCCTTCCTCTTCAGCTCGGCGAAGATGACTTCGAAGAACTCCTCCTCGGCCTTGGCGACCAGCTCCTCCATGTTCAGAGGGGACTCGTCCTCCCGCGTCACGTCCTCCCGGCCCTCGGCCTTGTCCTTCTCCTTCTCCTTCAGCCGCATCTCTCGGTGTCTCGCCTCCAGGATCTTCTCCCGCCGGGTCTCACGCTCGAACATCTGGGGTGCACAGAGACAGGGAGCCCGTGGGGAGGGGGTGGGCAGCCACAGGGTTGGAGGGGGGGGGGGTCTTCTCCTGAGCTTTGCTGGCTCTGCTGAAAGCAGCACCGCAGAGGTCTACACCCACAGGGTCTATACTGGGGCTCAGGGAAGGGTGTGGAGGTGGGAGCAGGGACCCCAAGTGACCCCCTTCTGAGAAAGCCAGGTGATTAAATTCTGAGCTGACAGGGTGGCAGGTGACTGCTAACCCCTTGTTTAAGCAGCCTGCCTCTCAGACCCTCCCAAGGCGCCCTGTCTGGAAACCTACACCCCAACGAGCAATTGTTCCACTATTTCCTGGAAGAGGGGGACAGTCAGGGGCCCCCCACATGCACAGATGATGAAAGAACTTGACCCAGAGTGACCAGGGCCTCATCAGCAACTATGCACCCCCCACCCCCTGCCCTCCCCGCCCCCCCCGCCCCTGTGGAGACTTGAGATGCTCACGAGACCCGCAGCAGACGTGGCACCAGGAACCTGCCCAGCGTGGTCCACCTGGGAGTCTGCTCCCCTCTGCTCTGCCACAGTAGACCCCCCCTCAAAAGCCCTTGGGGGAGCCAGCCCGGAAGCTTCCCATTCAGTGTCTGAGCACAAGCCTAGCAAAGCCGGGTCTGGACGCCATCATGCCTTCTTTTACCAGGAGCAGAACCTCTGAAGAGACCCTCAGGTATGAAAAGCCTCTCAGGGGCTCCAAGAAGGCAGACAGCCGCCTGAGAGAGCCCTGGAGTCGAGCCGGGAAGGCCCAGGGCCCAGTGGAGGCCCAACCAGCTATGAGGCGGGGCCGCAATCACAGGTGGACCCAGGGCCTCCCCGTGTCTCGGTATCCAGTGATCTCGGGGCCACAGCGTTCCCCACCCCTGGGGGCTGTACTGACAGCTCTCAGCCCCCCATGACTGTCCCCGGGGCAGTCCCCTCCATGTCTTCTCCACGGGCCTTCTGCTAAGCCAGGGACTGGGAGCTGGGCGCTGCCCGGCAACACTCACAGAAGAAGCCGTGTTCTTCTCGTTCCTCTGCAGCGTGGAGAGCCCGCTTGAGACCTCCAGCAGCGTGGTCGTCCCCAGCTGGGAGCCACAGGCGATGAGACACCCATTGTCCTGCACCCGGAGGCAGAAGAGGGCCTCGTCACACACCTGCAGGAGGCCGGGCAGACTCAGTGAGCGGGAGAGAGGAGCAAAGTGTGTGTGAGTCCCTGGCCTGGTGAGGCTTCCCCAGGTGGCTCTGTCCAGGTGTCCTGTGACTCCCCCTGACCCCCAGGATGAAGCTCTGATTCTGGGACTAGCCCTTGAGACCCTAGACCCCCAGCTTTACCCCACCCCACTCCACCCTGCTGCACCCACCCCTTGAGTCCAGCCTCATGCACCTGCAGTTTCCCAAACTCCAGCCAGTAGGCTCGGCCTGGCTACGCTGATACGCTGATGTGCTATCAGCATATCAGGCCTGGGAGGCCGGGGGTGGGGGGTGGGAGGTGGAATGGGTGAGGCATCTGGGTTTTGTTTTTGTATTTACTATCCCCCAGGTGAGTCCACTTGGCTACCAGGGCCTGCGGGCCTAGAAGCAAGGAGAGGATGTGTGGAGGACATGACCTTCAGGCTGAGGGCCGGGTCACACTGTTTGAACACATAGTCCCAGATGTCCAGGGTCCCATCCATCTTGGTCGTGAAGAAAACAGCCGGCCTCACGGGGCTCCAGGCGGCATCGGTGAGGTACGCCATGTGGTACCTGTGTGGAGTTGGTCCACGGGTCAGGGCCACTGTGGTGGGGAGGCTGCTAGGCCACATCCATTGCAGGGGGATGGTCTTCCCGTGCCTGCCGTCCAGCTGTGCCAGCCTCGCCTCCCGCTGCTGACAGGAGGCCCCTGAAGGGACCTGGGCTTGTCCCCCATGGACTGACCACCAGTGCTTCCCCACAGCCAACTCCAGGGAACAGGCACGGGCTGGGGGACCTGGGCCCAGCCCCCCAGCCATGGGACTCCCTGAGAGGAGCCAGGAAGGGTGTGTTGAGATTAGCGCTGCGCTGCCTGCATGATTGAATTTACATTCTCAAGGATTTCCACAGGAAAGAATGAAGCTGGACTGCATCTTACACCATACACAAAATCCAAAACCAAATGGGCTGAAGACTTGAAAGCATGAGCGGAATGTGTCAAAGTCCTAGGAGGAAACAGGGGAAACTCCGCGCCCAAGTCTTGGCAGTGAACATCTGGATTTCACGCCAAAAGCACAGGCAGCGAAGGCAAGAATCAACGCGTGAGAGGACATGAGACCACAAGCGCCCTCCCAGCGCGGGAGCAGCCGAGGCAAGGCAGGCACAGCCCAGGGGGCCGGCGCAAGTCTGCAAGTCGCATAAAGGGTTAATGTCGAGGACATACAAGGAATGGATACCACCCAACAGAGAAAAAAGCATTTAAAAATGGGCCAAGGGCCCAACAGACATTTCTTCAAAGAAGACACAGAAATGGCCAATAGAGACAGGGCAGATGCCCAGCGTTGCTCGTCATCAGGGTAACGCAAATCAAAACCACACTGAGCTCTCGCGGCCACCTTGCATCTGCTTACGAGGCCTTCACAAATTTAAAAAAAAAAAGAAGAAGAAGAAGCTGCCCGCAGCCTCTGCAGTGCCGGTTCGATCCCCGGCTGCTCCCCGGCCACCGAAGGAAGGTCCCACATGGCGCGCAGACCTCTCCTGCCGCCTGCTGCTCCCCTCAGCAGTGTACTTCGTCAGTCTGCCTGTTGTGTTCCCCGCTCTGGCTCTGGTGAATTCTCTCACCCTCCAACGCTTCTGACTGTACCCAGTGCATGTATGAATGAATGAATGAATGAATGAATAAATAGAAAATTGATAAAGGAAAAGGAGAGTGGGTGAGGGCCCCTAGAAAGGAACCCTCGTGTTCTGTCAGTGAGATGGTAAACTGAGGCAGCCACTATGGAGAACAGTATGGAGGTTACTGAAAAATTAAAAACAGAAGCCCCAAGTGATTCAGCGATCCCACCTCTGGGTATTATCCAGAAGAACTGAAATCAGGATCTTGAAGGGCCCCCCCCCTTGCCACCCACCCCCCACCCCTCAGCCAAGCTGCAGGCAGCCTGCCTGTCCGTCAGCATCTGGACAGATGGCACACGGGCTTCTCTGACCCCACTCCGGCGCTCACAGCTGCTCACAGCCCCCTCGCTACTCCGCCTGCCTGGTGGTCATGGGGGTGTCCTCAGGCAGGACCCATAGCCCAGATTCTGGGCTCCTCCCAGCTGCGAGAGTTGGCTCCCCATTGCTCTGCTCCCTCCCATAGCAAGGAGGGGGCGAGCCCAGCATGGCCACCTACGAGGGGAGGGGAATGAACGCCCCCAGGCTGTGGGGCTGGCCACTAAGCTGGGCACACCGAGCGTGTTCTTGGCATGGCTGGGTCATGCCAGTGCCCAGCTCACACGCGGGGTTTGTGGGGGGCGTCTCCTCCATTTTAGGGACAGACACACGGAGGCTCAGGGTGCCCCCACCCTCATTTGCCCCGTACTTGGTCCACATGATGGACGACTCCCGGCTGTCCTCCGACCAAATGCGGGCGGTCCAGTCGCCGACGGTCAGGAAGTTCTTGGGGTAGAAGGGGTTCCTCTGGAGGGCGTAGATGGGGCCGTGGTGGCCCGAGAAGGTGCACACGATCTTCTCCGCCTGCGTCTTGGCCTTGCGGTTGCAGGAGACCACGATACCCTGCTCGGTGCCCACCATGAACTTGGTTGGCTGCAGAGGGGGTGAGCAGGAAGGAAGGAAGACTCCAGGACACGGCAGCTCAGGGCTTGGCTGGCCGCGCGAGTGGCCGCTGGTGGGGGAGGGGGCTTCCGAAGGTGCTGGGAGGGCCTTGGGTGTGAGCCTCTCTCAGGCTGTGCCCACCTAGAAGTGGCCCTCACCCTTACAGCCCCTTCAGAGCCCACCCTTCTTTGGAACCTGGCCGAGGAGCCCACCCTCAGGGGTGCCCGAGTCCCATCACTGCCCACTGCATGCAGCACATTGCACCCAGTAGGCATTTTGCCACAAAATCTGGGAATGTCTGTTTACAGATAAAGTCAATAAGCCCTGAGAAGAGACACTGGGTGACCCAGGTCACTCAGAAGCCTGGGCAGAGCCTGGGGTGGCACTGTAGAGCACTGTCTGGGGGACGTCCCTGCCCCGCCGTCCCCGAGGATACAGAGCAGGTCACTACCCAGCACGCAGGAACCCACGGACCGCTGGTGATGTGATTGCACCCCCACCAGCCTGGGAGGTCCTCAAGGGAAGAATCTGGTCTAACTTTGAGCTGTGCTCCCCATGGCACCCACAGTGCAATTGTAGATCGCAGAACAGAATTGCCTCCTGCCTCAGGCTGGCCCCAGCCCTCTGCCCGCAGCCTCCCCCATCACCCCAAGTCTGCCTCACTCACTGCTGCACACCTCACCCTTCAGGCCAGACTAGACGCTCTATGTGGCAGCCCCAGCCTTTAGGATGCTGTGTCCTCAGGCCCCGAAAGGAAGAATAGGGGTGCTGCTTGGGGGAGGGCGGGACACCCACATCCCCCTGGTGATAGATCCACCCCTGGGCGATAGATCCACCCTGCAGCTCCAGCTCAAGAGTCCCAGGGAAGTAAGTCAGTAAGTCACGAGGGATCCTGCCAGCTCGTCCCGGAGGCCAGCACCCCAGACTGGGGAACCGCCCCTCACGCCTCTGGTCTCAGGCTTGGCATGTCGGGGTGGAGGTCTGGCCTTGGAGTCAGAGGCGCCGCCCCTCGATGGTGTGTTCTAGAACATGTGACTTAGCCTCACGGAGGCATGCTTTGGCAACCGGGTGTCGGAGCAGTAATGTTACTTCACTGGGTAGTGTTGGGCCATCGCACAAGCTCAGCCGGTAAGGTAGGCAGGAGCGGCCTCCCGTGGGCATGGCTGCCAGGCATGGCGGTGGGGTGGTGGCAGGGACCCCTGATTCTAGGACAGAACATTTTTTCTGAGTCCTCTCCACCTCGACCTCTATGCCCAGGGTTGGAAATCAGTCAGATTGTCTTCGACCTCATCCCAGCAGCTGTCGCCCAAGGCTGAGGGCTCCCCGGGGCAGGGGTGAGGCCAGAGCACCCCCACCTCCCAGGGGCCTAGGAGTGTCACAGGCCCAGAGGCAGACCAGCCACGTCCCAAGCGGGGAGCAGGGGGGCTGAGAGCTAACTGAGGCACCACCTCAGGCCAGGAGCCTCCTAGGAACGATTTTTGGTTTTGTGTTGTTTTTTCTTTTGCTTTGGAGGAAGCCTTCATTTGCTGCTTCTAGAAGCTTCCCTCCTCTGACACATTCACACTACGGCTCCACTTTGATAGTCACATGCCTTCACTGTTCCTTCTTGGCTGCTGCGCCATGATTATCCCTGTGCTCTGCTTTTCCAAGGTGCCGCTCGGGGCAGGGTCTGGCGTCCCCGAAGCTGGGTCGGGCAGACCTCTCCTATCGAGGGGCTCTCCTATGGAGGGGCTCTTCTGGGATTCCTGCCCTGGGGGGAGCTTGCTTTCCCTTAACCCAGCCACCAGCCTGGTGGCAACCTTGGGAAGGAGCCGGGCTTCCTTCCTCAAAGGCTCTGCTGCCCCCTGCCGGGACACTGCTGTAAAGCCTGCGCGCATCGGAGCTGCCCGTGGCGGGCATGGCCCTCCCGTGTCTTGTAAGCAGCGGGCAGCAGGCAGCCCCAGCACACTAGCCCCAGCCTGACCTCGGCTCCTGCCGGCCGGCAATGAAAGTCAGGGAAGACAGGAGACGGGCACCCACCAAAGTAGACTCGAACTCCAGAGAGATGGCCCCCAGGGCATTTTCCAGCTGCTCCTTCCTGGTGATGTCCAGAATCACCACCTCGGTGGGCTCGCTCAGCTTTCGGATGTCCCACCACATGACCTGCAGGAGGAGGGGTGATAAGGACTGAGGCCCCGGGGTTCGCCTGGCCTTCTCCTCCCCAGCCCCTTCACCTTAGTGGGCCAGAAGCCCTGGGCCTGAAATGGGGGTGTGAAGGGGCCGTCATATGTACCCCGTAATCTATTTACAAATAGGCACTTCGCCACATTTTTTATAACAACAAATGAGAAAAAATCCATTTAAAGAAATTGTGGCATGCCTGCACGACGCAGCCCGTAACAGGGCGCCCTTTATGCAATGCCAACTGTCTCCCGGACTTGCTAATGGAAACGTCGAGATCAATGTGCAGGGCTGCCAAGAGATCAGGAGAGACCGTTGCTTCCGTGTGCGGAGACGCCCTGACGGCAGACTCAAGAAACGCTGTGGATGGGCGCCCGCCAGGAGGGGCCTAGGAAGCTTGTGGGCCTCCGCGTTGCCCCTCTGTCCGGTGCCCCTGGATAGGAACTATTCACTGTGCCCCCACCATGCCCCTCGAGCGCCGGCTGCTGAGTACCTGCCCGTCTGTGGACGCGGAGAAGCACTCGGTGCCGGTCTTGGACTGCAGCCAGATGGTGCCGTACACCGGGTCGCGGTGGCTGAACTCAATGGTGGACAGCTCGGCCACCAGGCTGCCTTTCCTGGTGTCCCAACAGGCTGGTGGGATGAAAATAAGGAGGAGCCGAAGGGGGCACAGGCGTCCCCCTGGGGAGAGGGTGCTGCTCCTCTCTGATAGGCAGGGATGTGGTTTTTTAGCATCGGAGCTAGGTTCAAACCAGCCCAAGTTTCCTATCAGCCCCAGGGCCAGCGGGAAGATGCCCAGAGAGCACACGTCACTAATTCCTGTGTCCTGCCCACCTGCCAGCCCTGGGGGAGCCGCTGCGGTGGCACAGGCAGGGCACTTGCTGGTGCGCAGTGCTGTGGCTGCTACGGTGGTTGAGGCCCTGGGGGTGGTCCGGGAAGGCTTCCTGGAGGCAGTGAGGGGGAACTAAGGGTGATGATGAGCCCAGCATTGTGAGGCAGGCCGAGAAAGCCTCCATCACAGGCAGAAGCAGGTGAAAATGCTCCCAGAAGTAAGAGCACTTAGGCAAATCTCTCCTGCTGATAACGCCCTCTTTCACCTGCCTCTGATGGGAAAGTCACAGAGGAAGTTTTACCCTTTGCTCCAACCTATTATCAGTGCTTTGCCTCTTCTGCTTTAACAGTGAAGACTCAGAGCTTATCTGCTCTTGTTCAGATAGAATGTTTTTTTTTTTCAATTCCCTGTGAGTGACAGCAAGGCCCCACCGGGGGCTATTTCTAGAAAAGCTGATCTGTAAAGCAACAAAAATACTCAAAAGTCTTGATTTAAGGATCTCAGTCTGCAGCCTGGTCCAGACATGGGTTTCCTCAGCTCAGCTCACTCTGCTTGGACACAGCAGTGCTCCCCGCGGGGCCCCCCTGCAGGCAGCGCCCAGCCTGGCGTGAAAGTCCCCTGGAGGGGTCGTGTGGGTAATGCAGGCCCCGGGATCCGGAATAAACCGTGGCAAAGTGGCTCTGCTTTAGCCCTTTAGGCCCTGGCACCCAGAGCACTTGGCAGGGAGGTTTGTGGGAACCCACGTCTGTTCCATAACCTGGCAGTTACCCCAGGGGAGATAGTAAATCTAGAAGGGAAACCAGAGCAGGCTGACCACGGGGAGTTTCTGAGAAGTTTCTCAGCCATGTGGCTCCTCTCCCGAAGGACAGGGAGTAAGAGCGTGGGAAGGTAGGAGGGCCAGAGTCCTTTGCATGTCCAAGGTCAAATCCGACCTGGGGGTGAGAGAGGAGGGTGAGGGTCCATGGACATGGTGGGGGTGGGGTGGCGGGGGGGGCCACCTGGGCATTTTCTTTCCGAACACACTAGAGATCTCAAAATCAGGTTTTTGGGTCTGCGCCAGCAAAAGTGGCCGAGAAGGGGCCTCTGAAGGAGATTGTCAGAGTCTACTTTTTCACACCTGGAAATTAGCCAAAGGCTTACAGCAACCAGGAGAGGGGTTATTCGAGAAAAGCAGCCGAGTCTTGGTCAGTGCGGGGAGTTCTGTTGCATTTGAACTGGCCCTACTTACAAGCCCACACTCCCCAGTTCCCTGGTAGCCTTGAAAACCCATCACGTTCCTGGTGAAAACCACTAGCAGCCAGAGGAGGGGCCTGGAGCTCTTTCCATGTCTCATGTCAAAGAACTGTTGTGACTTGACCTGGGCAGGGGGCCTGGAGTCCCACTTGCTAGGTTGTCTCTACCGACTGACCTGGAGCTTGCCCAGCAAAAAAGTCTTTTCACGGAGTTCCCTGGTGCCCGCCCTTGACGGAGAGCCTGGACCTGGCAGGTGGGAGCTGCCTCGGAGTCCCCTGGGAGATCACAGGAACTGGTGCGCCCCTGGCTGAGCATCCAGGTCTCTCCTTACCGATCTGCCCGTTGTAGCAGCCTCCCAGGAGCACGTGGGAGTCCTTAGGGTTGTACTCCAAGGTGACCAGAGGAGAAGACGGCTTCAGGACAGTTTCAGGCTTATTGGGGTTTTCTGGAAAGCAGGAAAAAACAGATATAAAGATTTCTACCTACCCCATCGATCATTTGTCATCCATCCACCCATCACCATTATCCACCCATCCATCCATCCACCCATCCACCCACCCGCCCAGCCACCCACCATCTCCCCGTCCCTGGAAGGGAAGGCCAGGGTCACGCAGCTTAACCTCCTCTACAGGTGGGGAATGGCAGAAGGGGGGGCTGTGTTTGGGACCCCTCCTGTCTTTTCCAGGCTGCCCCTCTGGCGCCCGGCAGCTGGGATCTGGCCCTCTTGATCCTAGAGACTCTTCTAGTGGTTTTATTTGGGGGAACCGGGGCAGGGAGGGGGTGATTGCATTTGCAGTGCACTCCCCGGATCTGGTATGAAATGAGGCCCTGACACAGAGTCAGCTCTCCCCGACTCCTCCAGGGCACTTTCCCCTTCTGTGCTTGAACCATGGGGGAGCCCATGCCCAGGAGTGACCGTAGGGACCTGCTGAGCCGCTCAGGCTGGAATGAGCTGTGCTGTGGGTTCGGCACCAACACCGACTAGTAACGGCTGACGCTTGTTGTCACAGCGGCCACAGGGAAGGGACGTGTGGGAGCATGAAGCCACCTGTGCCAGCCGCCTGCCAGGCTGTCAGAGGGAGCCTCGTGTCAACAGCGGCCTGTGGATCAAGCCACACAGTCTGGCCTCCTGATGAAGACTGCTGGGCCGTCAGGGAGCCTGTGGGAGTGCCGCCATTCACAGCACGGTGGGGCGTTCCAGGGAATATTCAGAAAAACTAGCGACACTAGTGAGGCTGCTGAGGTGAGGAGAGAGGAGGGAGGGAGGGAGGGAGGGTCTAGGGGTGTAAGGGATGGGGTGGGAAGAAGCCTGTTCCCGTGTTATCAAATGAGCTTATATATGCAAATTGTTGAGAGCAGGGTCGGGCCTATGTAAGTCAGCCTGTGTGTTCTGTTCCCCACCCTGTCTCTGGTGAATCCTCTCAGCACCACCCCCATCTCTGGCCTGTACCCCAGCTCTGGTATGCCTAAATAAATAAATCTTAAAAAAAAAAAAAAAAAAAAAAAGGCTGTGCTCCCAAGTGGACGCACTGCCCCCTGCTGGCCACAGATTCAGAACCAGCATCAGGAAAGCAGGACAAAAGTGAGTCCAGTCCCGCCCCCCGAGTCCCTTCTTAGGTGGCTGGGGACCCTTAGGAGGCCAGGCGGAGGCGCTCTGGAAATGAAGCGAGCTTCCTGCACTGCACCCGGGAAGAGGAGACAGTGGCTTCCTTCTGGGTCCCTGGTCCCTCCCTCCAGGGAACAGCTCTCAGTCCCCTTCCTCAGGCTCCCTCACCACCCCCGGGACCCCCAGCTTTTCTCACCCAGGTCCCAGATGTAGGATTCGTAGCTCATGCCTTCAGGTGCCCGTTGAAACTTCAAGCAAGAATAGGCCACTGCCAACTTTCGGTTGCCATCAGGGTGCCAGGAGAGGTGTGTGGCCGTCCGCTTGATTTCCTGGGGATCCCTTTAGGGAGCAGCACAACTGAAGTGCAAGGCTCCCCAAATGTCTTTCTTTTAAAGATTTATTTTATTTAATTTATGTATAAGAGAACTGGGGTGTAAGCCAGAGGTGCAGGGGTAGGGGGGTGAGAGGTTTCACCAGAGACAGATTGGGGAGCAGAACAGGTGGATCTACTGAAATACACTGCTGAGGGGAGCAGTGGGGAGACAGGGGAGGTCTGCTGTGTCATGTGGGTCACCTCCCTGGCTGGGGATCGAACTCAGGCATTTGTGATAGCATTGAGACTTAATCCCTACACCATCAGGGAGTCCCCCCCAAATGTCTTATTTCCTAAATTTCTCTTAAAATAATTTAAGTGTATTTAAGGAATATCATTCACTTAGAGAAATTCACCTAAACAGCAAAGTTTACAGGACTCCCTTAGTCGGAACACCAATCTCACCAGCCACAAATAGAAAATAAAAATGAAAATTAAAACAGTAACAACAAAATATTAAATTCCAGTCTGATAGTCTCACTTGCTGAGACTTTTGAGCCCAAGGCTTGATTTCTCATTAATATTAATAAAAGAGGAAGGATGAAACCAGCAATCAGGCTCCTTGGCATTCACCCAATTGAGCTGAAAAGGTTTTTCCTCACAAAATGTCCGCACACAAATGTCTACAGCAGCTTTATCCATGATTACCAAAGCTCAGAGCCAATCAAGATACCCTTCCCTGGGTGAATGGAGAATAAAATGCAAACATGCAATGGGATGTTTTTCAGCATTACAAAGAAATGAGCTGTCAAGTCCCAGAAAGACGCGGTGGAAACTTAATGCACGCTGCTAAGTGAAAGAAGCCAATTTGAATAGGCTGTACGAGTCCACCCACTTGCCATCTGGGAAAGGCAAATCCACAGCCACAGCAACAAGGCCAGTCACTGCCAAGGGCTCAGGGCGAGCCAGGGATAAAGAGGTGGCACACAGGGAGGGGTGTAGGGCCGGGAAACTGTTCTGTACAATACATTTGTCCAACCCCGTGAAATCTACAACACAAAGAGTAAACCCTGAAGTAAATGATGGACATTGGATATCTGCAGGCTGAATGTTGTGTCCTCCTGGAGTCATGTGTGGAAACCTAATCTCTGATGTAATGGTATTTTTTTTAAGGTTTTTTTTTTTTTTGGTAATTTTTTTTTTTTTAAAGATTTATTTATACAAGCAGAAGCTTGTACAGTCAGAAACTCGGGAGGGTGAGAGAATTCACCAGAACCAGAGCGGGGAGCAGAACAGGCAGACTGACGAAGTACACTGCTGAGGGGAGCAGCGGGCGGCAGGAGGGGTCTGCACGCTATGTGGGACCCTCGCCGGCGGCTGGGGATTGAACCGGCTCTGCAGAGGCTGCGGGCAGCTTTGCAACCCAGCGCTCAACCACTGCGCCACCGGGGAGGCCCTCTGACGTAACAGTATTAGGAGGTGGGGCCCTTGGGAGATGATTAGGCCATGAGGGTGGAGACATTGTGAGTGGAATTAGTGCCCTTTGGAAGGGCCTCAGAGAAGTTCCTTGCCATTTCTCCACTGCACAAATGGACACTCCTGAACACAGCTTTGCAATTTTGCTTAGTCTTTTCTTGGAACCTGTCCCTCCTTTCCACCACCCAGACCTGCCCCCAGTGTAGAGCCCACTTGCCCACTTGTCTGCTGGGTGCTTTATTGTTCTGCCCCTTATCAAGCCCAGTGCACAGACTTCAACCTGGGCTCAGAGTGATGGGCAAGGAGTCACTTCTGCAAGTGCTGGCCCCTGGGGCGACAGAGACCGGCCAGGCACCTGCCTTGCTATATGAGGTACCTGAAAACGTTGATGGTTTTAGCTGAAGGGGCCTCTTCCATCACCTCCACCTCATCTTGGTCATCGAAATACTCCTGGTAGATGTCAATAGCGTTGTTCTGCTTGATGCAGTGCTCCATGATCTGAGGAGGACACACAGGGGTTCTAGCAGTAAAGAGGGGTCCATTCATCATGACTAGGGCTGAGGTGGAGTCTGAGGGAGACAAGAAAGACCTAGTGGTCTTCTCCCACCCTTCCAGCCCATGCATTTTCAATGGGAGTAACATCGTACCCAAGGGGTGTGAAAATTGGTCCCTGGGGGTAAAAGGATGTTACTTTCTATGTACAAAGCACATGTGCAGCACATACCAGTATGCCTAGGGCATTAATATTTTATGGAGGCATGATTGGGGAAAAAAAAATCTAAAAAGGCTAATTGAGAAGAAGATTTATGATGGCAGAAAGGTGAGAAACAGAAGTATGATCACGCCATACACAGCACCCACTTTCTGGTTCTGCCACCCAGAATAGCCTCCCTATTATTCCAAATGTTCAACAAGGAAAAGCCCAAGGTCAAGGGCTACCTCTTCCAGGAAGCCTTCCCTGATCCTTTCAATAGGAACTGAATTCTCCCTTCTTATAAGCAAAAGGGCATGGAATCCCTTCTCTTCCATCATCTCTTTCTAAGTTATGTGTTGATATCTCTGCTTTTGTCTTTGCACGTCAGGGGATTATAAACTCTTTGGAAGCACGACATATGTGGATTTCATTTCTGCAATCTCTGTCACATCCAGCAGAGACTAGACCAGTCCAAATGTGTCAAACGAAAGACTGATTCCATTTGGAGGTTGCTGCTGGGTGGGGTTCTTTGGGGTCCTCTGTCCCAAGGGCTTCCTACCCTCAGACTCCTCCTAAAGCCTGTTCAGCCCTTGCGCCGTTCGCGCTCCCCTTTGGCCTGCTGCGGTGTTCCTGTCTGCCTGCTCCAAAAGGAGCTTCCTTATGGCACCGAGTGGCCACGGGAGCGCAGTATAGCTGGGCTTGGCATCCAGCTGGGGAGCCGGAGTGGCCGCTGGGGTGCCCCCGCGGGAGCTGCGGGAAGCCTCACCGAACCCAGCTGCATGATGGCGTTGATGTAGTTCTCGTCCTTCTCTATCTTTTTCCGGAAGCGGATTGTCTGCTCCAGCTCCAGGGGGTTCACGTCTTTGGGCCAGCCCCCCTCAATGTGGTTGACTCCCCGCGTCTCCATCTCAAACCGCTCTGTGTTGGCCTAAACAGAGAGCCTCATGAGAAGACGCCACTTGGTGTTAGCATTCATCACTTCTGCAGAATCCCGGGGCTCCCAGTCCTTGAACCCCGAGTGCTCAGGGATGACCGATGAGGTGCCTTCAGCCAAAGGCTCCAGCAAGGGATTTTCTGGTGTTCAGGTGATCACAGGCAGTCACTAAAGCATCGCCTGCGGAGCTAATGGCTTTGCAGCTGACACCAGTAGCTGTGACAAACCCAGTGCTGGTTTTACCTGAGTCTGAACGGACCGGGGATCAAGGCATAGAAACCGTCAAGAGTTGGATTAGCTTTGCCCGCAGAGAGAATGGCATTGATGTTATTTCACCCCTTCACCTTTGCCTGCTTTCCTTTTTTTCCTATTTTTAAAAGTTGTGGCAAAATAAATGTTACATAAAACTTACCACTTTTATCATTTTAAAATGCACAATAGTATGGCACTATGGGCAGCCACAACGTCGTGCAAATATCACCATTACCCAGTTCCAGAACTTTTCCATCACATCCCAGATGGTGAGGCCAGGCTTACTAAGCAGTTTCTCCCCTCTCTTTCCCTCTCGTAAGCCATCTCCTCCAAGGGTACAAGTCTTCACAGCGTGAAGCTGCTGTCAGGAGATCCTAACCTGGCGTGACCTTCGTGGCGGCCATCTTGTCTAGCTGGCCACAGGCAAAATTGCCCTGATCCCCTCGACAGCAGCTCGCCCTGGGAAAGCAAGAAACTCAATTCCTTTGACCTGAGAGTCCCCGGAACCACGCACACCAGCCTGATTGCTGAAAGTGTTTTTGCTAAATCAAGACTGATTTTCATGATAAATGAAAATTTCATAATAAGATGGTTTATCTCCTTCAGTCTAATTTTCTCTCCACAGTCCTTGCCATAATCAGGACTGAATCTGATGCTGGTTCAGACAGGGAGGTCTCTGGGAGCCTCAACAGCACCATGAGTCTTGGCTCTCTTATCTTGGGGGTCCCTCTGACCAGAACTTTCTATAGGACCATTTCCTTTTCACAAGCTGGGAAGTTGCCTGTGGATACAAATGTCTGCTCCCCCCAGAAAACTTCTCTCAGCTGTACCAAATGCTTGTACCAAACGACACAGTGAGAATGTTTGTGGTGAGCCCATGGGCCCTGGGAGAGGAACGTCTTGAGTTACATTCACCTGGCCCAGAATATTCTGGGTCTCCTGAATCTGGGCATCAAGGTGGGTCTTGGGGTGATTCTGTCCTCACACCTCCAGCACCCACAATTGTCCACTCCAACTGGCCTCCAGGTAGATGGAATCAACCAGTCCCACTTACTGCCCTGGTCACTCCCCGCTACCCATAGCCCAGACCACACTTCAGGGCCAGGCCATAAGGGTCACACCTCATGTTCTGACATGCTGACGGAGCACTGCACGCCCGTGTCCACCGGGTTCCTCTCTATGTACTGCTCGGCCAGCTCGGGGTTGGGTGGGATGTCGATGTTCAGCTCCGCCTGGCGATCTGAGAAGTTGCATTGCTTCCCAAACTCGCTGCGCTTCTTGAGGTACACATACACGATCTCCATGGCACCGGCTGCTGCAGAGCACATGGAGGGGTATGCGGTGAGGGACCCCAGCCCCAACAGCCTCGTCCAGACAGCTCCAGGTTCCCCACTGGGGAGCTTTGTCCAGAAGCTACATCTGCCTCTTTATAAAACCATTTATGACAGATGACTACATACTAAACATTATATTATCTAGTTCTTATAATTGCTTCTGATTGGGCAATAAAATCACTGTTTTGCTGTGTAGGAAACTGAAACCCAGTTACCTTGAATGCCTTGCTAAGAATCATGCAGCGTATAAGTGGTCCAGCAGGTCTGCTGGACTCCAAAACTCTTACCTTCCATGATAGAGATTTTACTGAGCTAATATGCTTATTGGGAGGCAGGAGGAAACATTGGTGGTGATGGTGTTGGACTGAATTTCTTGCTAAGCACATGTCCTCTGTCCTTCTGACCCCTGTCACATCAATAGACTCTATGGGGTCTGCATGCTTCTCCGTGGCTTAAGTGTTTGGTCATCTGATGGGGTCTGTCTAATATGAGAGGATAGAGTTGAAGCAAAGTTGTCCATTTGCTATCCACCCCCTTATACCCAGAAAGTTCCCCAGGATCTGCAAGGCTCCTGCACCTGTAAGGAGATCTAAAAAAATGCTGTTGATGAGTGGCTGGGTGTGGGGTTGGGGAAAAAACTGTATGAGAGTTTCCCCAGGGCAGGATTACCCCTACCTCACACCATACACAAAATTAACATGCCATGGATCACAGGCATAAATGTAAGAGTGGAGCTATAAAAAGTAGGGAGAAGAACCTATTGAAAATAGAAAGAAAAGGTAGACTTAGAGGAAATATTTGCAAATCATATTTCTGATAAAGAACTTGTACCCGGACTATACTGAGACCTACTGCATCCTGGGCATGGTGAGGAGCAGGCCACATGCACTGTCCCTGCACACCCACGTCAACCCCAGAATACTTGTCACAGTTCTCATTCCACACATGAGGAAACTGGTGCCTAGAGAGATTATGTACCTTGTCAAAGTCAATGTCACAGTGTAACTGAGGTTAAATGGCTAAACTGCTCGCAGAACCTAGAGCACAGAAGACAAAAGAACCTCACTGATCTTCGTATTCACCGGCACAGTTTATCTACACATGACCCAGCCTGAGAAAGCAGTACTGACTGATCCTGAGCTGAGCCCCAAGGCCGAGTGGAGCTGGGAAACTGTAAATATGAATGAGGGACTACCCAGAGGTCAGGGGCACCACAGAAATTTAAAACTCCAATTCTCTCTGCATGAACTGCCCTGAAACTAGCCAATGACCTTCAGCCCAGTCCACATTTCTTTGCCTCAGCCCGCACTTCGGTTAATAAAATTTAACTCCTTTGTTCTCAATCCTGGTTCCTAAACCTTTATAAGCTCATTCCCTTATTTAACCTTGGAGGCAGACTTCAGCTTCCTTCCTGCTCTTTGTCAACTGCTTCCCAATAAAGTTTCTTTCTTTTCTCACTCGTGGTGCACGGTATTGGCCTGTGCTCATCGTAGCTAGCCCCCTGCGTGGTATCAACAGTTTTTACGTGCAGGCAGAGCCAGGACCCAGACACGCCTGGCTCTAAAGCAGTGATTCTTAACCTTGGCTATGAGTGTAGAAATACCTCAAGGGCTTTATAAAAAGCACAGCGCTCAGCTGACACAGACTGACTAAAGCAGAATCTCACCAATAATTTTTAAAACTCCCTCGGTAATCCCCACCTGCAATCAAGCTCGAGAATTACCAGTTTAAAGTGAGGGCTCTTAATCTCTCAATCAGCATTTCTCAGATCTGAGCTGTTCGTTCAAAATATGGAGAGTCCCAGAGCCCCCTGCTGCAAATGCTGATCTGGATGTCTGGGGTGGGCCCCAGCAATCTAGGACTTCTCACAATCATCAGATGAATATCGGGACCGGCAAGCATCCAGGGTGTCGCCCCACGCCATCTCCAGGGTTGCAAGAAATCAGACCAGTGGGCTATGGCTGCTGACCTAAGATGGACGGCCAAGTGCAGGGTGACAGCTTCAAAGCATGTGCCAAGGGTGGCTTTGGCCCTGGAGGCCCTGGGGAAGGGGGAAAGGAGAATAGGGGCAAGGGTTGGGGAGTCTTGGGTGACTCCTAGGTCCCTTTGCATCCACATACATTGACGGGCATCACCCCACCTACTCCCGGACACATTTTGGCTCCTCAGACAAGGACAGGGGCTGTGACAAGAGCACCTTCAACTGAGTCTCCCCATGCGGCACATCGTTCAAGTGTAACAGGCCTGCACTTGGGAGCTCCCACAGGCCTGCCTGGCTCCGCAATTACCGGCTGTCTGCCCCCCTCCATGAAAAGATGATGGCTGCGTGCGGCAGCTTTGAGCGCACACAGGGAGGCTAAGAGCTTGAGGAAACTCCAGGAAGACAAAAATAACATCTTTAGCGCAGATCATATTTTTAACAACTTTGCTTTCCTTCTTAGAGCTTCCCAAGGCCAAGGAGCAAGAACAGAGGCATTGTTTTTATCTGGAGGCGGACAGAGGGACATTTAGAGGCTGGCTGCGTGCCGGGAAGTCAGCTCATTCACGGCCCAGGGCGGGCGCTTTCTCGCAGGCTGGCGGGCGGAGATGAGCAGGGAGGTTAGAGTGGAGGGGGCTCAGCAGGTCTCTCTCTGGCCTGGGGGTTGGGGGGGGGGCAAAGGCACAGGCTGCCGGGCAGTCTGCAAAGCTGGCCGCAGAGGGTGCAGGGCCAGCATAAGTGCCCTCTGGGGCCTGGGGCCGATCATCCACCCGCGGGAACCAGAGGCCCAGAGGCAGAACCTGCGGGGAGTCTCGGACACAGGAACACGCAGAGCTGGACACCTGCTGGTCCCAACTTGATTTCCAGCTCCCGCAGCCCCGGCCCTCAGATCACAACCTTCACCACCTGGAAAACTGCTGAGCAATGATAACTAGCAAAGCAATTCCTGGAAAGAAACTCTGTGGCTCAAAAGCACCCTCCACGCTGGGAGCGGGACTAGCGCTCTGGGGGAGCTCAGGGGAGGCCACGCCCTGCAGCCGACCTGCCGAGTGGGGAAAGCAGATCGGAACCAGCCACCCTCCCTGAGGTCCCTGGGCCAGCAGGTCTTTGCGTCAGGGACTGAGGGCTCCGGGTGGCGCCTGCAGCACAGAGGACCGGGAGGGCTGCCTTCCCTCTTTCTGAGGGACTTGGGCAGCCTCTGGCATCTGGGGACCTTACTGCCTGCCAGAGAGGCAGATACCCCTAGAACACTCCCCTGCCCCGCTGCTTCCACCAGGACAACGGCAAGCACACTGGTCAGCCTGGGGTGAGCTCAGGAAGGGTGGGGGGCAAGAGGAGTCCCCAGAACTGGAGGGTGACCCAGGTCAGAGTTTACCTGCTCACCCCACCACAAAGCCATCTCTTGGCAGGAAGACCCGGTCTTTGTATCCCTTGCCCCCCGCCCCATCCTCAGCGCCTCGCACAGCCAAGGAGCCTCTACTCCCTTGGTGGCATGGGGGTGCCAATGTGACTCCCGCCATCTCCCAGGGCTCACCTGCAGGGCTTGCTTCCACCATTTCAGCTCCCTTTAGAAGCCGCCCCCCTCCCGTCCCCCAATCTCCCTCCAGGACACAGGTGCTCCGGGTCTGACAGGAGTAGGAGGTGCAGGAGGCAAGGTGTTTGGAACTTGGAGGTCCTGCGCCTGGGGGGGCTGGGAGTGAAGACTCTTGGGGGACGCTGGGTGCCTGGCCTGGTACCCACTATCCTGCAGAACTATCCCGGAGGACGCCCCCACGGGGAGTTTCTTGCGGGTGATTATTACCCTCGGGGGCTCGCCCCTTCTCTCTCCACGCTCCTCTTCAGCCGCGGCCGTCCCCGGGCGCCCGCCCTTAACCTGGGTCGGCTCCTCCTGCCGCCGGGTCGCGGGAGAAGCGGCCGGCCCGGGAGTGGCCTTCGTCGCGCAAAACGGCTGGGAGCAGTTTACCCGTCGCCTAGCAACCCCGGCCGGGCCCGACGCGGGGCAGCGCGGCCCGGAGCGCGTGACCTCCTGCCCCGGGTCGGAAGCGCCTCCAGCCCCTCCTCCCTCGTCCGGAGACGTCTCTGGGCTCAGGAGGAAATTAACCCACAAGCGGGTCCCACAGCGCTGATGACGAACGTTTGAGGATCTGCGCCAGGGCGCTTATCCACGTCCACAAATATGTCTGGGGCAAGATCCTGGCGAGTGCGCCCTGAGGTCTGCGCCTGGGGGTCCTGCGCCCGGGCTGGGGGTTCCTGCGCCGGGACTGGGGGGGTCCTGCGCCCCGGCTGGGGTTTCCTGCGCCCGGGCTGGGGAGTCCTGCGCCCCAGCTGGGGAGCCCTGCGCCCCGGCTGGGGTTTCCTGCGCCCCGGCTGGGGGTCCTGCGCCCGGCTGGGGAGTCCTGCGCCCTGCCTGGGGAGTCCTGCGCCCCGGCTGGGGAGTCCTGCGCCCTGCCTGGGGAGTCCTGCGCCCCGGCTGGGGGTCCTGCGCCCGGCTGGGGAGTCCTGCGCCCTGCCTGGGGAGTCCTGCACCCCGGCTGGGGAGTCCTGCACCCCGGCTGGGGGTCCTGAGCCCCGGCTGGGGGGTCCTGCGCCCGGGCTAGGGAGTCCTGCGCCCCAGCTGGGGAGCCCTGCGCACTGCCTGGGGAGTCCTGCACCCCGGCTGGGGGTCCTGCGCCCCGGCTGGGGGGTCCTGCGCCCGGGCTAGGGAGTCCTGCGCCCCAGCTGGGGAGTCCTGCACCCCGGCTGGGGGCGGCGCGCTCTGCTGTTCAGTCGCCGGTGATCTGGCCGATCGTTTTCCCACGTCTTCCTTGTCTGTTAAATGAGAATATTGACTCCCAGCCTCCCCTCTGCCCCGCCGGAGTGGCCACTCCTGGAGGGCCACGGCCGGGGTCCCCACGGCTCAGCTTGGGGGTTGGCACATCGTCAGCTTGGATGAGTCACTGAAGGAATAAATGAATGGAAGGATAAACAAGATGAAACGTCTGGTGGGCTGCAGGCAATGAAGTGAGCGGATGTAAACCCCGGGGGGGGGGGGTGAGGGGGGATTGGGGGCTGACGTCAGGGAACCTGGCTGGGCCATGCCAGCCCTGGTCAGAGATGGGGCAGGAGATCTGGGCTGAGGAGGACCAGAAATATGTCATCCAAGAATGTGGGTTTGGAGCTGGGCGTTGAAAAAATGGTTTTGAGTTGCAGAGGGAAGGGGGCGGTGGTTCCAGACTGGGGGGGAGAGCATGGTGTGAACCCTGGAGGGGCAGCTGTCCTGGAAGAAGCACTGTGGGGGTGGGGGTGCCTCATGGTGGTTGGAGTCACATCCCTGCAGGGGAAAAAAGAATGGAATTTGCTAAGGTCAGCCAGGGCCAGTTTGTGGGGGGTCTGAGAGGCTGGCTGAGGTGCCTGGACAGCTTCCTGTGGGGTTTGGAGCAGGGAAACTACAGGAAGAAAGCAAATGTTCCCCACCCCCTCCAGCTGCCCAGCTCCCCATAAATGTGTCCTCACCAGCAAGCAGCCAGCTGAAGTGGGCAGGTGCAACATTTCCAAAGAGGGTGGCTTTCCCAGCTGCTCCCCACAGACCAGCCGCGAAGTGACTGCTGGCTCTGACTCCCCCACCCCCTTCACTCTGGTCTGCTGAGAGCAAGGATTCCCTTGGGGTGGGTGCTGCGGGGTGTATGGGGGCTGGAGGGGCAGCTGCAAGCCCGTTGGACAGGCTTTGTGAGGCCAATCAGAACCAGGGCCGAGAAGCCACAGAGCCCCGCTGCTGCGAACTGGGACCAAGGACCAAAGATCTGTTCTCCCTCCACCCCCAGCTCTGGGGAGCTGAGGCCCTCTGCACACCCTCTGGGCGGGGAAGTGGGGAGAAAAGGGGAAACGGAGAAGTCACCACCCTTGGAAATCGCCGTCACCTTTCCCACGTTATTGCAATGACTCATCACAGCCTCCCCGCCCCGCCCCCCCATTCAGAAGCTGCCAACCCCCAGGCAGCTATGTTCAGTGGCAACACATCTCACCCCTTGGCAGGCTCTTCCCAGCCGCCTTGGGCAGCCAGCATGAGGTCATATAATTAGGAATAGGCACAAGGATCCAACTGAAAACAATTTGCTCTATCTCTCAGATCTCCACCCAATGGCGGCAGAGTTGGGCAACTGAGAATCTGAGCTGAGAGCAGCCCCAGGCCTTGGGTCCTCCCAACCTCTCCCAGTTCCACAGTTCCCTGCCATGTGGTCCCCCACTTACCCCTCCCCCATTTTTCTTTTTATTGCGGTGAGATAGACAGAACAGAACATCGACCACTCCAGCACCGTTGAGTGCACCGTCCAGTGGAGTGAACACATTCATAGTGCGGGGCCATGGCCCCCCCCCCATCTCTGGAGCCGGTTTGGCCTTGCAAGACTGAAACTCTACACCCATCAGCACTGAGGCCTCACTCCCTTCCGCCAGCTCCTGGCAACCAGAGTCCTACCTTCTGAATCTGTGATTCCAGCTAGTCTCTGCACTGCGCACACTGGGGGGGGGGGGGGGGGGTCAGGGGGGGGTTAATGCAGTTTTCGTCCTTCTGTGATTGACTCATTGCACTTAGCAAAATGCCTTCCAGGCTCGCCCAGTTTATAGGATATCACAGAACTGCCTTCTGCTCTAGACTGAGCAATGTTCCGTGGTATGGACAAGCCATCCTTTTGTTTACTGGTTCACCCACTGAGGGGTGCCTGGGTTGCCTCCATATTTCCATATTTTACTTTTGTGAATAATGCTGCGGACACAAGGGTACAGACATCTCTTCAAGATCCAGTTTTCCGTTCTTTTGGGAAGTGGAGTCATGAGATAATGTATCATATGGGCCAGATGGTAACAGATTCTATTTACGTCATAGAATTAGTAATTTACAGGCCTCCCCGGTGGCGCAGCGGTGAAAGCTAATCCCCGGCTGCTCCCTGGCCACCGGAGGAGGGTCCCACATGGCGCGCAGACCTCTCCTGCAGCAGTGTACTTCGGTCCCTCTGCCTGCTCTGCTCTCCGCTCTGGCTCTGGTGAGCGCTTCTGACTGTACCCAGTGCATGTACGCCTCTATACAAAGAAAGCCATACATTTCCCAATGCAGCCTGTCCAGGCACGTTCTCCCCATGTGCACACCGGTTCCCTTTCTCTATGTCCTCACAACACTTGTTAGTTTCTTTCTTTTTTCTTTTTTAAATAGTAATTGCTGGGCCTCCCTGGTAGCACAAGGGGTTTGTTAAGATGCAACACTCACTATGAAGTTGTCTGCAGCACAAATTCGATCCCCAGCCAGGGAGCTACCCACATGGTGCAGCAGACCTCACCTATTTCTCCTGCTGCTCCCCTCAGCAGTGTATTTCAGTAGATCCGCCTTTTCTGTTCCCTACTCTGTCTCCTTTCACCTACCGCATCTCTGGCCTGCACCCCAGCTCTTGTATGCATAAATAAATCCTTAAAAATAAATAAATACTAACTACCCTGATGGAGGTCATATCACATTATGCTGCTGATTTGCATTTCCCCACTGATTAGTGATAAGCTTACTGGCCACTCCTATTTCTCTGGAGGAATATATTTAGTTTAAGTATTTTATTGATTTTTTAAAAAAGATTTGTTTATTTATGCATACAAGAGCTGGGGTGTAGGTCTGAGGTGCAGGGAGTGCAGGGATTCATTAGAGACAGAGTGGGGAGCAGAACAGGTGGATCCATTGAAATACACTGCTGAGGGGAGCAGTGGGTAAGATAGGAGAGATCTGCTGCGCCATGTGGGTAGCTCCCTGGCCTGCTGGGGATTGAACTCATGCTGCAGAGGCTGAAGATACTTCACGGTGCTGTGCTTAACCCCTTGTGCCACCAGGGAGGCCCTTTTTTTCTTGTTTTTGAATTGTATCTTTTTTTAAATTGAGGGAGTTGCACTATTTGTTGAAAGGAGATGCTTCCGGCTTCCTTGTCAAAAATCCTTTGACCATGTGGGTGAGGGATCAGAGTGTGGCACTCTGGGTCACCACAGGGATCTGGAATTGGAGGGAGTCCAGGAAGAGGGTGTGTTAGGTTGACCACAAGTTTCAAAAATTTCTCACTGGTCAGCCCGTATTTCCCCACAGAACATAGGAAATATTGGCAAAGGCCCAGCTCTCTCAACTACCTGGGCCAGTCCTCATTCTATCTAGGGTCCATTTGTTGGTGTGGAACACACACACACACGCACACGCACACATACACGCACACACATACACATACACACATGCACACACAGGACCTGCCTCCTGGGTTGCTAATCCTGTGTTCTCTGGTCTTCCTCAGCTCTTTCTTCAGTCTGCTACTCCAGTGCCAGGGTCCCATGATGGACTGCTCCCACTTTTCCTGCATCTCTCCAGGGCGGTAGCAACCACATTGACATGGTGACGCCAGATCTGGGTCGCCAGCCCGGGCCTGAGTTGACCGCGTGACATTTCCACTCAGGTGTTACACCCACCCTGAAACCCAACTTATCAGGAGTGGGGTCCTCCTCCCCCGAACCCCCTCTTGCACCCTCGGTCTTCCAAGCACCTCCCTCCATGCATCCAATCGCCTAATGATCGGTCTTCACCGACTCCCGTGAAACCAGGTGTCAGCTGTGGACGGCCAACAAGACCACCAGGCCACGCTCAGCATCCGCTCAGCCGATGTCTTGAGCTGAGTTTATGCATCGAGCTTCAGGAAGGCTTTTGCGCTGAGCTTGCAGAAGATACCGGAGCTGGCACCTTCACCGGTTGCTGGCAAGCAGGAGACTCCCCCGGGAGCAGCGCTGGCGTCTCCACTCTCCTCTGTCCTCTCCAGTCAGGACTTGAAAGTGGAGCACATTTTTTTGTTGTTGTTGAAATGATGGGAAGGGGTCCAAGAGAGAAAAAGAAATTGCAGAATACGATGTACAGCGTGATCATGTTTCTACAAACAAGTGAGAACAAAACCTGGAGGAACAGACATCAAATGTGGATATTTTTTCCCCCAGGTGGTTTGGATTTGGGGGATTTTCACTTTCTCACACAGTTTTGTCAAATTTGAAACGTGTGCATCACCCACTTTGTTTTGTAATTAGAAAAATAAGGATGATTTAAACTGATCTACCAAATTGAGAAACATGAGAAACATCTTCTTTTTTCCCTTTCTTTTTTTAAAAAAATAAAAAACATTAAAAAGTATAAAAACTGCTCTGTACTATTAGGTCACGCAAGCAGCAACTTAGGCTGAGGGCTCATTATAGCCTGTTGGCGCCCGTACTAAGCAATCGGTGCATTTTCAATTAAATGCATGAAAAGGAGAAAGGAAGGGGAATTATCTGAATCCAGTTACATCTGTTGGTGGCACACCAGGCCTCAGTTCATGAGCATAGATGAATCAAGAGGCGGGGACATGGACCCTGTACCTTTGAAATGAGACCTGGAGGCTGCAGAGGAGGGAAAACTCCCAGCAGATCCTGGCTCAGGGCAAGTGGAGATGAACCACTTTTGGAGAAGGGACCACTTTGTTGGCTGTTCCATGGGAAGCAAACCCTAGCTGGAGGCCTCAGATGTGCTGCTCCCGGCTGAGGCGCCACTGACAGATGGGCCTGCTGGAGTTCATTACTGGTCCCTGGCTTCGCATTACTTCCCCCTCTGGAAGCAGGTGTCTGGGTCTGGAGTCAGGCTTGGGGGCGGGGGGTAAGTCTACACTGGCAGGTCAGTGGGTAGAACAATGGCTGGGAGGCCCTTTTCCTGGGGGAAGAGCAGTGTGGGCTGAGATAGGGAAGGGAGCTGACACACAGCGATCGAACTATCCTTGCATGTCCCATGGCCTGGTTCTTCTTTTAAACAGAGCCAGCCCGCAACTCAGGCGGTAACTCACTCCAGATCCCACAGGGATCTCACTAGGACATGGAATTGTAGTTACCTGAACAAAATCAGATTAACTACACAAAAGTTTCCTTGTTGCTCCAAGCCTTGTCCCCAAAACTCCCCATATCCTGAGTCCAGGGAGAAAGGAGGTTGTTCTGCTAGCTGGGCTGGGGAAACACTTCCATTCAAGGGACTCCTGGCAAGTCCAGCTTCTGCATTGCCCCTCAAATGCTCCCAAAGGATGCTCAAGCAGTTCCCTTCAGGAAGTTCCTTGAAAGGCTGTAAATTCCAGAAGCACGGCAGCAGCAGAGGAAACAATAGTTTAGGGCCATGGGCCAAGAGGGGACCCTGCCCTGGTGAGCCGTGTGGTTTGGTGTCTCACACAAATGAGACACTGCAAAGGATGAAATCACGAAGGGCACTGTGTGTCTCAGGGGTCCCTGCCCAAAGAGGCACCCCAAGAGGGCAGAGGTTAGGAAGGGCACAGCAAGGATCTGGTACAAAGCTGGGGGAGGTAGCCGGCCTCATACCCACTGCCCCAACCCCCTAGGACTATTTAGAGGCACTCAGTTTGGGCTCTGGGATAGACGCCCTTGGCTCTGCCACTCTCCAAGGCCTTCCCTGCTCTGCATGTTGACTTTTTTGCAAACTGAATAATCTCTTGGTTATTGTACACTTTGAAGAACAATGAATGTAAACATGTGGAAGAACCCCTGGTCCCCTGCAGGTACTCAGTGCCAGTTATCAGTGACCTCAGGAACAACCTCTCAGGGGAATTTTGGGGTAGGACTAGGGCAGAAGTAAGGTCTGTCTTTGGTCCTGATGAGGCGCCAGAGGCCATATGCACAAGACCCCATGACGGTCATTCAAAAACCTCACCCTCTGTCCTGTGCTGACATGGGCTCGGAAGCCCTGCCACCGCATAACCTAGCACTCACGGGCACCCTGCTCCTGGCAGCCGGCGAGTTAGAGTAGGCGCACAACTTAGTACAAGAGGTTTATTTCTCCCAGGGGGAGGCACACACACATCAAGCAGAGGTGCGCCCACCTGGCTCCGACAGGAACCGCCCGAGGGACTCTGGTTTAGTTTACATGCATTAAAAATAACTCTTTAGTCCCTGACAATGAAATGGTGAAGAAGCAACCCCTCAACGGGGCAGAGTTCCGGGCTGCATGCGCCTCGGCCACGCAAGGCGTGTGACCAGAACGGGGTGTGCACAGCTGAGTCCCGGCTGACCTTGGCCTCGCTCACCTGCGGAGGCTTGGCTGGAGCTGAGTCACTCCGCTGTCTCGGCAGTGACGAAAAGGTGGCTCTTCCAAAACGGAAATAGAACCCTCGTCCCAATCTACGGCCGCCACGTCCCTGTTTTGGTGCCCAAAGCTGCGGGGGGCCTCGGTGTTGTCAGGGAGGCTGGGAGCCCCACAGGCCCAAGCCCGGATCCTCCGCAGACAGGACAGCAGGGTCACCATTTCCTCTTGCCAACGAGCTGCTTCTCAGCAGCAGGCGCGGGGCAGGTCCTGGGCACCCGGGTGGGGACGGCGAGGTGGAGGACGTGGGGCAGAGCCCCCTCACAGTATCCACTCGGTTGTGCTGCTTTGCTACAATCTTGCTTTGCTACAAACTTGCTTGAAGACAAAGGGAAAGCAAGTTGCTCTGGGCATCCGGCCATCTCCCGGGGACAGTGGGTTCTGTTCAGCTGACCCTCTCGGCCCTCTTCCTCCCTTCAAAAGCTTTCTTCCCAGAGCAGGATGAGCCTCACCAATCAGACAGCGGCCTGGGACAGGATGTCTCGCTGGTCTCTCCCAGGTCCTCAAAGAGCCGGCCGAGGCCAGCCAAGGAACGATACACAAACCAGATGTTAGAAATGAGCCCTTCGTCTATGTTAAAAACTGGATATGCATGAGTCTCAATTCTTTGGAAAAATCAAAATATGTAAAACACTGGGGGAAAAAGTTAAAGTCGCTTTGAAAGTGTCTGTTAATACCTGAGACGGTCCGCAGCTGCAGCAAACTCACAGCATCGCTGCTGGCAACGCGGGGGCGGGGGACGGAAAGCGACAGGTTCCCACGTGTCCCTGGGGAACCCACCAGGCACCAGGCTGTGCCACCCCCCGCCCTGGAACCATCGGCCTCCTTGGCAGAGCCCCCAACACCTTCCCTCTGTGGCCGCAGGAGGCTGGCCTGGGCAGTGTCCGGTCGCGCCAGAACACACTTCCCGCGAAAGCACCTTCGGACGCGCCCTTTCGCCCTTCCCGGGGGACGCTGCCCCGCTGCACAGCAGGACAGGGGAGGCTCAGAGGGTCAAGGAGCCTTCAGTCCTGGTTATGGGACCCTGAGCCTGGCCTGGCCCCCTCACAGCCACTGCCCACCTGGCGAGAGTGGGGTGCAGGGGTGCACTGATCCAGACGTCCAGCACTGTTGCCTCTGGGTGTGGCGAGAACAGAGGGACAGGCTGACCACGTCTTGGGCCTTCTGGGGGCCCGAGGCTTTGGTTGGGGGTCTCAGTCGCCCCCCAGGCTGCTCTCCTTGAATCCCAGCCGCCACCCTGCAGCAGCAGGAGGCTTCAGTCCCGCAGCGCGCTGCAGGTGGCCTCCGACGCCCGCGGGGTCCGGGAGAGAAAGGTGCTTGTAGTTGCAGTAACCAGAAACGCAAATGGCTGGAGGGGCAGGAACCGCCGCAGGTGTTAGGCCGGAAACTCGCTCCCGTAGTGCCGCAGGTGCTCGTCCGCCACGGACAGGTAGGTGGCCCGCATGCTGGGCGAGTACTGTGGGAGAGGGACAGTCAGGCACAGTCACACCAGGCTACCGATGCCACCGGACACGCACACGCCAAGGTGCGGGGACTCTCCGGGAGGGGAACTGGGTCGCTGCACCGAGTTTTGGTCACCGGGCTGCGTGGGGACAGGACACACGAGTGGCTCGGGCCGGCGCCATGGTGGACACCTCCAGCTGGGGTCACGAGCAAGACACACAGAGACCAGCCACCTCCCTCCACCTGGCGGCCCATCCACGGTGGGGCACAGAGTCAGGGGTCGCCACACGTGTGGGAGCCGACCTCGCCGCAGGCAGGGGGTGCAGGCCCAAGGCCCAGAGACCCAGGTTCAAATCCCAGCCATGCATCTTACCAAGCCCCTGGCCGAGGTCCTCTGACCTCTCTGAGCCCTGTTTCCTCACCTGCAAAATGGGCCTGAGAGCACTCAGCAATTAAGTGAGAGGATGAAGTGACTGGTTAAAGCAGGCAGGACTTCCTGATGCAGTGTTTAGCAAACTGGGGTGCCCATGAGAAACAGCTGGGGGGTTTAAAAACTCCGGAGGCCCACTGGTATGTTTTTGTGGTTGGTGATGTAAGAGGAGCTCAACATACATAAAATAAGGCGTTTTAAAAAGCCAGCTGTTGCCTCCTGGCCCGGGGGAAGTCTCAGCATCCGGTCCTGGCCGCTCACACCAGGGGGCCTGGATGCTGAATTTGGTGGGGTGATGGTAAAGGAGGGATAGAGGCCAAGGCATTAAAAGGGCTTCTCACCAAGGGCGATTTCGCCCCCCAGGGACATTTGTCCACATCTGGAGCATTTTGGGTTGTCATATCTGGGGGGTGGAGTGCTATTGGCATGAGTGGGTAAAGTCAGGGGTGCTGCTAACACCCCAGAATGCAGGACCCTGCAAGAGGGTCCAGCTGCAAACATCTGTCCTGTTGTACGCCCAGGGGCTCCAGTCGGCTGCCCAGACCCAGAGCTCCCAGAGTGGGAATCAGCTTTTCCTGGGGACGCATCAGCAATGCCAACCCCTGGGCCCCGCCTGAGATTTTCTGAGTCAGAAAGAGGATGGACCCAGGAGCCTGGGTGTAATGCCTCCTCTGTGATGGGGGTGTGGACTCAGGGCTGAGACCCTGCCCTTGGAGCAGCTTTTCCAGATTGAGCTGGCTGGCAGGGCTCCCAGGGCTGGCGACAACTGGGGTGGGGACTGTGTCCTTGACCGTGTGTCTCATCTGCAGCTCGTTTCCCTGCTAGAGCTCTGGAGTCACCCGCGCGCCTCTGGGGTAAGATGTCCTCTCTTCTCAACCTGCCCCCATCACACCCCAGGCTCCTGTCCTGATGCTGCGTCTAGGTTCCCTGGCGTGAGGTGGGGGCACAGACCCCCCACCCTCCAGTCTAGGGTGCAGGGTAAACATCACGAAAAGTAAAAAATTCCCTGGAGCAGAAAAGGAGAGCGCCCTCCTGCTCTTAGGTCATTTCTTCTAGAAAACTAATTACTGCCAATGGTTTCCATCCCCTTTGTGGATACAACCCTTTAAAGGCACTTGTAAGTAAGGCTCTCGCGAGTCTTCCCACGCGGGAGGGTTTCTCATGGCCTGGAAACCCTCTCGGGGGAGCACGGCCCCCCACGTCCATGGCACTTCACCAATCCTGATGTCACCCCAGTTAGGTGGACTGAGGATGGGCTAGTGTACTAGTGTCCTCCTTGAGGACAGCATTGGCCAGTGACCTTCCACGAGGGGGGTTTCCCTGGGGCCTGTGATGTCTCTAGCATCTGCTGGCCACGGGCCACGGGCCTGGCTCGGTCGGTAACAAAACTTTCATTTTTCTGCCTTGGTGGATGGGCATTGGGTTGGCAAGTTTGGTCTTGAATTATTTCCCCAACAAGGGCTGTAGCCAGGACTTGGCCTTGGAAGCGCAGGTTACCGTGGGAGGGGGGGAGCCTCTTCCGATGAGCGGCACATTCTCGTAGCGGGGGTTCCCACCGAAGAGCAAGGCTTGGTTCCTGGGGGGCAGAGAGGAGAGCTCAGGAAGGCCAAGGGCGCGGGGGGGGGGGGGGGGCGGCGGCGGTGGATCTTGACAGCGCGAGGGAGTGCGGGCAGGGCCAGAAGGCCAGCGCTCCAGGAGCCCCAGGGGAGGTGGCAGATGAGGCAGCAGGGCCAGCAGCAGGAACTCGTCCAGGGGACTCCAGCCAAAGTCAGGAGGACCTTCCCGCCAAGGACCCTGGGGCTGCTGTGGGATACCAAGGCCTTCCCCGACCTGGCACTCTGGCCCCAAAGGTGCTGGCTGCAGACACAGCCCCCAGGGCCAGGAGGAGGAGGAGGGCTGCCCAGCCCGGTGCAGAGGGTGAGTGGGGGGGGTCTGCCTACATGTACTCCGAGACGGGGGCGTTGGAGATGGTCTGGGCTGGGGGCTGCAGGCTGGTCTGGCTGCCCAGGCCACTGCTGTAGCTGCAGAAGCTGCGGAGAGGCCCCCGAGGAGGCATGTGCGTGGCAATGCGCCGGGCCTGTGGGTTGAAGGGGTCGTCATCGTCGATGTCATCATAGTCTCTGTCCCTAAAATGATAGGAGGCAAGGTGGTGAAGGGTGGGGCTTCTCTCGGGCAGGGTGCCCTGCTGCTCCCCAATCATTTTCCTTGCCGGACTCTCCCTTGGCTTGAGTGTTCTCTAAAACATGGCCCTGCCTCTTGCAGACTGCCACTTCCCAAGTCACAGCCACCTCCTCCAGGAAGCCCACCATGCATCCTCTTGTCTGATTTCCTCTGTTGACCTTCTCAATGAGAAGAAAGGTTTGCTGATAACAGGGTCACAATTTACCCTTCCTGAAAGCCCCTGGGGCACCCCTCCCAGGACTGAATAATCTCCTGGAGAGAGGACAGGTAAGAGATGCCAGGCTGTGACATGATGGCTGTCACCCTACTCTGTTCTGTCCCTGCCTGGACCCTCAGAACCATTTTTTTAGGAGGTCTGTGTGGACTCTCAGGGAGGCCTCTGTAGAAAGGCACCTGCTCCCTGGTGAATGCCTGCCCCTGCCCCACCCTGTCCACCCCAGGTTACCAGCTCTCAGCTCTCCCACCTGCCCCACACCCCTGGAAGTCCCTCCCCACTGGGGAGCCCACCTGGTGGTAAAGCTCTTCCAGGCCCGGGGTCCTGCACAGATCATGATGGAGAAGGCCAGGGCAGCCAGGAGGGAAAAGAGGCCGAGGTAGAGCAAGCCTTCAATGCCATCATAGCAGATGCCAGTGAGGGCATCCAGGTAGTCCTGGAGGAAGGGGACAGGCAGTTGGGGGGGCACAGGGGCAGGCTGGGGTCTGACTTGGTCTCTGACCTGGGACCTCCTACCCGCTCCATCCCAAGCACCGCATGCAGCTGTGAGGGTCCACGCTCCAGAGTGGGACTTTGGGGTCACTCTACCATCACTTGCTAAGCACCTACTATGCGCTGGCATGAGAGGGTCGGCTCTGAACAAGACAAGCAAGGCTGCGGGTGAGGGAGGTGAGAGCACCGGGCTTTTATTCTGGGGTCAGGATGGCAAGAAGGAGCGGAGCTCACCTCGAGAGGTGGAGCACCGGGTACAAGCTGGGCAAGCTCAGGGAAGAAAAAGAAAGGGGCTGAGCTGGTGCCCATCACGCTGGGCCTTTCAGGCCAGGCCAGGGACTTGCATGTTATCGAGGGTGTGGGGGTGGCAGGGGTGTGATCCAGTGTGCTTGGGGCTGTGTGTAGAAGGCCATGGGTGGTAAGGGGAGGGCAAGAGAAAGTGGGGACCAGTTAGGAGGCCATGGCTGACCCCCAGGGCAGCAGGAGCATGGCCGTTACGGAGGGAGAGGCGGGTGGATGATTCAGGATACTGTTGGCCGTGCCCTCGCTGGGACTTGCTGGGGACATGGCTGGGGAGGGAGAGGGCACCCGGACAGCCCCGTGTTCTCAGCTCTGAAGCCAGACCGTCAGGGCCCAAAACCCAAGCCCTGGACTCGCCAGCTCCGGAATCCTCAGGGAGCTGCTTTATGGCTACATAATCGATATTAGGTATGTATGGCGGCCGGGGTCGCTGTGACAACAGTTTGCTCTAAATCCATACGGGATATGAAAGCTGCCCACAGCCCAGCTTGCTGCTTTGGGAGAGGGGCTCATATCCTACTGTGTCCCTGAATCAGTGCCCGGCATTCCAAGTTCCTGGGGGATCACCCTCGCAATGAGGTCCACTTAGGAAGAGCGATGGGTTGACCAGATGACTGGGAGCCTGGCCCTGGGGCGCAGCCTCCCCCACATAGGTCAGGCCCACCAGTGGTCCAGGGCTAACCTGATCCCGCCTCCTCCGGCCCCCGACCCCTTCCACTAGGTCTCCCTGTCTTGGCTACTGGGGAGAAGCAGCAGCCAGGCACCTCCTCTGCCTGCCCATTGTCTGGCTTCCTCCTGTTCCTGGCCTGGAGCGCCTGCAGCCCACCCCTTGCCTCTACTGGCTTCTCTCTGGGAAAAGGAGGTCTGTGGGGGGCTCCTCCCGCCCTCCGTGCCCCGCCCCAGCACCTTGTGCAGCCCCCGGCAATCCAGCAAGGCCGTGAGCTGGTGCAGGCTGGACTCTGAGGAGTTCAACAGGAGCTGCATGGCGAGCAGATCATTCTGGAGTGGAAGGAAGAGGCAAACATGAAGCTAGACACAGCACGAGCCACGGCAGGGGAGGCTTGCGCGAACCCCAAACACAGGCTCAGCTCACGCAGAGGCCTTGAAAGCAGAGGAAGGAGGCCCATGAGGGCGGGGGGTGGGGGGTGGGGAGGGGTTTGGGTGAGGGGCGGGTCCCCCAGCACCAGGGTGGCAGGGTCCACCAGCAGGGGCTCCCCCTCCTGTAGCAGAGGCGCTGCCCTACCTCTGCCGTGGGGAACAGGGGCACGGCGAACCGCAGCAGTCCCGCCACCTGGACCTGGATGGCGGTCAGTGAGCGCTGGAAGATGGTCAGTGCCTGGGCCGGGAGAGACCCAGTGAGCTGTGACTGCCCAGGCGTCCCCACAGTGCCTGGGCCTGCGCCCCCGCACCCCCTCTTCCCGCTGCAGTGGCAGCAGAGTCCCTGCAGATGGCCCCTCCTCCCGTGGGCTTCCCAAGAGCCCCAGCAGCTCCTGCTTCCTGCCACGGGCGGCCGGCGCGTGGTCCCCGGACCAGCAGCATCGGCTTCCCTGGGAGCTTGGGAGAGATGGGGAACCTCGGGCCACCCCAGACCCACTGATCCAGAGGACGACTGTGAAACGGGGTGGCCCCTCTCCTCCGCCCCACTTGTCGGCACTGGGGAGCAGGACGCAGCGGGCAGACAAGGGGCTGTGGGCAGGGTGGGGCTGGCCCGGGCGGGCTGTACCTGCTGGAAGGGGCTGCTCGTGCTCTGACTGCAGTACAGGTAGTAACGGGTCACCGCTGCCAGGGAAAGACACGGGCATCAGAGGGCTCGCAGGTGACCAGGCTCCCAGCCATCAGCAGAGGCCTGGCCTGGCCTCCTCCCGTCCCGAAGCATGTAGGTCCTAAGGCATCAGAGGCCCGGCTGGACCTCAAGTCTGGGCGTGCGAGGGGTCTGGCGACTGCAGGACCAAGACAGGGAAGCAGGGCACAGCAGAGGCCGAGCGCCCGGATACCCAGAGCCGGTTACCTGCGCTGACGTGGCCCTCTGTGATGTTCAGGAGGAAGGTGTCGGGAGCCGCACAGAAGTCACTGGTGCCCTGAGCCGGAGGGAGATGGGAGGCAGGGAGGAAAGTAAGGACACCTGGCCTGGGAGGCGGGGGGCACCTGCGGCCAGGCATGCAGTCAGGGGCCGGTCTCCCCAGGATGGATCCTGGCTCTGCCCTCCCACCCCCAGGCCCATAACTCCTTTCAGCTGCCTCATCTGTGACGTGGAGAAGAAACACTCTATAGGGTAAGGAAAAGTGTCAGGCTTTTCTGGCCTCCCGCCACCAGGACAGATGACGGATCCTTGCGGCCCTGAATGCATGCCTGACGGCGGCACCTGGAGTAGGGGGTGGGCACAGGTAGATGGGATTCACCTGGGCTGAGACTGGGCTTTTAAGGGCGGCGTCACGGGGACGCCAGCAGAAGCCGAAAGAGAAGCCGAGAATGAACAGAAGCCGAGAGAGAAGCAGAGAAGGCCGGGGAGCCCAGATAGAGTGAAGACTTGCTGGGGGCTGGGAGGCCTGCCAGCCTCCCGGCCCCCCAGCACCCCTGCCTGCCATATGCCTGGTGAACCCCAATAAAAGACCTGCAAAAACCCACTGAGGACTCTGACTCCTCCTTTACCCGGTCTGCTGGATCAGAAAACCTGCACCGTGTCCAGTCCTGCCCCTACATGCTCTTCACCTTAAGGACGGACACAACACCTGTTGCCACAGAGCCGGGCCCCTCCCATGCCTCTTCTCCCAGAATCTACTCTCCACCTCTGTTCTTCATGGGTGCTTCCTCTCCCCCCCCCCTCAGCCCTCACCTCTGCCTTCCGCCTCTGACCACTGGGGCAGGGGGCCGGGGTGGGGTGGGGGGGTTGTTGCAGGAGGCTCAGGGCAGTGCCCCAAGCCAGAGCTCAGCTTCCCAAACTCCCACCCTCTCCATGTCATCCCAGCAGATTCCCAGGGTTCCTGCACCTTCCTCATCAAAGTCCTTTCTCGAGCAGGGAAGTGGGGGTGGCACGCCGCCGCTCTGGCCCCAGGGCCCTCAAAAAACCCACCAAAAACACAAACACAGGCCTCCCAGAAGCAGGGACAGCACAGGCCACACAAAAGCTCCCACAATGGCCTTTGACAGCACCCCCCTCTCCTGGGGGCCCCCTCCCTGCCTCCCATTAAAATGCAGGAGCATCTCCAGCCTCCTCAAAGGCCTATTCACACTCTGTCTCTTGCACAAGGGCCTGACTAAAGGAATTAGGGAAGCAGCCTTTCTCTCTGGCTCACTGCATTCCAGGGCACTCAGCTGGGAGATTAGAGGCCTCTGTTTTCAGGCAACCCCAAGCCAGGGCAGAGGGCACAGCCCCACTGGGAGGGAGCTGTCTCCCAAGGGGAGCGCCTGGTGGCCTGCGGGATGCTGTCCCAGCTTCCAGAGAGGGACAGCAGGGAAAGCTGTCCGTGCACTGCCCTGGCCAGCACCCCGCCCTCCCTCCTCTCCCCCCAAGTCAGCTCCTGCTCCCAGCTCAGGATGCTTCTGACCTGGGTCCTCCCGCCCAGGTCTCCCTCTTGCCAAGGGAAAGCTGCAGGGTGGCGGGGAGGAACCGGCTCCCCTTCCGAGCAAGCTCTGCTGCAGGCCGCTGTGAGCCCAGCAGCCCAGGACCAGGGTCCCTGCATCCTGTGGGCTGCATCCTGTGGGTCCACCCCACCTCACTGGGCGAGGCATGAGGAAGGGAGAGGGCTGGGGCAGCAGAGGGGTCAGGGGCGCACACCACCCTTTTATCCCCAGAGGGCCAGGGCAGAATAGATACGGCTCACACCCTAGTCCAAGGTCCTTGAGTCAACTAGGGCTGCCCTGGAACCTCCTGGTAAGTCTGTCCCCCCCTCTGCTCCCCGTCCCTCTGCCCCCCAACACAGCACACTGGCACTTCACAGTTGACGCGTGGTGGCAATGGGTTTTGCATCCCTCGCCATGAGCTGAAAACACCAGCTGCGTGAATGAAGGGCTCATGCGCACAGCTGAGTTCTGGCGCGGGGCTGCTGGAGACCAAAGAGACCGACAGCTCGTGTGTTTGCCCACCTAGGCACCTGACGCAGAAACACACACCGCTGGGCTTCAGGCACGCGAGAGCAGCCGGAGGGGACAGGCTGGAATGCCAGCGGACAGCCTGCCCCCCTCCAGGCGCCCTGACAGCTGTCCAGGGAGTGTGCACCGAAGCTGGGGAGGGGGGCGGCGCTCCAGCCCGAGCATCAGACCCGAGAGCCCCTCCCCGTCGACCCAGTTTAGTTCACACCCAGAGAGCCGTCTCCAGGCAGAACAGGCTGTTTTTCCACGGGCAGCAGGGAGGGGCCGGGACCGGGCGTCTGGTCTCATCTGGCTCTGCGCCTCAGTGCCTCATGGCCGTGGGTATGGCGCTCCCTTCCTCCACGTGCCCATCTGAGGGGCGAGGGGCTGGGGCACATGATCCAAGTCCCTCGGTTCTGAGATTCTGGGGTCCAGGTTAGGAGCCACAATCGGAAGCTGGTTCGGCCCGGAGGGCTCTGGGCACCAGAATAATTGTCTTGGTCAGGCTCCCCCCCCACGGCCAACTCACCACGGCTGCGGCGCTGTCGGCGGCCAGGGACGTCCAGCAGAGGATCAGGGCCAGCAGCCCGCAGCACAGCGCCCTGGGAGAGAGGCAGGTGCCCGTGGGGTCTGGCAGGCGGGGGTCCTGAGACCCAGTCCCCTCGCCGACCTCCAGCACCCTTGCTCTTGACCCCGGCGCTCGAGTCTCTCGCAGCCCGGCCCCTGCCCTAACATTGGCCTGACCGAGCCTGAGGCCTGGAGCTCAGGTCTGGGGGTGGGGCGGACCAGGGAACACAGGACACAGCAAGCTAAAGGGGAGCCGGGAGTGAAGGCTGGAGGCTCTAATGTTTGGACTGTTTCTTCTGCTGCTCAGCAGAGGGGCGGGGGACACGCACATGGGGGGACATGTCTGCTGGTGGCATCGCCCCCCCACATGCTCTTCCCCACAGCTGGGCTACTCACGAGGCCAGGAGACACCGGGAGCGCTTGGCCAGGCCCAGGCAGGCCAGGAAGCAGATGACCAGGTCCAGGACAAACAGCAGGAGGTAGGACAGCCACCTGGATGGGTGGGGAGGTGGGGGACAGAGGGAGGAGGCCTCTGTCAGAGGGAGGAGGCCTGAACAGCAGCCCCAAAGTCGCCGGACCCTTTGTGGTAACGAGCTATTCCTTCCGCGGCCCCTCACTGCACATCAGCAGCTAAGCACGCAAGACAAGAGGGACCTGGTGTGTGTGAGGGGGGCTGGCCCAGGGGCTCTGGGGGGGCTGCACCCCACTTGCAGCTGGGAGGCAGCCCATGTCTGGCTTCCCACACCTGTACAGGAAGCCGGACCCTCGGCCCAGCAGGCCCACCAAGCTCGGGCGAGGAGGAAATGCTCGCTGAGCGCACAGGGTCACGAGGCCGGGCAGCCGGGCCCTGAAGCCTGGGCTTTCCTGTTTCTCCACAGCGCAGGCTGGGGAACCGGAAGGCCTGGAGGCCAAGGCCGTTGGGAAGATCCCCAGCCTCAGTCCTCTCCCTCCCGGGAAGGCCCCTGGGCATGCTCACAACTCAGCTTACAACTCAGCACCCACCTCACCGAGCAGCGTTTCTGTTCTCCCTGCACTCAGGAACCAGCCTGAGCAGTGCGGGGCCTGGGCAGAGGGAGGGGACCTGGGGGACATCTCCCACTTCCAAGGGGGAAGTGCAAGCATCACTCTCCCTTGATACAAGAGCCAAATAAATTCAGTGACCCCCTCCTCCTAGCACGGTTTTCTCCACCAACACCAGAAAATGGTAAGGAGGAGTCTGGAGTGTGAGAGCGAGGCAGAGCTGGAAGAAAGTGACAAAGGGGCTGGGGATGGGGTGAGGGTGTGTGAAGAGTCCGTCGGTTGCCACCTGGCAGCCAGCTGAGGTTCTCTCCACCCTGGTGAATGCAGGTTTAATGCCCTCAAAGGGGTGAAGGTAAAATCTTTGACTCCCTGCGCAGGGCTGGGTGGGCCTACTGTGGGTCTATATGGTTCCCAGGAATGGAGTGGGGGGTTCTGGACAACTGCAGAGCCTACCAAGGAGCCAGTTTCCTTAGAAGTGGGGTTAGAGCTGCAAAGAACCTCAGGGATCACCAAGAGTGGGGACCCATCAGACAGATGGAAAAACCGAGGCCCTGGGCTGGTAAGCCTGGCCCAGGAGTTCCGCATCCTCCGAGTCTTGCGGCCTTCCTGTAAGAGATACCCAGTCCCAGACACCTCTCAAAATCCTGGGTTCATGTTTTGTCCCCAAAGCTTTCTTGTTCCTTCCCACCCCCCTCTGCGCATCAGCAGGAAGCGAGGCTTGCTTCTGATGGCGGCTCCATGGCAGGGAGCTTTCCCTCTGCCTCCAGGAGGAGTTCCTGAAAAGAGCTCTGCAGGGCGCTGTGTCCTCCCAGAGGAGCCAGAGGATGGCCAGGGATGTGTTTCTAGCCAAGAACTTGGCTCTGGCCCTCTGGCCCACAGCTCCTCCCACGTCCGGCCTCTGCGCCGAGCTCCCACAGCTAGACCCGCAGCAGCCTCTCCCATTGGTGGTCTGCTGGCTTTTTATGGCTTCCAATGCTTAGCCAGGCCTTGCAGCAGAGTGCTAAAATATTACTTGCTTAGCTAGATGACTATGCTCTAGAGCCATCTGGAAAGCAAAGATGGGGAGTCTAAGCAAGGAACCCCAACTCCTAAGACTGGTTAGGTCAATGAGGAAGGTCTGGGATCCAGGGCAGCGGCTGGGAGAAGCCAGTCAACAAGACGAGGGCCAGGCCAGAAGGGGCATCAGTTTCCGGGAGCCACAGGGCAGCCTGGGACTAAAGCAAGGTGGGGTTTGGGGATGGAGGGCCTGGGGACGCCCCCGGCTGCCCACATTGACATAGAGGTTATGCAGCAGCCATCAGCCGTCCCTCCATTTTGAATGAATTACCTTGAAAATAAGCACTTCTGCTATGTTAACCCTGACCCACTCCACCCACGGGAGCATCACGGCGTCCACAAGGACCTTGAGTGAAAGCACTTGTCACCCTCAGAGGGGACGGGCGGCAGGGTCAAAATGGACACCCACTTTCTACCTTCCCCTGCAACACGGCCCACCCACGACAAAAAGATTTTAGGCCTCAGACAAGGAGTGGCTCTGCTGTCACAGGACTAAGCGGAGGCTGCAGTCCGGGCCACAGGTCACAGCCAGTCCTTAGCATCACAGCTTGTTCCTCTCGCCCGAAGAACAGCACTTTGGGTTGTCAGTGTCCAGCTCAGGGACGTGGAGAGAGGCTCTCCCACCCCGAGTGTCTGTGACACTCTAGAAGGGGGCGCGGGGGAGACAGGCTGCAGAGGGGAGCGGGTCCAGAGCCCAGGGGCCTCGGCCGGGCTCCCCCGCCACTGCCCTGGAGCCCCCACCTGGCAGCCGACAGGGAGGGTTTCTCTGGACTCGCACTTGGTTGGGCCTGAGGTGGGGCTTTCTCACAAAGGGAAATGTCCCCAGAAAGCCAGAATAAACGACTTGCAACTTTGGGGGAAAGCCCCTGATCTGTGCTAACTGCTGGAAGCGGAGCCAGCATGGGGAGCTGGGGATGCAAAGACCTGCTGGTTGCTCTTCACAGCTCATTTATCACCGTACCCCAGTGCTGCCTCCCTGCCAGGTGCACCAGCACCTGGGTGCACAGCAAGGGTGGTCGGCCCCTGGGCGGGAAGCCTCCCAGACGCCCCCTTAAATGACCCTGCACTGGGAGTCGGGGGGGCAGTCCCCCTGCTCCCCTGTGTCCAGTGCCCACCTAGGATGGAAACAGGGAAGCTGGGGAGATTCGAGGCAAGGACCCCAGAGGTTAGGTGGCACAGATATGAGTGTGCACATCTAAGTGAGCGTGGGGGTGCCCCCGGCCCCCCTTCACTCAGGCGCTACACATGTGAGGCTGGGGGTGTCTCTGGCTTGCTAAGAAGTCACAGTTGGAGAGGCTCTGTGCAGGCAGAGAGGCCGCCGCCTCCCACCGCCCTGCCCTGGGTGCCGAGGCCAGAGATGCAGGGAACTATTACACACGCTCCACCCCCAAGGCCCCCGGCCCCGAAAGCTCTCATATCCTCTGATTTCAGATAACGGCTTCCAGAGGCACATCCCCCACGGGGCCCCAGTGCACAGGTGGGGATGGAGGAGGGGTGTCTCCCCGCCCCGGCCCCTCACCTGTAGTACTCCACTTGGTCCGTCTTCGTGGCCAGCTCAGTCAGCACCTCGGTGACCTCCTTCCACTCAGGCACGACGGTCAGCTGGACCGCGATGTTGGCCGCCATCTGCTGCATGAACTTGAGAGTCTGGATATAGTCCTTCTCGGAGGCTAGGATCTCGTTGAGCCGGGCCAGGTGCCGCTCCAGGTCCACCTTCACTGTCTGGGTGGTTTCGGACACCTAAGGAGGGGCCCGAGGGTGAGACTGGCGCGGTGGGAGGAGGCTCCTGAGTCTCAGTCTGGAGAAGTCTGCCAGCCGCGCTGCTCGGCTGGGCCTGGGGACCATGCTGCCCCCCAGCTTCTGCCCACAGGACAGAACAGAGGCCCCCGGCCGCCGCATGTCCTCCCACCAGGGGGCAGGGCCCGATGGGACTCGGCCAGGAGCTGACCAGGAGCTGAGCTCAGTGCAGTGGCGAGGCAGTTGGGGAACAGACGAGAGTACGCTTTTTTGTTTCTGAAGATTCTCTTCCTTTAGACGCTTTGCATCATGAATTCACTTGCAGAGCGAGGAATGCTAGGCTGAAAGAGGAGGCCTTGCTGTCCTGCTAGCAGCAGCTCCAGCGCCCTGCGCCTGAGCGACATGGAGCCCTGGACTGGGCAATAACACACAGACCCCACGCTGCCTCCCGGGAGCCGGTCAGGCACTTGGGGCTGCTCAGGGCCAGCCTGGACGCCTGTCCACCAGGTGGATGGGCTGGCTCTGCGCCCTGGGCCCAAGCTTGGGGGCCCTGAAGGAAGCAACTGTCTATTCGAGGGCAGACAGGGAGGGTCCGTGGCGGTGACTGCCCCTGACTTTGCAACTAGGAGCTCACACAGGACTCAGTATGGGAAAGCACTTTCAAGCAGCTCAGACCAGGGGCCCCCAGGGCCCAGCTGTCACCTCGAGTCCCCTAAAGTCTGCTCTGCGCCTGTGTGTTGGCAGTCAGGAGCAAGAGCCTGGTAGTTCTGAATTGCCACGTGAAATCAACAAGCACCCCTGGCTGGAAGGTGGGGTGTGTGTGTGTGTGTGTGTGCGTGTGCGCACATGCGCACTGATACCCGGGCAACCTTCAGCTCCCCCAGGCCTGCACGGAAGATAAACATGACCCAGAGGGGCAGGTGCTCCCACAGCGCCAGCTCAGCCACGAGGCGGGTTAGATAAGGGACCTGGCGCCCTGCGTCAGGGGGACCTGGCAGCGCCTGGTGGCCGTCCCAGCTGCCCTGCACCCTGTTCCTGCTTTCCGAGGACAGAATGGCTCTTTGTTTCATTTTGTTATTTTCAGTGTCAGTGGCTCGTTCTGTTTTCTGGCTTGTTCCTGTTTCTTACAAGCTGGTGAAGGACTCGGGGATGCCAGAGCCCAGACAGACCCCTGACAGACTGGCAGCTTGTAGCTTCGCACGGAAAACACACATCAACGGAAATCCAGTAACTGAGCATCACTCGGACGCGTTCCTTTCCAGTTCAGTGAGATCAGTGTACAAGTGCTTCGTGTACCAGTGCTTCGCGACCTTGGGCACAGGAGGCACCCCCTGCCCAGGGGTACCTTTGTATTCCTATGCTCTGTCAACCAAACCTGAGTGCAAGAGGCCATTAAAAACCATCTCTAAACGTCTTCTATAAAACCCCCTTTTCTCCTTCCCTAAAGTTCCTATTTCCTAAGTCCCTCCTTAAAACAAAACAGTAAACACCTGTGGCCCCCAGGTCCTCAGAGGTTAGGTAGGGCGCTCCCTGCAGGGAAGCCGGGAGGGAGTTCCAGAGAAGAGCCCATGGCTCAGCCCCCAGGCTGGGATGGGGCAGGAGCTGGGAGAGGGGGTGGAAGCTGAAGGGTGATCAGTGATGGGGTGTGGTCCCAGGCCAGGTCAGCAGAGCAGCTGGGAACTCATTACAAATGCAAATTCTTGGCCCCACCCCAGACCCAGAGAATCATAAACTCTGGGGTGGGGCCAGCAATCAGTGTTTATCAAGCCCTCCTGGGGATTCTGATGCAAGCTCAAGTTTGAAAACCTCTGGGAAGAATGGGGTTTGCTAGAAGGGAAAAAGGCCCAGAGCCAGAGGGGTGGAGCCACAGCCGACTTCTAGCTCCCTGAAGGGAAGGACAAGGGCTGAGGTTCTGGGTTCTGATCCTGCTCCCTAACACACCAGCCTCCAGGCCTGGGGCAGGAACGCCAGCTTCCTGTACCCTTAGGTTTTTGAGCCCAGTGGCCCTGGATGGAATTCACCTGGTCCGCTGAGTGAGCCACTGGAGCTCAGGACTCCTTCACTGGGGCCCAAATGGGGTCCAGGGATTGGACTCACTGGCACTCCCAAAGGACGTTTCTGGCCCCAAGTCTGAGCAAGCAGCTGGCACAGAGGCCCGTCTGGCCTGCTGAGCCCCACCTCCCCGGGCACCCGCTTCTCTCAGGGTGGAAGGCATAGGCCTGGGCTTCTGGGCCAGAAAAGGGGAGCTGGGAGGGTCCACCTGGCTGTGGCCCAGGTCTGAGTCATCTAACCTGGCCCCCGAGTCCCACCTTCCCCTGCCCCCAGCAATCCAGGCCTCCACTCTCCTTCATGGTTACAGCAATATAACCACGATTATAGTAATATACACGATTACAGTCATTATAATAATGGCGCTCATTATCACAGCCAGCCCCATTTGATGGGCACTTTGAAGATTACCAGCACTTTCCTGGACTTGGTCTTATCTGCATCATTTGCCCGATACTCGGCCTTCACGTCTTGGGTCTGGGGAGCCCTCTGTGATGAGCTGCCCCTCCTGGAGTCCTGGGGACTGGGAATGCTGGTGCCCACTCCGAGCCGAGGCCCAAACCAGCCTCCCAGGCCCTGAATGGCCCAGAGCTTGGCCTTTCCACCCAGAGAAAGCTGCCCGTGCCGGCCCCCAGCTGGAGGGGGCAGTCCAGGGAGGGAGGCAGCACCGGGCTGGCTGGACCCTCATGGAAGCCTGGGACTCGGCGGTCACTCTCAGGAATGTGGAGAGGATGAGCAGCACCCACGGGGAATTTAGAGAGCTGGGGATGGCTTTCTGGAAATGTCCACCCTGGACCCTGAAGCAGTCCTAGCCTGGGGTAGATGGGCCCAGCTTGGGGTCGTTCCCAGCTCACCTTCCCACACGTCTCATAGGGGCCGGGAGGGGGGCTAGGCCTTGAATGTAAATGCCCTGGGAAGTCACAAGCCAGTGACAAGGTCATGGCTCCTGGACCCCAGGACAGGGGGTGCTCCTTTGGGCTGTCGTCGTTCTTGGGGGAGTTCTAGAACTGGAGGGTGCAGGATGTGAGGGAGGCAGAGCCTAGAGGGCAGTAGCCAGGCCATTCCCAGGGCTCAATGTGCTGGTCAGGCCGTGCCTGGCACCCCGAGGCTGTCCCCAGCCTCCCCCATCCCAGCCACCACCCGCCCCAGCAGCGTGTCCTGGTCTAGTGTGCAGACAGCTCAGCCCCCGGGACGGTGCACAGAGGGGCCAGGCAGCTGGGGATGAGGCTCCTCTCATAAACGGGAGCGCAGTTTGCTGAAGTCCCTCCTCTGCTGGGGACAAGGTCGGAGCCCAGTGGATGTCCAAAGGTTGGTTTCCCTGAAGTTGCCCTGGAGCCTGGCTCCTTGGGGTGCTGGGGTTGTCCTGGGGCTAACTTACAGGGAAGGCACAGGAAGGGTCTGGGAACCCTTAGTGCCCCGGTCTCTGTGCCTCGGGCAAGAGGCCCGGCAGAGCAGCTGTTCCGGTCAGCCCAGCACGATCCTTCACCCTGAGGCCCGGCTGGAGTCACGACTCCCTGAAGCCAGAGCCGGGGCCCCCACCCAGGACGCCCCACTGCTTTGAAGAATGTTTCCCCCTTGCCATCTGCCAGAACCTGCAGTACACTATACGCAGCACTCGGGGAATAAGGAAAATAGTGGGTGATTCGAAATGTTCAGGTCTCCCTGGGCAAATGAGAAAGTGGTCAGCTCCCCTGACCAGGCCTGGGATGGACCCTAGATCTGCCCGCACCCCCCTGGCCCCGTTCAGTGTTCTTGTTCCCCGCTCTGTCCCTGTCGCTCCCCCTGCCTGGGGAGGGGAGCAGAAATCGCCTGCTTGCTCCTGGTAGGGCCAACTGGAGCCTAAAGGGGAGTCCAGCCCCCCCCCCCCGCCGGCATGGAGTTGGCTGGATGTGAGTGGGGCCCTTGTTCTGAGCACATGACCTCAGGGTGCCAGGCCGGCCAGCTATCTTACCAGCGCGTCCGTCCCGGAGAAGGTGTGGTTCGCGCTGTCCAGGGCGTAGAGCAGCTGGTACACCCCATCATTCGTCTCGCTGTTGCCATAGAAGCCAACACCCACCGCCGCACTACGGCAAGACAGTCAGAGGGGACCCCCAAGGAGGTTTTTTTTAGTAGGCTATTTTTTAGAGCAGTTTTAAGTTCACCGCAAAATTGAATGGAAAAGACAGTTCCCATCCACACCCCTGCCCCCCCCCACATGGTCTCCCCATGATCAACAGCCCCCACCAGCGTGGGACACCCGTGACAGTGGCTGAAGCTGCACTAACTCGTCACTGTCACCCCAGGCCCGTGGTGGACATTAGGGAAGACACCAGCTGGTGTGCTCTCTGTGGGCTTGGACACATGTCCCACAGGCACCCCCCTTTATAGGGTCACGCAATTTTCTCTAAAAACCTTGTGCCCCACCTATGCTTCCTTCCCTTCCCTTGACCCTTGGCAACCACAGTCTGAACCACCCTGGCCCAGGCCGTCCCAGCAGCTCCAGGTACAGGGAAGCTGTGCCCCAGCCCCTCACTAGCCCCCCAACCCTCCCCACGCCGTGGTCTTCACACCCCCCCCCCATTTCTGCAGGGAATTGCTGCTACAGTCTCTCCTCCTTCCTATAGATGAGTTGATTTTTTAACCAAAAGCAGAACTTGAAATCAATCCCTGTGAAATTTCATCTACTTGGGTTTAGTCCAACATTCCAGTCTGAACAAATCATCCCACATGTCACCTCCACCATCCATCCTGGCTTATCGGCCCCGCGCCTCGGGGGGCTATCTGCAGAGCTGGGAAAGTGGTCTCCCGAGTTTTCATCTGAAACATTAACTTCTGGGTAAAAGATACATGGACACGAGCTTATGTTTATACTTAAAAAAAACCCAGGACGGGCCCTAGACTGGGCTCCCCGGGAGGCTGGTATAGGACCCTCCCTCAGGGGGCCCTGGGTCCCTAGTGTTGGCCAGGGCAGGGTCACCTGTGCAGGGACCAGGTCCCACGCTGGCCGTTGAATCGACATGGTCGAGTCCCAAGATGCTACCTGGGAGGTGTGCACACACACGCACACACGCTTTCCCACACCTTGGCGTGCCCCTGGGAAGTCAGTGTCCTCTGGATTCAGCCAAGACCCCCTTCGTTGCTGTCATCCGTCCGCTCTTGTCCACGGCACCCACAGGGACGCCGTGAGGAACGGGCTCGATGTCCAGCAGACACATCTGTGCAGTAAGCACCGTGTTCCCAGCAGCCTCGGCTGAGTAACTCGATTAAAAAAGATGCTGGGAGGCTCCAAGAGACGCCCGCGGCTGCTACCTGTGTTTCTCCCTTTCTCTTCCAGCTGTCGGAGTCCTGATCCAGCACTTTCTGGGGATTCAACATGAAACGAGGCTCCTGCCTTCTAACTTCCCTTCCCCATTTTGAGAATGGGGTGTTCTAGAGGGGGCTCTCCTTTCTGGATTTATGGGGGTGGGGGCAGTGCGCTGGCCTGTGGCCTTCCCAGACCAGCTCGCCCGGCTGCCTGAGGGGCTCGCTCCCCCCTGGTGTCCTGGGTCCCGATGGGCTATTCTGCTGGAGGGAAGAGATGCGCCCAGTGGGGTGACACTGCACTTCCCCCCAAATCTGATGCACTGTACCCAAAGAGAGGAGCACAAGGACTTCTCCCCAAATCTCTTTTACCTTCCTGGGACCTCTTACTGCTACTTTCTTCTACAAGTTCAGTCTCCCTCTTCTTGGGGATCCTCCTTATCAGAGCAGGACTTGAGGTCTCCCTCCTACTCCAGCCTCACGACACCCCTTTTCCTTGACCCCTCCCCTGGCCTCTCTTTTCTGGTTCCCCCCCCCCCCACTCCTGCCTCTCTCCGCCTGGCTCCAGTCCGAGCTGGGGCTCTGGGCACAGTGGCCACCGGCCTCGCCCTCCTGTGCCCTCTGCACTGGCCAGTGCAGCTCCCACCCTCTGCAGACTTGTCCCCCACCCACGCCACGCTTTCTTGACCCTCTGCTGTGCTCGCCAAGGCCTGGTCCTGGGCCCACTCCTCCCCGCTCTGCTTGCTTTGGCAGATCCCATCTGGGTCTGTGGCGCCCACACGGTTGCACTGTCTGCTCGAATGCCCCCCCCAATCTGAGTTTCTAAATCCTATCTGGGGCCTCCCTGGTGGTGCAAGGGGTTAAGACACAACCTATGAAGCTCTCTGCAGCCACTGCTCCCCGGCCAGGAAGCTACCCACATGGTGCAGCAGACCTCTCCTGTCTCCCCGCTGCTTCCCTCAGCAGTGGATTTCAGTCAATCTGCCTGTTCTGCTCCCCACTCTGTCTCTGGTGAATCCTCTCACCCCCCACACCTCTGGCCTGTACCCCATTCTTGTATGCATAAATAAATCTTAACCCCCATCCTGGTTTCCACGGGCACCCCAACACTGCCTCTTGCATGTGTCAAAGGCACCTTAACCTCAACCTGCATGAAGCCAAGCTGCCGCTTCCTCTCTGCCAGCGCCTCCGCCTTGGGGATCACATAGCCCCAGGTTGCCAGGCCAGAGCCAGCGAGCGAGCCTCAGCAGCTCCTCCCCCCTCAACTCCCCGTCAGTCAGACACACACACACACACGTACACACACTTGCCCTGGTGCCAGCCCCGGGCGCTCCACCAGGCCACCTGACAGCCTGCTCTCCATCTTGCCCGTGCATCACAGAGTTAAGTCCCTCTGTCCTGGTTTCTGCTCAGGCCTGACTCGTTGACCCCGTTTGTAGTGGCTCCTGCTGTCCTTCGAGTAGAGACCTAAATCCCAAACAGTCTGTGAGCCCCTGCCTTGGCTCCCAGGAGGCTCCTCCCTCCTCACACACCGCACACGCCCTCCGTGCTCCATTCCACTTCCGGCTGACCCCCACCCCCCGCTGCACCCCCACCCCAACCCCTCACCCGCTCTCTGCTCCAGCCATGCTGGCTTTGTTCAGTTCTTCACATGCTCCGTGAGCCACAGGCCTTTGCACACCCTCCTCTTCCCTCTGCCTGGAAGTATCTCCTCTCGCCCACCCCACCGGTGCCAGGTGAGCACTTCGTCCCACGGACCTGGGTGCCCTTGGCACTCAGGAAAGCCCCGCTGGGGTAGGGCATCCAATCTTAGGCTAATTCCCTTCCTACAGGGGCCTCCTATGTTTGGAGTGATTCAAATCAAACACATATAGGAACCTCTTGCAAAAGCGGTGCCTGTTTTTCTGACTGCTGGCTTCCTCCGGCCTGGCACAAAGAACAGAATTTTGTAGACTATGCCACACGCTCTCCTTTTCTTCTGAGATTTCCTTCATGACAGGTCATGATCATGACTTAATGGAATTGACCTCCACGGTCATTCTTACTATTCCGCTGATTGACGTCACGAGCGGTGTTCCTTGACGTCACGAGCAGTGTTCCTTGAAGAGTCTGCGCTCCCTCTGCAGCGAGCGCTGAGCGCTGCGGCTTTCTTTGGATGACTCACAGGGCCTGCGACTTCCTGCCTGCCCCTGCCTCTCCCTGCCTCTCCCTGCCCACCTTGCTAAACCCGGTGTCCTCACCGCGGGCTCCCTGTGTCCTGTCTACCTCCCGCCCTGCTGCTGAGACAGCGGGGTGACTCCTGCTGTTGGATCCCACACTTAGCCGTGGGGGGCTTTACCCCTTGGAGAGGCTCAGGGTGGACCTGAGCTTTGGGAAAATCTCCGTCAATATGAAAACAAGAAAAAGACAGAACTCCTGAAAGACAAGTGGGCATGTGTGTGACACAGCAACACCGCGGGGGGGCGGGAGGCCCTGGGGTGGGGGGGGAGGCCCCGGGGTGGGGGGGGTGCGCCTGGGCCGGGCAGTCTCCGTTCAGGGCCATCAATCCCCAATTCACCACGCAAGCGAAGACTCCCTGGCGGAGGGCGCTGAGAGCTAGTGATCTTTCAGGGAGAGGAGACTGATGTGGCCAAGAAGGAGACTTGATGCGGCCTCGGAGACCCAGGGCGGCAGTGGGGCGAGGGCGAGGACAGGGCGAGCCGAGAGGCCCTCTGTGCGGGAATGCCGGCTGGGAAAGTGCTCAGCGAGCCCCTGTGGGGCGGCCAAGCTCACACCAGGGCCGGTGGGGGCACACTAGGGTGATCCCCAACATCACCCAGGTATCTGAGTCCCGCGCTTGGCAAGAAAGGGGCAGCATTCACCCCCAGGACAGGAGAACGTGGCCAGCAGCAACGAGCCACGCCGGGAGGCGGGTGGCAGAGGGCCCTGGCGCCAGCCACCGGCAAGACACGGGTGGTCGGGCGCGGGGCGGGGACGCTCACCAGCAGACGAGCCCGGCCACCACAGCCGTCCAGGTGACACAGCAGGGGTCACGCCGCTTGGTCTCGTCCCGCCGGCAGCAGCGCGTGCAGGCCAGGTAAGCCGCCAGGAAGAGCAGGTTGACGCCCAGGCCCACGGCAGCCACCAGCGCCAGGAACAGCAGCGACTGCAGAGGGAGAGGCGGGTGTCAGCACCGGGGCCCGGGACCCCAGGAGCCTGGCCCTCGGGCCCCGAACACCACGGCGCTGGGCTGAGCAGCGTCTGTGCTCCGTCCTCCTGCCCTCCTCTCTGGCTGGTGCTCTGGCGCTGGGAGGGTGTTGGAGAAACGAATTCCAGCCTCTTCCCCAGGCGGAGGAAGAGCAGGCGGGAACTCAGGAATGGTGAGGTCAGGAGACGCTTTACTACTCATGCGTGAGGTCCCAGACCTGGGGAGCCCCATATGGTCGAAGCCTGTGGAGGCCATTGGGGGGCTCACAGACTCACAGCGGTGAGGGCTCCCACTGGGCCTGCGCGGGCTGGCCTCTGCGCCCCTGGGTCCGGCTACTCAGTCAGTTACCAGGACCCACAGATTCTGATCCTCGGGGACAAATGACCGAAGTGGCGGGGACACCCCAGTGCCGTGGCAGGAGGGGCCGGCGCAGCTCGAGGCCTGGAGCGGCCAGGGCCCGGCAGGACATCCCGAGCCGGGACAGGGAAGGGGTGGCTGGAGTGGCTGCGTCCTCCCAGCCTGTGCTAGGCCTGGGGTCCATCCAGAGAGACAAGAAGTCAGCTCCGTGCTGTGGGGGGACGCCAGGACAGGCGCCCGGGGTCCCTTCCTGTGAACTGTGAAAGGGCCGGCCGGCCCCCGGGCGCCAAGGGTGCAGCAGAGCCCAGGACTCTGAAGGGGGAGGGGGCGCCTCTCAGGCCGGCCGGGCACCTCGGGGTCCAGTGAGGGGAGCTGCTGTCTGTTGGAGGCCCGTCCCCCCGCCCTCTAATCTCCTGATTCCGCCAGATGACACCAGATGGCACCAGGATTGTGGCCGCCAGCCCGGGCCGGCCCTGGCTCTAAGTCAGGCTCCTGAGCAGACAGCCTCCGCAGGCTTCCCGCGTGCCCCGGGGGGCTCCCCATTCAGAACCCCAGCGCTCCAGCGGGAGCCGTTTCATTCTGCGACCAGCAGAATGGGGGAGATGTTAGGACGCTTGGTCCTTAAGGGGGAGACCACCCTGAAAATCAGAGGTGGGCCATTTGGGGGCTCACAGACTCACAGAGGTGAGGGCTCCTACGGGGCCTGCACGGTCTGGCCTCTGGCCCCTGAGTCTGACTGCTCAGTCAGTTACCTGGACCCACAGATTCTGACCCTCGGGGACAAATGGGCAGAGCAGTGGGGGAAGCCCAGGAGATTCGGCTCGTTTGGCTTTGACTGAGAGTGCGGCTTTCACCTGCACCTGGGCCAACAGCACAGGCACAGCCAGGAGCTGCCCCCACCCCCCAGCAGGGAAGACCAGGCAGCTGGGAAACCCGGGGATGGGAGTGGGGGGTATGGCCTTGCTGAAGTCTTCGAATCCCAACCTGGGCCACTGGGCCAGTCCCTGGACTGATCCCGTCGGCCCCTGCCCTGGTCGGGGGGCAGAAAGGAGCCTCCCCTGCCCAGCCCAGCCCGGCCCGGCCCCTCCCCAGAAGCTCGGCGGTGGTAAGGTCAGAGTGAAGTTCACCAGCCCTGGGCCCAAGGCCTGAGCTCCCTGGGGAGCTTGTTACAGCGCAGGGCACAGCCCCTCCTAAATATGGGAACCAACATGCATCTCGAGGTGATCCCGCGCAACCTGTGCCCCCGTCAGCAGTGTCCACAGAGGTGTTCACTTTCCAGGCGGCGTCCCTTGCCGTCAGAGCCCGATGCACAACCTTCCTCCTACTTGACGTCACCACCTCACTTTGAGGCCTCTCTGCTAAAACCCAGGGATCCCCTTCACAACGTGCGAACACTCCAACATGGGAACCCCACGACCCAGCAATTCCATGCTGGATTATCTCCTGATAGAAAGGAAAGTTTGTGCCCCCATGAGGTACATAAAAATGTTCACAGCAGTGACAGACAAACTCTAGAAACACGTGTCTACCAATAAGATAATGGATATATACGTATGTATATATAGAATGCATTAACAGTCATGAGCTTAATGACCAGGACACATTCTGAGAAATGCCTCATTGGGCAATTTTGTCTTTGTGCAAACATCATCGAGTGTAATCACACAAACCTAAATGGCACAGCCTACTGCACACTGAGACTAGATGGAATAGCCTATTGGGATACTGTCAAATGCGCAGCCTATAATTGACCAAAATGGTGAATGGAATACTACGCAGCCATGAAAAGCGAACTGCTGCTACACACAGTAATGGATGACTCTACCGACGTAATGTTGAAGGAAACAGGCCACACAGAGACTGTAGGTAGGCCTGTGTCTGTGCTAATCAAGGTGTGAACAGTAGCTGCCTGTGGGAGGGGATCTCAACTGTAGGGTGTGGGGCAGGGGAGGCGTGTGCTAGGGATGGTGTCACATATGGTATGTGCCCCAGCGTATGCACTTTGCTGTAAGTTACTGCTAATGCAAAAAAAAAAAGTAACAAACCCCAGACAAACCTCTTGAATAGATTGGAGCTGGTTAGTATCCAGACCGCCCTGTAACCGCCCTTGACTTCCAGCCTGCTTTCTGGCAGGTTCCCCTCTCAATCTAGAAAACCCACTGGCTCCACCAACTGTCATCCCTGCCCCCACCAAGCAAGGAAGGGCCCCCTGAAATGGTCAAGACCTGGGTTGGTGCCATTTCAATCTCTCCAAACCGCAGCCCTGCCTTCGCCCCCGCGGCTGGCTTCCTCATTTCATACTTTCTCAGCTCAGTCTCCTGGCCTGGGAGCCGGCCCGGGGCTGGGGCCTCGCCAAGTCGGGCAGCTGGCCGCCACGAGGTTAGGGCCTGGCGGGGCCGGCCCGGCCTCAGAGGTGGGGAAACCCAAACTCCAGGCTCTTGGTTGGCCTTTCACCCTGAAGCTCTCCCCAGGGAAAGGCCCGAGGAAGTGGGAGGGGAGAGGCAGGAGGGAAGGGGCAGCCAGGGGGACGAGGAGGGACAGGAGGCATGGGAAGGACTGGCGGCACAGCTAATGCGAGCCATGTTGCAGGCTGCGCTGGTGTTGCCAGCTCTCTAATAGGCAATTATTTTCTTGCTCCTAATTAACACTGCAAGTACCCCGGGGGTGGGGTGGGGGAGGACGCAGAACCTCCAGTCCCGAGGGAGCCAGTTCCAAGCCCTCCTGCTCCGACAGACAGAGCCTAGAAAGACAATTTCCCAGGCCTCCCCGAGCCTCCCGGTGCCCCGCAGCCACCACCAACCTGCCCAGCGCCCGCCCAGCGCCCACATCAGAGCTCGGGCTCGGCCTCTCTCCTCATCAAAGTGACTTCAATTAGTTCTGGTTTGTCACTTTGTGGGGAGAAAGCCCAGGTCAAAGCCAGGACCCAAGCCAGGGGGCGTGGGCAGTGGTGACCCATTTACTCTGGGAAAACCTAGGCTGCACCCCCTGCAGCCTAGGGGTACTGGGGGGGGTACTGGGCGGGGGAGCGGGCAGCAGGCTGAGCCCCCTCACCCCCAAAGACATTTAGAGAAAGAGCCAGCCCAGCCCAGGGAGGCCAGGGGGAGGGAGCACAGCAGACGGAGGGAGGGAGAGGCTCCTTTCCAGGAGGGAAGGGTCACTTCCCACCCCAGGGAGGGGGCAGCTGATGGTCTGATGACTGTGAGTGTTCGGCTGCATGAATGGGGCTTCCTCATCCCAACCTTGGGGCCTGGGCTCCCTGCTCGGCTGTCCCTCCAGAGTCCTGCCCCCAAGTCAGGGTGGGGTGTGGGATCCCTTCCTTCTGGGTCCAGCCCTAACTCTCTCCCTCCAGGGAGTCTATGAGGCCTGCCCCCCAAAGTGAACACGTGCAAATACTTGCCTAAACATGAAAGGTGAGGGACTCTCCTCCAGGCTCCATGTGCGTTCCTGGGACGGCAGCCCCAGGGTGCAGGGCCAGGAAAGGCGGGATAGGAGCCGTGTGTGGCACCTGGAGCTTACCAAGGCCTCTTGGGGGGCTGTTCACCAGTGTCTGGCCCCCCCTTGAGGGGCTGGGTGGACGGCAATGGTGACACCCAGGTCAGGTCAGATGGACCCAAGCAGCTTGTTCTGGGAGACACAGCAGGTCAGGCCCCTTTGCGTTGCCCCCAACGCTGCCCATGGACCCCTGGACAGTGGGGTTCCCTTCTTCCCAGCAGGGAGAGTGGCGCTGGCCACATGTTTTATGCCCACTAGCTTATCAGGACCTTTCAGGAGCTCTTTGAAGGGCTCGTCCCCACCTCCACCCCTCACCTGGCAAAGGTGAGAAGACTCAGGTGGAGGGGTCTGACCACTTCCCCCCAGGACAAAGTCCCATCAGCCACAGCCATGCCAGCCACAGCCACATGGGGCAACCTGAACTGGGGGCCCAGAAGGGTCAGGCTCCTTCCTCCACCCTTAGATCCATCTCGTCTGCCTCTCCCAACCCAAGGGCGACCTACCCAGGAGCCTGAGGACAGAGCTTGGGCCGCCTGAGCATGGACTCTAGCTCAAGCCCTTGGGGTAGGTGGGGAGGCCTTCCACTGCCCCCTAGCACCCCAGCAAGTGGTGGGGGCTGGGCTTCCTCAGGATAGTCTGGGAACTGATCTGGCTCAGGAGATTCCAGTTCATGGGCATCCATGGGGACTCCTGCCCCCTAGACCTCTGCCCCCGGCTGTCCTCGGGCCCAGTGCCTGCCCATTTCCATCTCCAGAGCCTTTTGTGTGTGTGTGTGTGTGTGTGTGCAAGTGTGCACACGGCCACAGACCTGCACTTGTGTTTCCTGCTTGTGTTTTCAGTTTCCTCTGATCAGTGTCTACCACTTTCCTCTGTACTCCAGGGGTACCGTGCTTGGGGCACCAGGCTGAACCTCAAAGCCAGCCACTCATTCCATCCTGTCACGGGGTCCTGCGACCTGCCACGGGGCCTCTGTGCACCAGGAGCACTACATGGACCAGCCCCTCTGGTACCTGCAGCGAGCGACATGGGGCACAGTCACAGTCAGTGATAAAATGGACTCCAAGTGGGGGGCAGAACCTGATTCCCAGCTTCTCAGCTGTGGTGGCACCGAGCCTAGAGGTCCTGGCTGCCTGGGGTACGCGCACCCCACGTCTGTCACAGCGCTCGTCCTGGGTCAGACTTGCTGAGAGCTGAGATGACTCTGGCAGAAGGTGCCCAGTCTGCGGCGGCCTCTGGCCCTGGCACTGCTGCTCAGGAGGAGAGGGACGTGGAGGGAGACAAACCACAGGGGAACTTACCACAATAGGAGGCGCTTGAAATAACAGCAGAGGCAGACTTCCAGCCCCCTCAGGCCTCAGGTCAGGGTGAGAGGCTGGGGCCAGAGCCCTGGTCCAGGGGAAGGGGCTGCCCCCTGGCATCCTCCGAGGCCCCTGGAGTCATGTGTGCCAGGGTCTCTAGGGCTCACCTGCCACCTCTCCTTGCTACTGAGGGCGGGGCAGGCTCTGCTCCAGGGGCCACAGCTACGGGCCAGACAGGTGCTGTCACCGGGGCCACGGGGGTGGGGGCCCACCCCTCCCCACACGGGGTCTTCACTACCCGGCCGATTCAGACTTCCTCCACTGGGCGTAAAAACTGCGGTTGGAGATGTCCCTGGTACAGGATCTGGGCACAGGGTCTGGGACACCCCCCTCCCCAAACAGCTGCCTCTGAAATCATATCCGCCTCTTCTCAGGCATTCATCAGCGGACGGCCCCCTGGAGCCATCCCCGGAGGCTCTCCGGGAACAGGACTTCCACAGGCCGGGTCTGGGAGAGGGAGGGGCGGGCAGGCTGGAGGGAGTTGAGCCTCCTTTGGCCCCATGTGTGTTTGTTCTCCCTGATGGGCAGGAAGGGGTCCTGATGCTCCCCTCCTTGGGGCTGGGCAGGCGCCATCTGCGGGCCGGAGCCTCAGGACAGCAGGGGATATTATTAGGCTCCGGTCACCCACACGCCCAGCCGGAGCAGGACCCCCGGCCCAGCAGGAGGGGGGTATGGGGAAGGACAGCTGACTCCCAGAGCCACTCCGCCCCGCCAGCCCCCCACAGGGGGCCGGAGCCGGGAACCTGACGCTGCCGGCGGCGCTGCCCGGGGTCAAAGTCCGGGGCTGGGCACGAGATGGCAGCGAGTGGGCTCCGCCCTCGCCTTCCCTCTCCTGGGTCTTGGGTCCAACTGAGAGACGACTCAGTCGGGCCGCTGGGGCTGGGGCGGGCTGGGCCAGACCCGGGCAGGCCGGGCCCTGCGGTGCTGTCTGGGGGGGCTGGGGCGCACGTCCTGTGGGGCCAGGAACCCCCGGGCCGGGCCGGCAGGGCAGGAACAGGGCGAGAGAGCCGAGAGCAGGCGAGGGACTGGCCCGGGGGCCGAGACCCGGGCGGCCGGGCCCCGAGGGTGCCGGGGAGGGAGGGTCCGACGCGGCCACCTGCCTCCCCCCCGCCGCGCGCGCCGGCCCCGCGGCCCCGCGGCCTCCCGGAGCAGCCCCGCCGGGGCCGGGGGAGGGAGGCGCGGACACCCGGGACCCCGCAGTTTCTGCCCAAACTTCTCCAGGCAGCGCCCGGGAGAGAGGCTCGTCCCGCCGCCCCGGGAAAAGGAAACCGGGGCGTCCCCCGGCGCCCGCAGCTCCGGCGCAGGAATTGTCGGGGTCCCCGAGTAGACGGCGCCGCCGACCCCGGCGCCCCTCCCTCCCCCACGCCAACTCCCGGCTTCCCGTCGGGGGAGCGCGGGGCCGGGGGGTTCCCGAGAGGCGCTGCAGAGCCGGGGGGGTGGGGGGAGGGGGGCGGCGGACTCGGGGTGCCGGCGGGCTCGGGTCTGGGGGACGCGGACTCACCTCCCGGTAACTCTCATCGCGGGGCTCGAAGGTGCCGTCGACGGGCTGCAGGCGCAGGTCGAGGTGCGGGACGCTGTGCAGCCACCGCACCCACCAGGGCGCCACGGCCCCCACGCGCGCGGCCGGCATGGCGCGTCCGAGCGCGCCGCGGGCGGAGCGGGGCCGGCGCGGGCAGCGGAAGGAAGGAGGTTAACCCTACAGGACCCTACGCCCCGCCCCTGCCCCGGCCCCGCCCCGGCCCCGCCCCGGCCACGCCCACGGGCGCTCTCCGGCCCGCTTCGCCCGGGACTCGCCCGCCTCGCCCCGCCCCCGCCCCGCCCCGGACAGACCCCGCCCCGCCCCCGGGTGCTTCGGAAGCCCCTCCGGGGAGTGGCAGCTGCTCCGCCTGCCGCGCGCCCCGCCCCGCCCCGGGCCCCACGTGCTCTCGGGGCCGCCCCGCCCCGCCCCGCCCCGCCCCCGCCGTGGGCCGCGCCGCGCCCCAAACCTCCGGGTCCCTTTCCTAGCCCGGATCCGCCCTGGGCCCCCGGGCGGAGGATGAGGGAGACGCGGAGGCCCGACTCCAGGCCGGGCTGCCGCTCCTGCGCTCACGTCCCGGCTCGACGGGCCCGCAGCGCGGGGAGCGGCCGCCCCGGGGAGGGGGCCCTGGCGGCTCCGCGGGCCCCTCCGAGGCCGCACCTGCGCGGCCGGGGTGGGGGGGGCGTCGTCGCCGCTGGCCCTGCGCCCCCCGGCGCCCCGCCGCGCGCCCCGGCCTCGGGAACGCGGGTCTGACCGCGCGGCGCTCACCCGGCCGGCGCGCGCGGGGCTGCCGGGGAGCGCTGGGCCCCCGAAAGGCTCGCTGCTTCCCAGGAGGAAGGGCCTGGGGGTCCGGGGAGCGCAGCGGCCGCCGTCCCGGGGGCGCGAGAGCCGCGGGCCCCACGTTTCCGCGCCCCCGCCGGGTGCCGGGCGCCGCCGCTCCCAGAGCGGGCCGGGGAGCCCCGCGGCCCCGCGCGCAGAGGCGGCCGGGCCGGCTGGCGGGATGGGGAGCGAGGCGCGGCGGGGCCGGCGGCCGGGAGGTGGGGGGCGGGGCCGGCCCTGCCCTGGGCTCCCCGAGAAGGCGACCCCGGCGCCTGCCAAGCGCCGCGGGTGGGCGGTGGGGGTGCGGGAGGGGCCGCGGGGCGGGGGGGCTGGAGCCAGGGTCCTCGGCGGGTGGGGGCCGGCTGCGCTGGTGACGGGGAGCGGGGTGCAGGGGGAGGGGGTTCGTGACAGAGTCTGGCTCGGGCAGCCGGGCCGAGGGGTGGTAGTGCTGAGAGAAAGGTGGCCCCGGAGAGACCCCCGGGGTCCGGCTCGGGGCCTGGACGGTCGCGGCTGTTCTGCCGACACGCGTGGGCGCCGGAGCGGGGCGGCCCGCAGACGCCCCCGGGCCGGACCGGCCCCGGCGGGTAGTCCTGGCCCGGGGTGGGGGTGGGTGGGTGGGGAGGGGGTCGCAGCGGGGTCTCCCCGCCCCGGGGCGCTGGCGGTGCCTCCTCTGCGCGCGCCCGAAGCTGGGGTAGAGCCGCGGGTTTTCCTGCCTGGGGGTCACCACAAACCCTAGCGCACCCCACAGCCGGCTCTGGACTCGTCAAGGGGAGCCGAGTCCGGGGCCACGGAACTCCCCGAGAATGGCCCGCAGGGGGTTAGCCGGAAGGTGCCCGGGGGAGGGGCGGGGGGCAGTGCCCGGAGGTCGTGGGCTGGCGGCCGGGGGCACCCCGGGCTCTCCCTCTCTCCGGGAGGGGGGTCAGGACGGGAGGGCTCCCGGCCTGTGTAGGGTGGAGGGACGTGGTCTTGGAGGAGCTTCCCGGAGGACGGCCTCCTCCTCTCGTGCAGGGAGGGGTGACTGTTACCGTCCACTTTACTTGAAATTTTGAAGCACTTTAAATCTTTCTTAAACGGACGGGGAGAGGGAGGCCGGGTCAGCCAGGGGCCCAAGAGGACAGGGTCACTCTCCGTCCTGGCCCGGGCAGGGTGCTGGTCCTTGCAGTGGCCGCTGCAGGAGAGGAATCCGGCCCTGGGGTGCCGGTCACCGGCGTGCCTGCAGACAGGCCCTCAGCCCGGGCCCTGGCGCTCAGCACAGCCGGGGCCTCCTGCCCGGCCCCCACCCGTCAGCCACACAGCCCAGCGGCAGCTGCCCATGCCCGTCACACCGCCTTTAAAGGGCCGAGAGGCCTAGGGACCTGCCTCCCCCTCTACCCAGCCACAGGGCGCACTGGGAGTGTCCCGGGGGGAGGCGCCAGCCCAGACCCGGTGGGGAGGGTCTGCCTCTGGGCCGTGCAGTGGAGTCAGGCCCGAGGACTGACCTTGAGCCTGGTATCAGGGAGCCCCGGGCAGGGCTGGGCACAGTGAGGGATGGGTTGGGGAGGGGGAGCCCGTCCACCATACAGGGAGATGCCAAGTTCTCCCTGGCGGCATCCCCGAGGCCACTCGTTGCTGCCTGGAACACCGAGGCCGCGTGGCCGGCCTGCACCCAGGTCGTGACCTCTCTAGCTGCTCCCCCGAGGCCCGCTGGCCCAGACAGCGAGCCGGGAAGCAGAGGCCAGGCGCCCACCCCAGGCCTCCCTAGGGAGGAGAGGCGGGGTTCCTGCTCCCTGCAGACCCGCCACTGGGCCCCCAGCTCGCTGGTCACTGGGGGCGCAGCTGGGCAGGGCTCAGTGAGGCGACAAGCTGACCTCGGCAAAGCCCTGTCCCCAGGGCCGCTTCCCGCCAGCGGAGCGAGAGACTCATGTCCTGAGTGGGAGCCTCTGGAATCCGCCCCGGCCACCGTGGTAGATTTTTCAGAAGCGCCCCGCTGCCGGGGCACCGCAGGGCCGGGAGCTGGGTGAGAGGAGCCAGATGCGCAGGCTCATGTCCCAGGAGCCAGGGCTCCTCTGCACAAGGCCGGGGGAGACCCAGGGGGTAAACTACCCCGCCCCCAGCCCTGACTGCTGAACGGGGGAAGCCGGAGCCACCGAAGGTGCCCCACGTGGTGTCAACAGTCGCCAGCGCCCCGCGGGCCCCTTCTAAGGAGACAGGACCCAGCCTCCCTCACACCCTGAGCCAGGGGTCACTTCCCTTGATGAGCCAGTCCAGGCTGCCAGGGCTCGGAGGTTGTGCGATGGCGCCCCCTTGTGGCCGGTGCCGACACAGCACCCCCGCATTTCAGCGCTGCGGCTCAAGCTTGAGCTAGGCCCGGTAACCCCTGCAGGAAGCCCAGGACACATCACAGCGACTACTTGCTGGAACCACAGGGAAACCGAGGCCACGATGACAACTGCCAGAGGCGGCCTGGCAACCCCACCCGGCCGAACAGCAGGCCCTGGGCCGGGAACCCGTCACTGGGGAGCTGCACAGCCCACGCAGGCTGCCACGTCCTGGGACGTTTGTCCCCGGATCCATGTCTTGGCTTCAGTGCGTGTCCCATGGCACCTGCCAAGCCCACTGCCCAGTCTGTCCTCTGTGGGGAGGAGGTGGGGTCCTTCTACTGAGGGAGAAGGGGGCCATCCTCAACAGGTGCTGGGCGGCCACTGGCCATGGGACCAGCACCCCTGCCGCCTCTTCTCCATGTGAGGCACTACACCAGGCAGCTCCACTTCCCCAGGGCTCAGCTACCCCGTGCAGCGGCCAAGCTTGGAGGCCCCTCCCTGGACAAGTGTCCAGTTCCTAGTGGTCAGACCCACAGAGGGGCAGTAACTGCTCAAGACCATGCAGGTTAGTGAGGGGCAGAATTAGTCAGGCAGGGCTGAGACACCTAATGGCCCACACTCACTCTGGGGGGTGCTTGGGCTTCAGTGAGCAGCCGCCATGCCTGCCCAACTCAACCTCCACCCCACTCCCCAGAGGCCCAGGGCCAGATCCAGGCCCCGCCCTTTAAATGTCAACTGGCTATTCTAATGATTGCTCTAAAATTATGAAGATTCCTTCTCTGGACTTCTGAGGCAAATGTTCTCCCACCAGTGTTACCACCCCACACTGTTCTGAAACCCCACTTCACTAAGTATCCAGTCTAGCTCTGCCCCGGAGACTTCAGAGGACAGGCATGAGAGCCCACCACACCACAAGGACGACAGCGCATAGTCACTTCCAAGGCTAGACAATGTCTCACTCCATGTTCACGACCAGAGAGCTTTCACCCGAGACCTTCCTAGCTCCCAAGTACACGCCGGCTCAGTCCCACCAAGCCCTTGCTCTTCCAGCTGCCCACTTCCATCTTTCAAACTTGGGTTAAAGAAAGGATGGCTGGGCCTCCCTGGGGGCACAAGGTTAAGCACCGCACTATGAAGCAATCCGCAGCCTCCGCAGCACGAGTTCCATCCCTGGCCCGGCCAGGGAGAAACCACATGGCAAAGCAGACTTCTCCTGTCTCACCCGCTGCTCCCCTCAGCAGTGTATTTCAGTCAGTCTGCCTGTTCTGTTCCCCACTCTGTCTCTGGCGAATCCTCTCATCCTCCCACACCTCTGGCCTGTACCCCAGCTTGTGTATGCATAAATAAAATCTTAAAAAAAAAAAAGAGATGGCCTGATTTGTCCACTGGGACTACAGCCCAAGATGAGAAGTGCAAGAAGGTATCAACTAGGCCCCAACCCAATGTCCCAATGTCCCCATCAGAACCACATTTCCCTTTCCACCCTCAGAGACAAAGCACAGGTTAAGAATTTTTAAATGTTTAATACAGTTCAAGTCAGCAGGCCCGGCTCACTTCAGCTCCTTTACTGCCAAACCTGGAGGAAAAGAGATACAGTGAGTCTCCAAAACCCCCTCTGAAGGCAGCACTTCAGCTCAAGTGCACCCCAAATGCTCATGAAGTGGACCCACTGGGGAGGTGTTGCTTTAAACAGTAAGTCAGTGATAACAAAAACACCCCCAGGCTTGGGGCGCGTTCTCCAAGGCTGAGTAGCGCTCCCGGGCGAGCCCCCTCTGGCCGCCCCCCACGCTCTGCTCACTCTTCCCTGCATTCCCCGCCCCCACCCCCCAAATTTCCAACAGGGACAACTCCAGACAGGTGGCGCTGGCCGGCTCACCTGGGGGCAGGGACTGCTTCAGCTTCTCTGCCTTCTCTTTGTCCGTGATGACCAGGGTGTACAGGTATCTGCTGCATCGGACTTTAAACTTCACATTATCCTTGTTTTTCTTGATCTTC